GCATTGCTAGCTGTTAGATTGCAATACAATCGAATCTATCGATATCGTGGTCAATGGATGGTGGCATTTCTTATTTGGCGACCAAACCTGACATTTACATTGGTAATTAGGCTCCGCTATTATAGGTTGATCACGCAAGAGTCGAGGTGAAAAGAATTATTAGTTGCTTAGGTGCAACAACTAAGTATATTGCAAGCCATGTACCACCTTCTTACTAGCATTCATTGAATAGCGTTAACCGTTGCCCAAGGGAGCACAAAAGAAATGCTGTGTAGCATCACCCATTTACATGATTCCAGTGATTCCGCCACTGGCCGAGATCCACTGTGCGGTATGCCACCGGCTCTTCTATGAAGGTAAGAGCAACACAGCATCGGCCATATCGTTGATTGTCCTAATTCGTGCATCAGCTCGCGTCTGTAAATCGGATGCTGATCCATTGGGTGCTACCAAGAACCCTTCCGACATGTCAGTCAGCATTGGCCCCGGGGCAAGGGTATTGACGGTAATCTCATGGCTTCGGCCGAGTTAGTTCTTCGTATTAGATATAATATGTTTCTGGAAAAATTGAAATGGAAATGTTGTCAAAGGGAGCTCACCTGACCAGCCCGGGACGCCGTGAGACAGTCCTGCGCAGCCTTTGCTCCGCCGTAGACCGCACTGAGTTCCAGACCAAGTTTTGAGGCGATGGAGCCAACATGGATAGCGCGCCCGCCTGTGGTCATATTCCCTATTCCAATGACAGCTAGTGTCAGGTAAACTGTAGTAAAGATACGGAGGTCCCTACCAAAAGTTTTGGCTGACCGCCTTTTGAGTTATAGTGGCTACAGGCCATTTTTCTGCCAAGCAAAACCACTATAATTAAAAAGGCGGTCAGCCAAAGCTTTTGGTAGGGACCTCCGTATTAATCCTAAATTCTTTTTCGCGCAATTCCAGCGCTGCTAATCAGAATTAATATGAATTTTATTATAATTTTAAAATTTATAATGAAATAAATAAAGGTATTTTAAAGCATTGGTTTAAATGATTTGGTTCATTGACTATTAGTATAAAATCTATAATATAATTTAATTAAAATATCAAATTATTATTATGATTATTATTATTATGTATATAATAAATTTCGTTATTACTTACTTAATTATTTTATTAATATAAACTTAAAATTGAAGATTTATTTTTAAAATAAATCAACAAACAAACTATATAAGCATGGTAGTATATTAAAAGGCAGGTAATGTAGTTGCATGCTGCTGATGTCCCTCAATGCATTAGGTATAAAACTTTTACGCGGCCATACTATCTAGCACCCAGTACAAAAAGCAACCCAAAAAAAAAAAACACAGGGACTGTGTCACCACCCAGCGCCTTTATGGTCGCAACAATGGGCCTACAGGGTAGGCACCCCGGAATTACGAAGGACCGACGGTCCAATCAGCAGCAAGGCTCACGCACAGTCAAGTGAGCCAAAGTGAGCCGCTTCCTATTTAGGTAACCAGCTCACTTACGGTCGAGTGAGCTCAAATGAGCTTCATAATATATATATACTATTCGATACACTCATTCGGAATAGTTAGATAGCCAGTTATGAATACAACTTTCAGATTGAATCTACTTAATACTCACTACTAGTTGCGTGACTATTCATATTGCCCGAAACGTCCAGCCTGGCCTATCCGCCAACATAAACCAGAATCTAGGTTTGTCCCTTGGAAATCTTAACCTATACTAACCTATAGGTTCACGGTTCGTCACAGACTGCAAAATGAATATGTGCATATATTGGGACAATAAGAGCACTATTATGAAAAATTGATTGTCGTTAGCCTGTGAGTATGGTGTATTTCTATGTGCTTATCATTTGCAAATTCTCGCTTATTTTGCAACCCCCTTGATAAGGGTACCTAGTAATGATAGTGGATCACAACCACATCAATAAAAATCTCCTGGCTTAGATTTCCCCTGCAATTGCCTAATACTACCAGCAATTTCTGCTGCTTACTTAGCGGTGAGCAAGAGTGTGTTAGTGTAATAACGTTAGAGAGATTGACCTGTAGTACTATATCCCCAAAGCACTTAAGCATAAAAAATATTGGCAAAAGCGTTTCGAATTAACATCTGCTCCCTAGCTGTCTTGTAATAGCTATGGACTAGGCCGTTCTTTGATTCATCTTTTTCCAAAGTAAAGAAAAGGAGATTGTATAGTAAATAAGGGTTACATCGCTATGTAGGGAAGTAGGAAATCTGTCAGCAACATGCTATTAGCTTATTCCCTATCAACTTTGCATAAAAAAGGGGGAATCGAAGAGCTGAGGGAAGTAGACAGCGGCGATAAATGCAGCGTGCATTTTGTCGGGGCGATCTTAACCCTGACCTTTGATGCTGGCCTATCCTTAAGCAGAAGTTGCAGGGATGATATCCTTATGTTAAACCAGCAAGGATTCGATTGTAAACAACATATTGAAAATTCACTAGTTAACACAAAGCTGCTTTTCGATTACTTTTAGATGAAGACTGATATATAGCGGTGCTCACAGACAGCTTTTTGTGCTGGCAGTCTTGCAAACATGATTTTGTTGTCTGTCAATTGCTAGACTTCATTTAAATAGTGGAAGTTGTCTATAATCAAGATCCAAGCTATTAGCTCACTTAAAACATGAATAGAATATATTGAGGTTATGGACTTGCTGGCTATATGAAAGGGTGTTTGATGAGTATCAAAAAATAGTGTGCTGAAAGAAGCGGGAATGGATGCAATGAATAGGCAGTAGATCGACTGGAGTTAGCTTAGAACTTGACCAGGCACCTGTGAATATTTAACAATACGAGATATATCCATTCATATGGCCTTTCTTACCTTAACCAGTATAGTTCAAGTAGCCTTGAGGGGTGCTGGGATTGACTTTTGAATAAGAGCTAGGGCGGGAAAATGCATGGGTGGCCGATGCAGGCGCGTCCGCCTCCATAAGGAGGAAGATAAAATGGTCGAGATCCCACCTTCTAGCACCAGAGCCCTCACCTCATCAATTCTATCATCAACAGACCAACCTGTGCCGCAAACAATGATTTTTTTGAAATTGGCCGTTCCGGTAACCCTCGTCAGCCTTTTGAGCGTCGTGCAAGCGGATAGATGCAAATGTGTAAGTAAACTATCGCCTCATTGGAGATCTATATGCAAATCGGTTTGCTAACCAATTGATAGATCCCAAGCGACACAACTTGTTGGCCAAATGAAGCAGCGCTAAATTCATTCAACGCATCACTTCCAGGAAAGCTTATTCAGAACTTTCCCGTGGCCGCCCCATGCTACCCAGGGCCTCTGAACGATCCAGCTCAGTGCGCCATTATCCAGGCCAATTGGAACAACTCGCTCTTTCATGCTCAGTTTCCAACTGGCTATGACTATCCCTACACTTTCAGCTGTGATATCCCTGGTGGTAACACCACTAGCTGCTCGCTGGGAGATTCTCCATACTACGCTGTCAATGTGACGAACGCAAATGACATTTCTCTTGCGCTCAAGTTCGCATCACAACATAATATGCGCGTTTCTATTAAGCAGACCGGCCACGATTTTCTAGGCCGCTCAACAGGCTATGCCAGTCTAGAGATCTGGACTTATAACCTCCGCCAAGGCCTCACTTTCCACGACTCATATCTTTCAACTAGCCAGTGTTCCCCGCAAGAACCTGAGGGTATAGAATCTACCGGGGCGGCTCTTTGGGCTGGCAGTGCGATTACGATTGGTGGAGCATACACTTGGTCAGAAGTGTACCAATTTGCGCACGAACAAAACGTGATCGTCGTGGGCGGAACGTGCACTGGTGTAGGCGCCGTTGGTGGCTACTTGCAAGGCGGAGGCCACTCGGCTTCTATGCGCGAATTTGGCATTGCTACAGACCAAGTCCTTGAGTATACGGTTGTTCTTGCAAATGGAGATGTCGTCACGGCGAATGCATGCTCAAATACTGATTTGTTCCGGGCGCTCAGGGGGGGAGGAGGCGGCACGTATGGCGTTGTCATTAACGCGACGATCAAGGCATACCCGGAGATGCCTGTGACTGCAGCTATTCTGACCATCGTTCCCCAAGAGGAGAATGATGATCTAACCACTTTCTTGGATGCTGTTGCTACCTGGTATGAAGCTACACCTATGATCCTAGAGGCAAATCTTGGTGGTTACGCTGGCTGGGCTGCCTGGGAAGGTGACACGCTCTTGGCTCCCAAAGTTAGAAGGCTAGAGTCTGCCTTTGGCGGCTTCAATCGGAGCATCGATGATGTGCAGGAAAGCATGGCCCCAGTGGTAGCAAGGTTGTCACCATTCAATTCTAAGGGTATGAATGTGACGGCGGAGTACATTGCGTTTCCCGATTACTTTACCTATTTCCACACCATCCATGCTAACAGCATGAATGTTGGGCAGAATATCATCATGAGTTCTCGATTTCTGCGCAGTGAGCAGCTCACTAATAGCACTGCCGTGCGCCAGATGGTCAATGTCACTGCAGGCCTCCCTGGCCAGAACGCATTCAACGTGGTAGGTGTTAACGGCGGCAGTGCTGTGGCTTTGGACGTTCCCAATACTGCTATCAATCCGGCATGGCGCGAATCTTTGGTGAACAATATTGTGGCTCGCAATTGGCCGGATACAACTCCTTACTCGGAAGTCAAAGCAGCACAGGACGATATTACATATGTTAAAGGCGCCTCATTGGAACGCCTGGCACCAGACACAGGAACCTATATCAACGAAGCAAACTACAAGGATCCGAATTATCTAGTGAATTTCTATGGCACTACGAGGCCAGTACTTGAAGCGATTAAGCAGAAGTACGACCCCAATGACTTATTCTATTGCATAACATGCATAAGGTCAAACTATTGGTATCAGGAGGCCGATGGCCGCCTTTGCCATAAAGGCAATTAGAATGTATAATTCTTGATCGTTTGCTCGAATATTCTTTTTGTACGTTAGGCCTTTTTCGGTTTACCTTAGCTAGCTATCTAGTACTAGGCTTTTGAGCAAGAAGATTCACAGGTAGCCAATAATACAGCGCCCCGTTCTTAACTCCTGTGTCTAGCGCAATTAAAACACTTTGGCACTCGGTCTCTGTTGGGAGGGATACATTTTTGGTTTTGCCTACTAATTGGAAAAGCTCAGCCCAACCGGCTAAATATGTCCTGATTGCAAGGGGTACCAGAGTAGAATGGAAAGAACCGGTTGCACTATCAACAACGTTTAATCCATGGTCCCGGACAAGCTTTGGAATGTCCCCAATCCAGCTAAGTGAGCACGAGTGTGCAATTAGTATATTTTCTTACTGGAAGAAAATTGATTCCGCTTCATTTATTGACTCACTCTAACGAGACATTGAAGCTCTTGAGAATCGACATGCCAAGGTCATGAAAGGCCACTGCCACGTCCCCTAGCATGACCGGATTTCCCATGTCTGCGTCTTCCCACTGCAAATAGCCACCCGGCTCTGCAACCGTAAATATTAGACCTTACGTACAAACGGGAGCAAAGAGGATAGAAAACTTACTCAGCAGTCTTGAAGCATGGCGAATGAGAGCACTCGGGTCGTTTCCTCTAATTATGGCGCACCAAAACCGCAGGTGGACGACATCATATGTCTCGACAAGATGGGCAGGAACATCGCCAAATGCGTCAAGAGTGGTAAAGGTCAGGTTTGGCGGGCACAGGGATGTAGGAGGAAATTGACTTGCTGACACATCATACCCATGCAGCTGTATAGTTTCTGGCAATTGCGATGCAATGTCTTGAAGCCAGATTCTTTAACAGATTGGGCTGTCAGCTACGACGTCTGGGCGTTATTTTTGAATAGAGAGCACTCCACTCACCCTGTTCCTGTACCTATCTCGGCAATTTTCATATTTGAAGAGATAGGCATTTTTGGATTCAATGCGTACCCATTGTGCATCCTAAAGAGGAGGTGCTGGGCTTCCAATCTACAGTAAGGGCTGCATTAGTGGCTGTCGGTAGTACTATCCAGCCAGTAAACCCACACACCTTATTGAGCCATATAGGTCCCGTCCGAGGACATAATCATCTGTTACAGCTGTCATGGCGTTTATTATGTAGGAATGACACCTTAAAGCCAGTGCAAAGGAAAAATGTGCAATGAGATTTATATTTCACAGCATTTGGCAGCATAGTGTCTTTTATATCATGCGGGGAAGCCAAACAATCAGGGGAACGGTATATCTTGACCCACAGTCAGCTTATGAGTTGATATGAAATACACCAGCATGTAAATAGTGGATCGATCGTCGTGCTGCGGGCGGCTTCGGTAGTATGGATGGGGGAGCCTTTAGACTATTTAGGTCGGCACATGAAGAGCCATGAAAAACTTTCATCCAGGGAGAAGCTTCTAGTAGCCTTATTAACTATTGGTTTATCTACCAGCCCTCGTTGTATGCACCGACGAACCCTGGGCCCCAGACCTGAATTTAAGACTCTCCGGATAGTATGTGCGTTACAACGGTCCTTCAACATATTCAAGGAAGAGAAGGACGTTGGTCCATTTGGAACAAAACGGGTTCAGTTCATGGTATAGATTTGGGATATTCGGCAAACACCCTCTGCCGATCGGACGTTAGGTTGGGCACCTTTACATTTTCTATAAATTCAAGACCAATTCGCTAGCTTTCCTTTATATATAATTATGTACCGTTCAATTAGCAATTCTTATGATATTGCGGTCGCCCAATAGAGCTTCCAGCCCTACAACCTAGACACAAACGCCGAGCCTAGCATAGCATCTAACTAATGTGTGCTAAAGCACTATACGCCCGCGCTATATTGTTATGGCTTTGGCTATTGGAATGCTGAACAGGAAAGAATGTGACAAGTCATTTCCGAGTAAACTATAAAATCCTAGATTGTGGCATAATTATAGCAGTTAGATCGTGATATTAATATAATTGCTTTTTCCTAGTTTATGCTTTCATCCAACTATTATCGCCCTGCCGCCAGTGCATAGCAATACTGCGAGGCTTTCTCATCCATGTCGTTTTCTGCACAAAGACTTTATTGGGTCCCAAAAAAAGTGACCTAGCCGGTCCTCGCTGCGGTTGGGAAAGAGTAATGAATTGTCGTCTAGACACCAAGCTCTTGAGGGCCCCTTCCTGAAAAAGCCCTCAGCGCTCCCAGCTGTGCTACGAAATCCCTCCCATTTGTGAAATAGTCGGTGTATTGACATGCTTGAAGAGTCGATTGTTCCCTCCCTCATGTCTCTCATCCATTGGATACTCGGATTTACGAATGCGAAGATCAGTAGTCGAGCATTCATTCCATTAATATACGTATTACCCCTTACCAAATCTTGCAAAACTAACTGAAGCCAGAGTTATTTCCTACAAATCCAGTTAGCAAAACGCCATTGCTCACCGTGTTGATTGGTGATTTAAGAAGCTCTGATTTTGAGTGCGAGTAGAAGTATAACAGTCCCATTGTTGCCAAAATCGTTGCATGGAGATGTGTCCATGGGTTTCTTTCTTTCTTTCTTTCTTTCTTTCTTTCTTTCTTTCTTTCTTTCTTTCTTTCTTTCTTTCTTTCTTTCTTTCTTTCTTTCTTTCTTTCTTTCTTTCTTTCTTTCTTTCTTTCTTTCTTTCTTTCCCTCCCCCCCTCCTTCTTTCTTTCTTTCTTTCTTTCTTTATAGTTAAATACGCATAGTAACGTTAACTTCATGTCAATGCCAAATCTCAATCCGACCTCCTACATGTTGTAGTAGTACGTGTAGTATTTAGGATCAATTCCGTGGTCCGAGGAACCCCCTATCAATGGATTTAAGTTGCAGCTATATCCAGTGGTTGAGTTTCTGGCATATTTTGCGTACTCTCTGTACTTATCCGCGCTCCGTCAGTCAGTTCCAAAAGAATTTAGGTTTGGTTTAGTTTTATTGTATTCTGAAGCGCAATTAATCATTAGGCAAGGAAGTGCAACCTCCGCCCGAAAATGTGGCATTTAAATAATGTATTAGGTCAGACACTGTATAAATACGAGTGGAAGGAAGCATTTCAATTTACCCATACTTTTAGCTGTATATCAAGATTCGAAGTCAATCATAAATCGAAAATGCAATCGTCTATCAGGACTGTTGGGGTGGTAGGCACTGGAGTAATCGGCGCCAACTGGACAGCTCTTTTCCTTTCAACATGGACTTAGAGTCTTGGTGTCTGACCCTGCTCCGCGTTCGAAAGATCGCCTTTTCGCATATCTCCAAGAGTCATGGCCAATGCTCAAGAAACTTGGGCTTCACAGGGATGCATCATTGTCCAACTGTACTTTCGTGGGCGAAAGCTTGAGGGATGACTGCAGCGAAGTGGATTTCATTCAGGAGATACGGATTATTAGATAATAACTTGTCTTTCTAACTTACAAAGTTTGGAACAGAATGCACCCGAAAGGCCGGATTTAAAAAGAAACCTTTTAACTATATTAGACGCGAAAGTGAAAAAAAGATATGGTGATAGCTTCTTCCTCATCGCGTATTCCATCTTCGCAATATATCAACGATTGCCAATATCCGGAGCGCATTCTGATTGGTCATCCGTTTAACCCGCCGCACTTAGTACTTTACGGGACACGATTCAATCTTTGAAGGATCGAGCTAGTTTATGATGAAGATAGCACTCGTTGAAGTCGTACCACATGACAAACCCAATTCATGATCTATTGACATTGCCATGTCGATTTACAAGGCGATGGGTAAAAATCTGTCTTAGTAAACCAGGAATGCCCCAGCTCTGTGGCGAATCGGCCTCAAGCAACTCTAGCCAGAGAAGCTTACAGCTTCGTTCAGCGGGGAATTGTCTCGGCACAAGCATGTGGTAAGTCTTCACAAGTGCATAGTGAATGAATCAAGCTCACAGGAATGATGAGATGATTGCGTTACAATGGGTATTGGGCTTCGGTGGGCGTTCACAGGCCCTCTCATGACTAATGTGCTCGAGGGAGGAAGGGGGGGGTAAAGACGGGTTTCATAAACTTATCACTCATTTAGATCCGGGTGTTCAAAGATGGATCGAAGACATGAATGCTCATACATTCACTTTCAACAAATTGGGGAGCCTGGCAAAGGAAGAAAAGTGGAATATTAAAACCACGCATAAATAGGCACAAGAGCAGCTAATTCAATAGGACTTCATAGTCGGTAATCTAAGCTTAAATAGAATTAACGGCATTCCCATCTATAAATATAGTATAGGAATAAACATCAATTAGCTACTTTTGACCGAAGGCGTTGGTCTATGCATTATCCAAGATATTCGCGTTATATTCACCTACTAATAAATTTGGTGTATAACAAAAAATAAATTGAGAGCAGAACATAGTGCAATTAAATAAACGTAAAATCACTCGGCTAGCTCAAAAAGCATCAATTAATTTATTAGAAGTATATTGAAGGTGGGGGAACTTGACTAAACAGAGCCTTCCAAAGGTGCACGATTTCTCTTTGTACTGTCCCGCCATGCTAGTTGCATATGCCCATTGATTCAGCTTCATATAACCTCTTTTGGGCGCTCTTTCTTATGCTAGAAAGTTAGTTTTCTCTTAAGTAGATAATGCTATGGATGGCACCTGTACGCAGTAATTGAGATCAAGATATGGTAAGTAGCGGTCGTTTGTCTAAAGCGCCTATCGTACTCTTCTACATTTCTTCATTCGGTGAGTAGCCAGGAGTGCGGACCGCAGTTGCGCCGTCCTACCAGGGTTAATCTGTCGTGAGTCCCACTTCGTCCTTCGGCTAAGGGGTGACTTTCCAACTTGACTCCACATACATCGCACCTCGGGCCGCGGAACAGCGCCGCCTTTGGCTACACACACTTCCATCAACCTTATCTGGAAGGCGAGTTCCTATATCCAATTTTTATTCGTTGGAATTCGCAGGTGCTTGGGAAACAAACTGCGGCATTTATTGTACCCCGAATCAGCCGATGACGATGTCTCTACTTTCAGTGACTGATCCCCGGCCGGCATGTCTTAACCATTGGCCTTATACACTGATATACGTATAGTCACCTGTCAGGTCCTTGCGTCCATTCAAGTCTGTTGCAGATTTATTGTAAGTTGCTGTTCTCGGTGTTAGTGTGCATGGATGTTAAACCAGTCTCACTGATGGAGAAATTCCCTTTGGGACTTCTCGAAATGGCATCCAACTGGATGAAATGGGTGGTTGTAGAATTACCAAGCTCTTACTAAAAACCAAGAATACCAGATGCTTACGCGACATCTAAATGAATCGATTGGGCGGGCTAAAGGTGTGGCATTGAACGTAGACATATTGATCTGACGGATCCGGGACGTGCATCTACAATTGTGACCTCCACGGCAGAAAGAGGAATTGGGATGATTATAGAGCACTCACAGGAACTACTCTTTTTTAAGCACACTGGACGCTCTGAAAACCCACATAGCTTTTCCGCTAAGTATTACAGTTAATGAATGCCAATAAGTGCGTGTGCCGCATTTAGTTTTCAATTGACTTCTTGTTTACTTCACATCATCTGTGATTACTTACACCCAACCCAAGGCTATTTCTGGACAGAAGATCTAAGAGAGTAAAAATACAATTGTTGTGAGTTGTCAAGCACTACATATATTGCACTTTTTAGACTCTGCTCTTTCTACCATTGATCTACTCGTTTCGAGGAGGTTCGCATTCACATCATCACTTAGTACCACTGTGATATTCAAAGCCAAGAAATACCGCGGTCGCAATAACAGTGAGGTACAGATGGCGTGGTCCAACGGGGAGTTGCAGAATCATCCCCCAGCCTGACTACTGGACTAAGCAACTGCATATGGCCCCAATGGCTCTTCTCAAATGTTGTCAGGATCGGTGAATCCGGAGCGAAATACTCCGGGTAGACCTTCTTCCAACCATCCATGACCACCATGAGCAGTTCCGAAACGTACTGCGAAGGTTCCATACTCTCCCACTGGAAAGTCTTCTCATTCTTTCGCACCACATCGGGGGAATACAACCCGATTTCAGGTTGAAGAGAAATTGCATCAGCGGCAATCAAGGAGCTGAGCACGCGGTAGGAACCTCCAACACGTGTGCGATCACGAAGAGCCATCAACGCGCCGAGAGCTCCAATAAGCCCTGTCGTCATATCTGAAATAGGAAGAGGCGGCAGAATGCAAGTTCCATCGGTATAACCAAGAGACCTTCCGGTCACATAAGACGCACCGGAGGCCGCATCTCCGATTTGTTGCCATCCAGGTCTCTCGTAGAAAGGACCGTCAGGCCCGTACGCGTTTTCTTCCACGTAAACAACTCCCTTGCCTCTTTTGCTGGCTGTTTCTAGAAGGTTGTTCAAGCCGAAGCCTTTTCTCTCCAAGGAACCCGGTCGAAAACCTTGTATGAAAATATCCACATCTTGAATGAGCTCCTCTAGTCGAGCTGAATCCTCATCATTCGTAAGGTCTAGATCAATAGTCCGTACCCCAGCATTCAGTGTTAATTGCAAAGCCTATTGTTGAGATATATGTCAGCTGATGGTACGCAGCCCCCACCGGGAATATGTCTTACGTTTAGATCGGGAAGTTTACTACAGTTGACACGGATCACGTCTGCCCCAAGTGCAGCCAAGGTGGTTCCGATCACTGGGCCCGCAATGATTCGAACAAGCTCCACAACCTTGATACCAGCCAACGGGCGCTTGTCTCCCGGCAAGACTAGTAAAGGAGTCGGGGGTGTAGGTGCCGCATGGGACTGGTGGGAATAATTGACAAAAGGGTGGCTCTGCAGTCGCTTCCCCATCAATGTCTTGCCCCATCCCTCTGGAGTGTGGCAGATGCTCCCACAAAATCCATTCTTGACCATAATCATCTCGAGTTCGTCTGCGGTAAATTTCTGCACTTCTTTGCGAATTAGGTTGTAAGCCTCGGCTAAGGATTCGCATTTGGTTGCAGGATCAACACCAATAGCTTGGAGGACAGGGTCTGCATGGAGGGACCCATGGAGCTGATACCAAACGCCGGTAGTTTTCGTCGGATAGATAGCTGTCGTTCGCAGTCTAAGGGGGGTGGCAAAAACACCCTTTTCGAAATCGCGGTCAAATATAGAGGAACCTTTGCCCATCTTTACAAGCTCGCTGACGTCGGATCCATTCAGCCGAACAGTCAAAATGGATCCCAGCCAGATTGCGGCTTGGTCGGTATTGATGATGACGCTCTGATCTGCTACGTTTTGACCGTCGCGTTCAGCAAGAAGTTCATTGGCCACAACACCACACATAGCATGGAGGGCAGCGGCGACGACGGGGGCCTTCAGAGGGCCTGGGATCATAGGTTCCTCGTGGCCGTGAAATTTGACCGACTGCCACACATCTCGGTTCTTTGTAAAGTTCGGCGTCGCATTGGCAAGGATTTCGAAAACTCGGCGCGCGTCATCAGGAACAGCAAGAAAGCTCTTGTCCATGAAGGTACCTGGGCCGTAGATCTCCGGGCAGGGAAGAGTTGTATGATTTAGAGACATCGTAGAATCACGTTGATATGAGGAAGAAAGGTGAAACAAAAATGATGCTTGGTAGAACAAGTCGAAGCTGCTCGCCATATTTATACTATGAACCATTTATAAATCACTTACTAGTCCACAATATCTTTGCCAATTTTTCCCAGATAGGCATCTCCGAGGATTTTCGGCCGCTTCCCCCGATCGATTAGATAAATCGAGATTTCCGGTGTGCCGATGAATATGAACGGCATAAAAGTAAAGTTCTGTGATAAAACTGTTGGCCAAATGCAATTGGCCGCAAAGTTGAAATTGACCTCGGTCCGCGGATAAGAATAAAGTTGAGAGGGTCAATAATACAAGCGAGAAGCGACTGGCCTCCCTGTTCATTCCTGATTTCCCTCTTTCCGTTACCATATCCATTATATGCGGCTGTCGCTCTATCAAGCCTATGAAGTCATCGGCATTAGGTGTAATAGGCTCTACCTGAACCTTAGGTTTCCCATCAAGAGCCTTACGGTCATTGTAACACCCCACAGCCGGAGATGAGGGGCGATTGAGTAGATACCTTTGCGAGAAATGGCCACTCATACAGCAGGTCAAGCATCACTAAAATTTTATAGCATCAATTATAATTGAAAACTTCAATATCGCAGGTATCCTCAGCATGTTTACTTCATCGGAGCTATCATGTGACAAGATGTGTCCAATCGGGTGGAGAGTCTTCTTCGTTCTCCACTCCTCGGCTCGTTTATATTCCTCGACCCTTTTCAAATCCTCGGAGGTTTGACCTTCCAACAAAAGCAAACCCGCGGACAGTATGCCGGCCACACGATTTGCTGATCCTATGACCACAACTCGTAGCTACCGTTGTGCAGTTGCCTGTCAGGCTTGCCGTCAACGCAAGGTTCGATGCAGCTTGGCAGTCACGGGTAAGCCTTGCATTGGCTGTACCCAAGATAGGGCTGAGTGCATTGTGGTCCCAAAGCAACGAAAGAAGTGAGCATGAAGCCTCTTGTTGGAACGTTACACTATACAGTTTTCCTGATAACAATTGCAGAATCAAAAAGTCACGCCAACCAGTCATTTCCCACCATGATCCAGGTCCTATGCAAGATTCTTACTCTATAGATCATCTTCCCTCTGATCATGTGTCGAACCCTGTTATAGAACCCTCCACCTTTCAAAATGGACCCGGAGAAGCAGATCCAATTCGTAGACAGACTTATTCGATTCTTGCGGGTGACTCTGGCGAAGGCGAGATGCGCAATGGAATTGATGTTGGAGCTCCACTATTGGAAAAATCTCAAGATATCGGAATTACACCCATCTGTGCTGCGGATGAGGGTGATATCGAGAATGAAGAGAGGAGAGGGTTCGAGATTGCGACAGCAGCATTGGGACAATCTCGAAGAAACGGTCAGGTACCTTTCTACTCTGGTAAGCATATCTGACTCGGTGACTATGAAATGATCCCAGCTAATCTACTACATAGGAGGCCAGACCGGGCCGACATATGCCTTGGATATCTGTTCACCAGAGAAATCGTTGCCAAGGCACTTTCTTATTCCATCCCACTCCTGTTCCACTCTCTCAGATGCGGACCGAAGTTATCTTCAGGCAAAAGGAGTGCTTACGCTTCCCAGCGCAAAGAGTTGTGAAAGCCTCCTTCGAGCATACCTCCATCACGTTCATCCAATTATGCCAGTCATTGAAGTCGATCGCATCTTAGAATATCAGCACAACGGGCGACTTCACGAGTACAACACCCTCCTTCTCTGGAGTATCTTTTTAGCTGCAGTCAATGTGAAATCTCTCTGTCATGATGCTGGTTAGTACTAATCAACTCGCAGTTTATCTCTCCCGAAGTGTATGAGCAAGAGGGTTACAAATCTCGAAAGGAAATGAAAGCTACAATGTATTCACGTGCAAAAGTGAGTGGATGGTCGGCTCTAGTCGGCTTGAGAGATTGATATTTTCTTCATATTTTGAACGCACATACTAATACACTACGCAACATCAGTGTATGTATACCATAAGTGAGGGAATGGACAAGGTTGTGCTTATTCAGTCTTCTCTACTGATGGGGTTCTGGATTTCAAAACATGATGAGTATTTGCAACCGTGGTACTGGACAGGAACCGCAATCAACCTTTGCCAGATGCTAGGACTGCATCGTAATCCAGACTCCTCGAAGCCTAATTGTGCCGTCACTGATCGCCAACGGTGCCTGTGGCGGCGGCTTTGGTGGACCTCGTTTTATCGAGATCGCTGGCTTGGGATGAGTTTTGGAAGACCATTACGAATTAACCTTATTGACTGTGACATGCCTATGCCAACGGCCACCGACCTACTTATTGACGTGGTAGGGTTACATGAAAAGACATCCCATGGCTTTCTTCCAAGTGATTTGTCTAAGCTTGCCTCCTACTGGGTGACATTGATCGAATTGAGCAAGCAATTAGGCGCAGTCATTGCTATGAACTATCAGTCACAAAGATCAAAGCCTACAATCCAACAGTTTGAGCATCTTGAATCAGAGATTCTCCAGTGCGCACTACCAAGTCAATACGAGTCTGGCCTGGCTAACCCGGCGCGATTTCATCTATTCCATGTTCATTTGCATTATCAGTAAGTTTGGGCTCTTCGTCATTCCAGAATCATTGTTGTTAAGAAACAAGGGTAGAGCGCTTCTCATCTGCTTGTATCGACCTTATGGATCTGAAACTCCGATTGATCTCGATACTGCTGAACAAGACGACTGGCAGCATCGGATGTGCCTAAAGGCTGGTGATGCTGCGTCCAAGACCAACGATATTTTTCATTCTCTCGTGGAAGATGGTCTCCTAGTATTCGCTGGGCCTATGACGTGAGTACGCGGTCTTATTTCGCTTCAGCAATCATTTTGTTGTTATCTCTCAACAGTTGAGTTTACTCCGTTGGTGATTGCAACCTGACACATCTTAGGCCTTCGCTCTTAGTCCCAGCAATGCAAACGCATTTACTTTTTTATAAGTCCCCCGACTCCCTGACAAAACGTCTCAGGCTTCATAAACTTGAGATGTGCATGCTCATTATGGAAGAACTCCAAAAAATATACAATGTCGCTTCCATTTATCGAGGAATCTTCTTTAAGGCCATGCAGCAGATATGCCCCTCATATCGAACCGGAATGTCTTCTTCCGACCAGGCAATTATCTCAGTTCCAACAAGTGGTTCTTGCGGCGGAAACTACAATTTTAGTGAGGTTGCCCCCAGTCGTTCAGAAACAGAACTTCTGGGTAGCGTCAGCGCCTTTGCCAATATCACAGAACAAGAGACCGACTCGCTTGGAGAATTCATGGGCTCATTGCTCGATGAGACCTCAATATTTAAGTTTTGGGAGACGTGGAATTCAATGTGAAAACGTCAAAAGGATCGATTATCTTTATTTCTATTTCTTACGCATTTTATATTTTTCTACTCTTTATTTACATAATACTTCCTTAAATACTTAGATGTATCTAAAGATTTGTTTACGTAACTATAGAATGTATGGATATAATATTCTCTACTTATGATAGTTACTAGTACTCTTAGGAGTTTGGGTCTTGACCTATAGAGCGGAGATGAGCCTTGTACTTCTCAAGATACGGGTGGTTGCCACCGCGTAGTGTAGAGAAAATTTTCAAGTAATTGCCGCACAATCCCCCCCTCGAAGCCGCATAACGTATGGAGTCTGACTGTTGTGATTGCGATATGTTGCTGTACGCAGGTACGCTTCTGGTGGTTGCCATCTTTACAGAAAATACAGGACTATATAAGATAGTTGCTGAGGCAGTCGCGATGTCGTAAAGCTTTTCGATCTGATTACAAAGAGTCAGAAGATACCAGAGTCAGATAGACAAAATGCATATCAACAAGTGGCATATTGAAGCCCTTACCATACCAATGCCGTGAGCCTCCATTGACTGCAGAGATAAAGATTGACAGAGGTCTAACGTTGACTCTGCGATGGAAACGGCGTAATTAAAAGTGAGCTCACCATGCTCCGATTGAGCCTTGAGAAGACTATGAGTCAAGCAGAGTTGCCAAATGCGGTTCTGAAGCCACTTTTGCGTTATGAGGATATCGGCGAATTGACTAATAAGACACTGTTTATTGAAGCCGAAAGGAACTTCGGCTACCCTTTGGGGTTCGTTCGAGTCGTTGAGGTTGATCCGATCGTAGTCTCTGAAGTGATGCTGACAATCAACGCGGGACATGCTCTTATGCAGTGACAAGATTTCGTTCTCGTCATGCTTCTTGCAACAGCCCTGACTAGCACCGCAAGTGCCATTCCAGCAGTTAATATCGTCATCATTTATGACACAAAAGAGTTCCATTAGTAGAGATAATCCCATCAGTGCAGCAGCATCCTTCTCATTATAGACAACCACGCCAGATAGAAGACCGTGGGAGGAATCGTGAATGATATCATTTGAAAGTGGCCGATCGAATCCTGGAATTAGCCGGAAGTTGATAGGATGCTGGCGTTGAATAGCATATGCTCTGTGGAGGTAAGCTAGTGCTGCATTACATATAAACACAATTGGCTTGTACTCACTTTTCTGTGATTGACAAAATCAGGTATACTCTAATATGTTGGCCTTTTTCTTCATTGGAAAGGAGTTGGTATGAGTCTGGCTTATTCAAACCCATGGTAAGAGCCAAGTCAACCGCTTCCCTCAATCGAAGCCATGCAGCATTATGCTGGTTGCTACCAAAGAGGCAACCGAAAAGAAAGAAGCTGGTTAAAACCGCTTCCAGTTCTGGACTTTCACCAAAGTCGGCAGAACTACGCATCTTGATGGCCTCATTCATGAGTCTCTTAGCTTGATTAGCTCGTGTTGAAGTCGTCGACCGCTCATTAATCAAGATGGGTTGAGTAATCGCAAATGCACAAAGGGCTAAGAGCATGGATCCAAATAGAGGATTCTGGTGGTGCTCGTGGAGGAACATTCTGCTAAGCAGAGAGGAGCGATTGAGAACGGGTAAGGTTGGATGCAACCGATCAAAATAAACCTCTATCCATGGAATCAGATTGACCTCGCTGATAGAAGACGGCCATATATTGTCTGTGGCTTCGAAACCGTTCTGTGAGGGTAAGAGGTTGTACATGGGTGGTCGAGGGTGGCTGGGTTCATGCTGCACAACGCCATTGCCATCGGAATTTGTTTCCACGATGAGCGGAAGAGCAGAGTCCACGAAAAGGTTGGTCTGAGGCAGGCCAAAAGGACATAATTGCATGCTCACTCTATCCGGTGGCCAGTATTCTGCGTCATAATTGTTACTGGTTCTAAAGCCGTTATGCATACTTGGTGCAGCGAAGTCGACCTCACAAGCAGCAATATTTGTACCAGGCGCCTGCAGGTCCTTATAGATGAAATCTACCACATCCTCCAATTGCGTCGAATCATTGTTTGCTTCCGGTAGAGACTGATATGACTCTAAATTGCTCTGCGTAGGGAGTTGCCGGGAGTCAGATGGGCTCAACATCTCGTTGCTCTCGTCAAAGTGATTTTGCTTAGTGAGCTGAATTTGCTGCCGCTGGATTTGCGACAAGCGACTTCCATATGGGTTAACCAAATTATGAAAGGGAGGAGACACAATTGAGCTTTGAGTTTTGGCTGCCATACTTACTTCCCAAGTGGGCCACGTTTCCTTTGGGGCTTTAGATAGGTGCATTCAAAATTCCTAGAGAGACATGTCGCACATGGTTGGGAGAGACTGCACTGTAGAATGATTAGTATAGCATCCATAGCAATAAAGATTGATGCTCTTGAAGCACAGGGAGTATTACTTTGACCTTGCGGAGTTTGCACTGATCACAAGCTCGTTTCGATGATCTCGCTGGCGACGCTGCAGCCTCGTCGGTGATTGGTGACACGCTGCTACGATCCATTTCCGGAGCCATGGTGGACATATGTCGCGTTAAGACATTCAGGGACGTATATGGTATAAAGAGTCAGATGAGAAGGATATGGAGGCGAGTGGTTGTATTTTACTCCGGAAACAGAGCGTTATTGGAATTAGTGTCGCAAATTAGTCAGCAATAGGAGTGTAACGACCAGCAGGCACCTCAAAGATGATAGGCTCACACGTGCGGGTTAGCTAGTTTGTACCAGACAGAGCCGACCAAGTCCGCCCGCCAATACAACATGTGTAGCACAGGTTGGGAAGATGCGATTGTCTATGCCGCGGCAGAAAATTTGTCTCTACCAGTGGCAAGTGCAATTTATTATGCTAAATGCTATCTTTTGCGTTTGCAAACGTTGGTTGAACTTCTTTCAGTCATATCTCGAGTTTCCCTATCAAACTATAAATAAGTATAGTTCCGGAAATTTGAAGTGATATTTCGGAAGTCTACTTTAGTTAAAGCTGCTTTAAATATATCCACAGGCTAATGGATGTTTGAGGCTCCTAGTGAAAGTTATTATGATTGGAAGATTAGAAATATGAGAACTTGACACATTCTCCACAGAGTCCGCTTCCCTATAGGTTGCCTAAGGGCGCTATTGATCCATCGAGAGGATCACAGTAATACCCGTGGACATGATATACTTTATTACGTAGGCAATGGTGTTTGGGAAGTAAAACGCACAAATATATTCTGAAATAAAAGTGTACTTTAAGCCACTAGCTATTACCATACCACAATTCCTCGGTAGTATCTTATGCTCCTCATGCCATAATAACTGTCAGGGACAGTGACAAATCATTTAATCCAAGTCACCGAGGGTTGTACCTCCCAGCATGTACACTCCATAATGGCAGCTCTCTCATTGCCCAATGGCCTCTGAGCATATCTTACAAACGGTAGAACGCCAAAGCACCTGCCACTCTCGGGGTATATTCGACTGGTGATGGCGACGCGCTCATTGATAAAAACCTCGAGTACACTTACATCAAAGAAAATGTGAATATTAAGTGCCTCTGATTTGATCAGTTGATTTGATGGGTCCTGCGTCGAGAATAAGGTGTGTGGAGCTACTACAGGATCTGTATTTATGTCCACACACCCTTCCAGGTAACCCGTATGTACTTTGTAACGCTCGACGACCACTACTTCCTTTCTTGGATCAAAAAAGATTGATACTTTGCTCAACCGACCTGCAGAATCTTAGAAACCAACAATGATTCACCCACGGCGCAATGTAATATGCACTTACGAGGGCATAGGTATAGTTCGAGACCAATTTGTTCCACATCTCCTGTGACAGTTAACGAAGCCATAACTTCGAGGTTCTTTGTTTGAAAGGGCAAAAAATAAGGATTAATTGTAGGATTTCCATCGTCAAGATGCCTGTCCAGGTTTGCTGGCAGATTAGATAGCCTCTTCTCGTTTCGACGTAGAGCAGTCAGGCGAGAGTCTGGGGAGGAAGTCAATGTTGTGACAATGAAAGTACCGTCTTGAGATTGAGAGCAGTGGATCCAATCAAGGGTTAGCAGATCCGAACGGCTGGCAGAAACAACTCGATCAATACATCTCATCCCTAGCACCCGAGGTAGAGACAGTAGGCCACTCCATTTTTGTCTTTCTGTCAGGTTTACTGGAAGATCATCTTCGGTAATCCAGCCATAAATGATCCGGTTATCTGTTACTGGGTCGTAAAAGGAGTTGGCGGCATAGAAGCAACCAAAATCAAGGCAGCCGCCAAATCGGAAATCCAGCACCACTGAAGGTTGGTCGCTGCTGAAAGCTTCACTTGTTTTCCTTTTTACCCGGGCGCAGAGCCAGTTTTGGAATCTTTCAGATCTTCGTACCTTTTTTGGCTGATCTTCGAATACACAAGCTGCTTCGGTAAAACGTTCCGGTTTGGTTAACCCCCCTTCAACGCTCATGACAAGCACGTCGTGGTCATTTCCCAAATTGTCTCGCAGAGTCATGAAATTGGTGACCTCCCAGTTACTTCCAAAGTCAGGCAATCTGGACGAAGGCGCAAAGTTTGTGCCGGGGGCGAAGGGCATGCAGAGGTAATTCCACTGAGTAAGATCACGCGCGTCGATAGAATAGAGGAAGATCGTTGGCGAATATTGGCGGATTCCTCCAGCAATCACTCCATATACATAGTCTCCTGTACGTCGACCGAGGCACTTATCGACGCTCTCCCACTGACCGACGAAGGGATCCCGCCAGCCGGTAACTTCGACTTCATTCGGCGGACCGGAGACCAAGGAACTTATTGGGGAACGCTTCCATGTTCTACCGTAGTCTTCAGAGGTCGCCATACGGATCAGCTCGCTACCTTTACGATAAGGCAGAGTCCAGTGGATTGGTGTGTGTTGTGCCGAAGTATAGAAGCTTGTTAAGGTCTTATCGGATACTCCTAGCGGGTTCACTGATAGTGTGCAGCCTGTAAATACTCCACAAGGATCATCCTCAACGGAGGGTTGGATGGATGGCTGCGAGGACACTTGCCAATGCACTAAGTCGCGAGACAAGGCGTGGCCCCAAGACATATTTCCCCAATCCCAGCTGTATGGGTTCCATTGAAAGGCTATATGATAATAACCGCCATCCGAATCAATGTAGCAGGGTCCGCAGGGGTCGTTGGCCCAGTTTTGACGAGGCATCAGATGATACGTGGGTCGCCATCTAGAAAAGTCCTCTTTCACCCGAGATATCAGACTTGTTGTTAGCAATTTTCATTGGAATTGCAATTGACGTATGGATCCTCGCGGCATCCAAGGTTATTACACGTGAATTACCTATCTTGCAAGCGTTCTCCAGTCGAGTAAAGGGGACATCTCTTGGAGGATCTGCCGTAATAGCCATGATAATTAGAAATAAGAAAGCTGTGGCTGTGAATTTAACCCAAGAATCCACCCGTTCCTGCCGTCAAGAGAATCGAATCCCAAAAGGGCGCCGTTAGCTTCGTGATGCGTCTAGCTGGAGAGTACCTCGATTATACGGTGAACTGCTGGTCAACCAATATATCTTAAGGCGTAGAGAATAAAGACAAGCAATGTGAAAGAATGCAAAGATTGTGCAAAGTAGGTCAAATTTGGACCAAAATGTCGAAAATATAGACAGAGAAGAAGATGATACCGGCCCCACCGAATTGTTAATTGCTTCAAACAATGGCATGCACGTTTGATATGAATTTATTCAGCAACGACTAGATATTCTGTGTCAAGGGCTCGGGGGAATGTGTGCGAATCATATCTTTTACTACGAGATAATCCGCCCAGCAATTGAGTCCATCAACCCCAGACGGAACATCTCGGCGAAACTGGTCGCTACTATCTCGGCGAATCTTGGTTGCTACTAACAACTTCCGGGGAGTTTTCGGGGAAACCTCCGCCACCGAATATTTCAGCTCACCGACAATTTACGTAAGCTTATATGACTTTGGTTGTAGGTGTATGCTCATCAACAACGAGCTAACCTGGGGAATATTCTGGGGAATATTACCCCAGATTTTATTTTCCCCGGAATAAAGGTCCTGACATATAAAGCCTCTCGTCGTCTCGAGCTCCACGATGGACTGAAGACGAAAACATCACTCCATCTTGAATCTCGCCTTACTGAAAATTACCCGACGATAACGGCGACGACAAGTTCAACATGGTCCCCCACTCTGAGGAGCAGAAAGTTGCAGTGGAGGACGGACACAATCCCAAGGTGATCACCGTGGAGGAGTCTGCCGCGTTCACTGGGGATTCCGGACAGGCAGTGTCACCGGACCATGGCGCTATTAATGTGCTCTTGGTCCTCTCCTGCCTTGCTTTCGGCGCAGCATCGTTCTTATTTGGATACGATGACAAAGTCATATCACCTGTAGCCGCAACAGAGTATTTTGTTCGTGTTCTTCCCGCCATTCATATCCTAATATGGCTATCTCGCAATGGAGCACAATGTCCTAACCTTTTCTACAATAGGTGAAGAAATTTCAGGGCCATCCTAACCCGGCCAGTGGAAAGTTTGCCCTCACTGCGCGCAACCAGGACCTTGTTTTCTCTGTTCCTCTTGTCGGCAGTGTCGTGGGTGGTTTAGCCACAACGCCACTTAGCAGTCGTTTCGGGCGAAAGTGGACTCTGCTGGGATCATACTGCTTCTCCTTCTTGGGGAGTTTCCTGCAACTTTTCGCCCCAAACCTGGCCACTTTTGTCATTGGTCGATTCGCCACGGACTTCGTCATTGGAATTGCACATACTGTTGCGCCGCTATATCTGTGCGAGGTCGTGCCAACATCGATGCGTGGTAGGGGCGTTTCAATCTACAATATCCTAAACCTACTCTCTGGTGTGGTTTCTACCATCATTGTCAACTCAACGCACAACATCAATGATTCAAGATCATACCAGATTCCATTGGCCGTGCAAGCCGGCTTACCAATGCTTCTCTTGCTGTTATCACTTCCTATTCCCGAAAGCCCGCAGTGGCTCGTATCCAAGGGCCGCCTGGAAGAGGCAAAGCATAATCTACGCCGCCTGCGTGGCTACGCTACCTGGCAGCTGGAAGACGAATTCCGTGTCATCGTGCTCTGCGAAGAGAATGAGCGTGAGCTGACAGCTAATGTACAATTCTGGCACCTATTCAACCGTGAGAACCTTAGGCGGACCATCACCGCGGGCTCTTTCTACTCACTGAACCAAATATCTGGAGTGATTCTATCGACAACGTATACGACTGTCTTCCTCAGCCAGCTCGGCATTGGCAACGCTTTCGTATTTACTGTTATAGCGTCATGCTGCACATTAGCTGGGACTATCTTCTCTCCAATGGTGATAGATATCTACGGCCGTCGCCCAACCGCTTTGTGTGGCATGGTGATCCTTTTCGTTATCGACATTGTGGCTGGAGCGCTGGCATTTTTCCCCAATAATAGTAACGCGTTGCTGACCATCGCTGCACTGGGCTTCATCTTTAATTTTTTCTGGGCTACATCTTTCTTATCCATCTCTGTGCTCTTGCCACCTGAGATTGCCACGCCGAAGCTCCGTAGTCACACCATGGCATATACTGTTGCCTGCGCTCAAACGACCGCAGTCATCACCACCTTCGCTGTGCCGCAACTGACTGACGCCAGTGCGGCTGGCCTCGGAGCTAAGACATATCTCGTCTTTGCTGGATGTATGGCTTGCGTCATTGTCTGGAGCTTTTTCCTCATGCCGGAAACTAAGGGCCGTACATACGCTGAGATTGATGAGATGTACGATAAAAAAGTCCCTATGTGGAGATGGAGCTCGTTCGAGACTTTAACTCAAGCCAAGCAGGTCACATTGATGACAGAAAAACTAGTCGGCGACAGTGCAGTCATAGCAATGTGACAAATTGGAATCCTATAAAATAGGTTTCAAAGCCTTAGGTTAAGTTATATTGCAATGTCTAGAATATCCCTAGCAACTTTAAAATACAGAGATGTCCTATAACTAGAGCATATATCTGTTAACTTGATTCATATGACATCTCCAAAATGGTTGTATTTAAACACTTATATTGTAATTGAAAGCGAGAGACCGACTCCTCTCTAAAATCGACTCCACCTCCACACCTATATATTGCAAAGGGCATACGAATGCTAGAGCTTGCTTCCTAAGTAGCCGCATCTAAAGAAAGATAAGTTGCTCTTTGCAAAAAAAAATAATATTGTTAGTAGGATCTAATGATACATCATTCACCTTACTATTACCAAAGGACACGAGTTATTGTATCGCTTTAGCAAGCAGATCCATTCGTATTGGTTTTAATAGCCACAAGTTGGCCCCCCATGATAACATCTCCATTCACCGGTAAAGCAAGTCCTCCACCTGTGACAACATACAGCACATTCCTATCATTTAAACCACGACCAAATACGCAAGATGTTGGCTCCGCAAGTGCTGTTGAATTGACGTTACCAGCGATAATGACCTGTTGAAGACCATCGGTTGAAATCTTTTCTATGGAGTTTCCACCACCAGTTGTAATGAAGATATTACCATCGCAATCGAACGTGAAGTCATCATATTCATCGAGAGTAGAGAGAGTGTTTGCCACGGTCACTACAGGTCCGGCAGGTGTACCATCTTCGTTAATGGCAACTTTATAGAGTTGTTGTTTGCCGAAGTTTGAGAAGAATAGCTCACTGCCATTTCGCACATGTAGGCCATCAACCCCTGAGATGGGGAAAGGCGGTGTCGGAACAGGAGCAGTGAAAGTATCATTCAATACTATCTCATAATCTCCAGACCCAATATCCAACCGATAAATTACCCCAGCATTTATGTCACCAATAAGAAGTGTTTGCTGCTCCGGGGATAAGAGAGAGAGTCCGTTTAGGAAATGAGCAGCCGGTATGTCAGTAATTTTCGTGATTTTGGGACCTGGGAATGACACTGTGTCTCCATCTTGTAACGAAATTTCGACTCCAGTCAAATCAACACTCCATACCGCCCAGGACCCAATCCCTAAATCCCCAGTCTCCAGGGAGAAATTTCCAGTCAGAACAGCAAATTTATCGGTCTGGTATTCTGCAATACCAAAAACATCCAGAAATCCCGTGAATTCATGGATTAAGACTGGTTGTCTGGGGCTGGGAGCTGAGGGATCGATGGCAAAGAGCTGCGGTTTGCCAACAATAGACAAGAGGAGTTCCCCATTACTTCTGGCCGCGATATTCTCCACCCACGTATCATTTGGAAACTCATAAATGAGATAAGTATGATCTCGATACGCAGAACTTGCGAGAGGTATGTTGCATACGCAAAGTAAAGTGGAAACAAAAGCAAACAGCTGAGGTTTCATTTTTGACGTAGAAAAAATGGAGGGGGAGTACGAAATCGGTGTGTAGGAGGTTTTTAAATACAGATGAAAACAAATCACCTGATGTTTCTGCTTTATAGAGAGCTAGTTTAAGCTTTTATACTTGAGATACTAAACGCCGTTATGATTGTCGGACTTAAACCCCTATCAATGATCTTGCCGTCTTACTGCAGCGGACTTTGTGGAGCAAAAGTCTGGAATAGCCAACCCTCTATACAATACCCCGAATCCGCTAGGTTAATGGAGCATTTGTCATAATAGTAGTCAATCTTTATACTCCGTCGTGCCGAGTATAACCAACATATATAGAGTGTCCGAAATTCAGATCTTCCAGAAGGCGATTCAGCACCTTGTTCAGAGATCGCTCCGCGTGACCAAAGAGGGGACACGGCTATCTGCCAATAGGCACAACCAGATATATGTTATGTTGAGTGAGCAGGTCACCTGGTACAACAACGGTGGTTCTGCTTTCAGGCGCCATCGCGGCGGAAGTATTCCCACAATTACAAATAGTTTCTTCAGCGCAGATAAGAATTCGGGCCATATCTCAAAAGGGAAATCTTTATCATCGGTTGAGCGATGCGTATGTAGATTACCGCCGCTAGTGTAGGTACGGTACCTTTGAAGAACACAACTATTGACAATATCGTCAAAGTGCCATTGCAAACCGGCGCTCCGATGGTCTATAGCTTTGAGAATATGCCTGATCTCCATAGGGTCGAAGCCCAATGGGGACAGTAATGTGTGGGCAGCCTCTCTAGCAATATCCTGGAGATCGTCAATGCAGAGTGGCGTGAATCGCACCAGCAACATAAGCGCTTGATGTTTTTCATGAAAGGTGAGTGGTCGTGGGTAGCAATAGCACGACTGAGAAGATCGAGTTCACTGCAACGGAAGAGCTTAGGGAAGCTGCAGTATTCTGTAGTGGCAATGATGAGAGGATCTGGTATTTAGGGGGGATTCAAGCTGAGTTGTACTTCGTAAACGTACGACAAATGGAAAGCCAGGTCCAAACGGTACCCATTGCCAACAGGCATATTGATTACAGCACCTTCGTGGTGCTCTCATGGCTCCGTTTCAGTCGATTCAAGGCCAAAATATGACTCCAAAAAGCGTTTGTCCATAAAAGGATTTCAAGAACAGATGGTATTGGCATCGTGATAACTGCCTGTTGTGAAGTGATCATGGCAAGTAATATATGTCAATTTGTTTACCGTGGAAGACCTATTTTGAACATCTACGCGTACGTGACTATTCTTTACTTGGTCTGGTTAGCACTCTTGCAATTGTCTTAGCTTACCACCATGCTCTCCGCGATCAGCCATCTCGGGTTCGTACGCACTACACAAGGCCGAGATCTGGTGAATTTCTTGTTACATCATTTATTGATATAAACAGCTAGGCTGAAGATCCAAGACAAAATACCATGATTCCAACGACGGCCCTCGTCAACTCGCTGCCACGCAATATCCTTGGCAAGAAACAAACTCGGGCCGGTACACCTAAGAGTCGGGGCGGTTGCATATCGGTATGTGTATCTCATAGAACTGCCAGATGATGAGGTTTCCAGCATCTGTTTACTGGACTGTCCCTCAGCCGCTACCGAAGCAGACTGCACAGCGGTTAATCAGCGCTGCACCCTCTATCATCCCTTGGTTGATAACACCCATACCAGAGAGCTTCGCTAACCCACTTGCACTGAAGTGCAAACTCCTGCACCGAAAATGCAACGAAGTGAAGCCGATATGCAACCAATGCCGGAAGTCAGATCGAATCTGCAACTATGGTCTACCCAAGGAGAAACAACGTAGCGGCGGTATTATATCGCAGAGAAGACTGGTTCTCCCCAAACCGGAGACACTTGATGTAGTCGCCGCAAGAGCTCTCAATTTTCGGCCAAGAGCGAGCCACCTGGAAGCAGATGAGGTTCCATATTTTGACATGTTCAGAGCGCAGATGCTACAAGACTTTACATACACTCCATGCACTCTATTCTGGAATCGTATAATTCCCAGAGAATCCATGGGAGACGAGTGTGTGAGATGGTCTATTTTAAGCATTGGGTCTTTAATGCTGGCATTGCGCTCCCCAAGCCCCGATTCCATGGTTAAGCTGCTTGAGGGGCGCGGGGATACCATGTATCAGACTGCTCTGACGTACCATGCCAAAGCCACCGCAGCGCTCCACATACGGATGTTAAAAGAATTTCACACAATTTCACGCCGGAACGTGTTGATCAACATGTTTTTGTTATTTCTTTTTGAGGTTTTAGTCGGAAAAACCAAGGCTGCCGACCAGCTGCTGACGAGCAGCGTGGAGCTATTGAAGCAAAAGCAAGACCAACTTGTGGATGAGATAAATTCGCAACACCACACCCAGGGTCTTCACAATTATCTTGCTCCATCTAATGATGATGGATTGGACCAAGCTGAGCGGATTTTACCCCGGTTTCAAATTTTTCTTAGTCTAAATACCCCATTTTTTCCATTACAGAAAGCTTGCTGGTCTAGGTTACCATCGCGGCCAATCCCTGGCAAAATGCCTACTGTTGATACTGGTTTCGAAGAATTCGGAGCTATGTGGAATAGTTTCATCACACGGGCTGTTATATTCGTTGTCAAAACGATGCTGGAATATCAACCTACTGGACACACTAACAGGCTCAAGCCACTCATAGCGCATCGGATTCTCTTTCTTCAACAACTGCAGAATTGGGAAGCGGCAATTTTGATGAGATTTGGGGCAGAGAAAAATCCCATCAGGTCCCATATTTTAAACATATATCATATGGGTCAAAAGGTTGTATTCATCCTCATGAGCTGCTGCTTCGACTCGACAGAGATGTTATATGATCAGTTCAACTCCATGTTCCGAGACATTGTCTCCATGACCCGCTCCTCTGGAGGCGCATCGAGGCACTTCTCACAAATTGAAACTGCTCTCGACATCTATACCCTTCCAGTCTTAAATTTCGTTTCACAAAAATGCAGGGACAAAACCATACGCTCAGAAGCACTAGACACCTTCGATAAAATGACACTATTAACTTTTAATTGGGACACTAAAGCTGGCTCGCTTGCGAGACGCCAGCTTATGGCTCTAGAAGAAGAGAGTCGAGATGCCTCGGGTTATATTCCTCCCAGTGGTAGATATGTGTGGACTGGCGCGACTTGGAATGAGAATTATTCGGAGCTGGGCATTTTGTTCACTAGTGTTGCCTTGGATGATTACGGGACACGAAAAGAAAGACGTGTAACTATATCTCGCTCAGATTTTGAAACGTAGGGTACATCAAGGTCCTAGATAAGCCAAGATCTTGCCCTCGGCCAAACAAGTTTTGGCCCAACTCCTTAAGCACCTTTTTTGTTCATAGGTGTTAAGTTATAGCTGCTTTCTCACCGCGATTATTAATTTTTGTTTTGTCGAAGGTACACGTAGTACGCAGAACCTTGCTGCCGTAACATTGATATTTGCTGTGTACAACTCCGATTGGTTGGGAATACGCATTTCTTAAAGAAGTTAAAGGCTCCCCTTTAAATTCCGTTAAACAACGCAAGCTAATATTGGTAGTAGAGTTGTTCGCGTTTAAGCTAAGCCTAGTTGGTTATTAGTAGAAATACACCCACCATCTTTACTTTGTACGTTGGCATTACACAGGGGGTTATCGTTATCTACAAAAGGGAGAATAAATGCACGCCTAGTCGTGCACTGTAAATTCTAATTTTAATAAACTTGCTGTCCAAGATTTCCCTGGGCCATTCTTTATAAGATTGGCTATTGATAACTGACAACTGGGTTAAATCCATCATGGTTGGTAAGAGGATTTTTACTCTGATGGGGTCTACGAGGAAGCCAGACGTAATCTTCCGCAATCAAAAGAAGAAATTTAACATTACGTGCGGAATACATTCGTAAGAAGTTAATGTCAGCTTACTGGCATATTACAAGTGCTGACCAGAATATTTCCAAGCACCGTAGGTGAATGGTGCCTAAGCAGCATATATAAGAAGACCTATGAGACACTCTTGCTACTGCTCTTCCCATTGCCCATTCAGAAACCGATAACCTTCTACTCTCATCATGGATTCAAGACCCAGAATAGTGAAAGCCGCTGCAGTTCAGGCAGAGCCTATATGGCTTGATCTAGAAGCCACGGTTGCAAAGACATGCAGGCTGATCAAGGAGGCGGCTTCAAACGGCGCTCAAATTGTTTCATTCCCAGAAGCGTTTATTCCAGGATATCCTGCATGGATCTGGTTTGTATTCTTATCAGGACATTAACAGGGCCAAGGCTAATTCAAAGAATAGGGTACGCGCGATGGACTTCGAGATGAACATACGCTACTGTGATAACTCCCTCTCTATTAACTCAGAGGAGATGAAGCAACTGCAGTCTTGTGCAGCCGAAAATAATATTGTTGTTTGCCTTAGCTATTCTGAACGAAAAGGGAACTCGTTATACATTGGTCAGTGTACCATTGACAGTAACGGCGAGCTGGTGATGTCGAGGCGAAAATTGAAGCCTGTCCACATGGAGCGTACCCTATTTGGGGATGGAAATGGCCCTTCTCTAAACAATGTCGCAACAACTGGCGTTGGAAGAGTGGGGCAACTTTCTTGTGCTGTATGTACTCTGTGAAATTCATCTTCACTGTTTCTTTTTCTTCACCCGTTTTCCAATTACAACATGTTGCTAATTTTTCTCTTAGGATCATTTTAACCCACTTCTTGTCTATAATACGTATTCTCAGGGAGAGGAAATTCATTGCGCTGCCTGGCCACCGGTGGCACCTCATCCAGGCGGGGCAGCTCCATATTCCATGGCAGATGAAGGCAAGCCGGATTCTTTCTTTCTTTATCTCTCTTATATCTCGCTAACAGGAAGTAGCTGTTGCAGCTTTCTCTAGTGTATACTCTATGCAGGCACAATGTTTCACTCTCCACTCAACCGCCGTTATCTCACAGCCATCAATCGAGAGATTAGGTGTTGAGAAAACCCCCCTGTTCAATCAACCGGGAGGCGGTAATGCCCGAATTTATGGTCCCGACGGACGACTTTTGACAAGAGACTTGCCGCCTGTTGAAGAAGGAATGGTATATGCAGACTTGGATATGAGCTTAATCACTAAGGAAAAAGGATTCTTGGATAACTGTGGCCACGCCGGTAAACCGGAACTGCTGTGGGTATGTGCTCATTTGCCTCAACACCCTTCAAAACATCCGAGTAAACCCCCTCTCTTGCCTGGATGCATACGATTCCGAATGAGTTCGATGCTAACTGCTGAGCCTAAAGCTAGGACGCAATGTGTCCGAGCAGGAGCCGGTTCGATCGGCCTAGACTGGACAGGGATGTCGGATATAGCTAAATAATAGCACAGGTAGCTACGTTCTTAAATGTAATAGTGAAGCATTATGAATGATCAATACCCGGCATTAAACAATTCAATATAGAGCACCCGGGTGAAATCGTCATGGCATGAAAACATAATGACAACACGATATTCGATCAATAGCCGACTAATCACCACGCTGCGACAATTGGCATAGTGGGGGACAGATAGAGTTGACAATTTACGCCATCGGCCCGCCATCACAAGTGACTATCGGCTCTCAATGAGTTGTGATTTGCCATGATCCTAAATTCTTCCATCCCCGCGACTCATGATTAGGTTCCGGGGTGATGATCAAAGCGCGGAGGTGGCTGTGATCATTCGACCCAGAACATCGCCACGCAGCCACTTGGACGCTTGGATGTGGATGGCCCCTCCCCGTCTCCAGGTCGGCTATTGAGATTTAGTCATGAGATTTGTCGGCAAGTGGGGAAATAGATCAGGGCAATCCAGTACGAGTAATACTAGCACTTGCCGCGGGTATCAACATCGGCTTTTGCTTTCCCCAGAATGAGAACAAGCGGACCCCAGATGTGCGAAAATCAGGAACCCAGGCAATGGGGAACCGTTGAGCAATTGGCGGGTCTTTTTCCTGCCGTTTGGTGGTTCTATTCCTCACACCATGTGGGGGAGACACCAATCCCCACAACTCACCACTTCAGCTCTCCTTTCTCTGAGCGAACATCTCCAGTTAGCGTACATGTATAAAAAATACATCATCTCCGCCCATCCGATCAGATCTGATCTGCGAAGTGTCAAGTTCACCGCACGCGCAGTTTTTGCTTCTGTCTCTTTTTTTTTTCATTGCGTCCCATGAGACAGCAGCTTTCACAAAGTCATGGCTTCCGCAGACACTAAACCAGATTCCGCTCACGACGAGCATAAAGGCAGCATGGACGTCGGCAAAAATGAGATGCCAAATGATCAAATCAAACATGGAGACCGGGCTTTGGCTCTCATTGGCAATGAGCAAGTAGAGCTTACTGAGGAAGACAGTCGCCGGATCTGTCGCAAGACGGATCGTGTCATCCTTGCCATCTTGATCTGGGTGTACTTCTTGCAGATACTCGACAAATCCGTCCTCGGCTATGGCGCTACATACGGATTAAAGACGGATACGCACTTGACTGGGAACGAGTATTCATTAATTGGCTCCATTGCACCGATTGCACAATTGGCATGGCAGCCTTTCTCCTCCTACCTTATTGTCAAAGTACCGCATCGCATTTTGATGCCCGCACTTTGTTTAGGATGGGGCGTTGCGCAAGCGTCAATGGCAGCCTGTCATGACTTCAGAAGCTTGATGGCCGCTCGGTTCTTCCTTGGTCTTTTTGAGGCCGGCTGTTTGCCACTGTTCAGCATTATTACAAGCCAGTGGTACAGACGCGCTGAGCAGCCGATTCGAGTCGCAGCGTGGTATGGCACCAATGGAGCCGCTACCATTGTTGCGGCTGCTCTGTCCTACGGCCTGGGACATATTAAATCAGATGTACTGAAAGAGTGGCAAATGTATGACTTCCACCAATATTCCATGCCCAAGAAGAAATGTCTCAAACTTACATAATGTACTTATAGTATCTTCCTCTTTGTCGGTCTCGTCACTATTATCTCCGCCCCGTTTATCTACTGGAAGCTCGATAATGATATCCCGTCCGCTCGATTCTTAACAGAACAGGAAAAGGCACAAGCCATTGAGAGACTTAGAGCCAATCAAACAGGAACGGGAAGCCGGGAGTTCAAGTGGCGACAGGTTCTTGAGGCTGCCTTGGAGCCTAAAACGTACCTGTGGATTGCCATGGCGCTGCTGCTTAATGTCGGTGCCAGCGTGACCAACACATTCGGGCCTCTTATTTTAAACGGCCTGGTTTCAGATAAGTATATGACCAGTCTGCTAAATATGCCTTTCGGCGCTTTGCAGACCATTGTCATCTTATTGGCGAGCTTCTTAGCTCAAAAGGCGCGTGTTAAGGGCGTCATACTCATGCTCTTTATAATCCCCGTCGTCGCTGGCCTGGCTGTTCTTTACTCGGTACCTCGCGATAATTCCGCTAAGGCAGCTCTTTTGGTGGGATACTATCTCCTCGCTTTCCTCTTTGGCGGGAACCCCCTTATTGTCACCTGGATAGTCGGCAACACAGCAGGCACCACCAAGAAGTCCTCGATCATGAGTGTCTACAACGCCGCCAGCTCAGCCGGCAACATCATTGGGCCCTTGCTCTTCAATGACAAAGATGCGCCAGCCTACAAGCCCGGTCTCCGTGCTTGTTTGGCCATCTTTGTGGCTCTTGTGGCCGTTGTCGCTATCCAGTGGGCTAACCTCATTGTCTTGAATAAGCTCCAAGAAAAGAAGCGGGTGCGCAACGGCAAAAAAGCAAAGGTTGTCGACCACTCAATGGATTCGGCATATAAGGCTATGGATGAAAGTAATACGGTTGAAGAGATTGTAATTGCAGAGGAAAATGCAGCTGGTACTGCAGAGTACGTTGGAGAAGCGAGGCTCGGTGAGCAAGCGTTTTTGGATCTTACGGATCGTCAGAATGACGAGTTTGTTTATATCTATTGAGCGACATTGAATACTCATTTTTTCCTCTTCTTTTTAATCACATTTTAGTTCGTGATAGTCTGGAATTCGTATCAAATGAGTACAAAAGCCATGTGTACGTACCAACTACTAATGTCATGCACTCAACAAATGTGTATACAATCCAACATAAATATAACAACCAGCACTACTCTATCCGCTTTCTAGAGACCAAACCTACTCGTACCTTTTATGATCTGATCTGCCAAGAAAGCGAAACTCCATAGCCGTCGAATTTGGTCCTCGTAATACTACTACTCACTTACAGCGAGGGCCTAAGACTCGTAGCGCTGAAAACTTGTAGCTGGTATCAGTAACAGTGCCAGTCGCGCCATTCCCGTCCTAATTATCATATGTTTTTACACATCGGACTATAGTTGATTCCGTGATTTCCGATGCTATAAATTTGCGCAGTTGAATACACTGTGCTACAGTACAGCTGCTCTTAGAAAATTATATCGTGTCCAGCCCACCTCGTGTCAAACTGTGGCTGCACTACAAGGTCATCAAGACCACCCGAGCTGTGTTCCCAATCAAAGTCTGCACCAGCAAGCATCCCATCTGCCATGCTCATTGTTGAGTTGCTGGCAATAAATTGTCCCAAAGAATCCAAATCTCTCCATGAAAATCCGCTCAAAGGGTCCATATCCATCGTTGGTTTACCGCTGGGCGGTAAAGGAATGCCATCGTGTCTTTCGACCTCGTCCATTGTCGGCGTTGACGGCTCAGTCAAGGGATCCTGATGAGAGGCAGATTTGCTTGATTGCTTCGTACAAGATTTTCTCCAAAGTAGACGAAGTGATGTGGCGTATCGCCGTCCAAGGCTATGTGGGTTATCCGATGTTTTTTGTAGCTGTGCAATGGTGCCCTGGATGGCACGCCGGACTCCGCGGTCGCCACCCTCGCTACTGATGGCTCCTGCCAGCCTTGCCTAAGTTGTTGTCAGTACATTACCTCTCAATAGACGCACACGAGTAAATAACGGCAAAGAGCAGCTGTACCTTGAACAAAAATACGGCAGCATAAATGACATATAGGCAGTATTTCAGTGGCATGCACTTGAGACCAGCCACAGGGTCGATAAAGCTATTCAATATGCTGAGCAGCGAATTCGCAGCATCGATTGACTCGTAGATGAATCGGGCATCCGGCTTTCCAGCAACGTTGGAGAACAGCGGCCCGCTGGTCTTCCCTGACCCTACTTGAGCATTCCGAGCTGCAGCCCTGTTCAAGTTAGCTTGAAAAGCGAAAGCGTTGATGTAGAGCCGCAAGAATTCGAATGATAGCACCAAAGATGCTTTCACAGGAGGTGTGACTAAGAGATATTTAGCTGGATTCTTCAAAATTAAAACGAAAACGAAAAGACATACAGCTGTGGTTTGCCCATGAAAGTTTCCACTTCCGTACCATGGAAGCAAAATCATCCTACAAATGGGGGGTGAGTAAATTGGCGGCGAGTGTACATGACCGGCACTTACAATGTATCTGACATACTCTCCACCTATGTACAACTGCTGCCTGTGACTCGTTGACGAGTACAAAATATCATGGGCATTGCTGATCAGCTGGGTCAGTTCAAGGTGGGCTTGAAACAACAGCCCCATGTTGTCAGGGCCAAGCGCTTGCTCATGTAACGTCGGAAAGTCTGCAGCGCGTAAATGAAGAGCCGGGCCAGGCCCACGCGACCAAAATCCCTTCCCAAGTCGGATTGACACTTGTCGGTCGCACATGTAGCATGCTTTATCTTTGTTAATATTCCCGGGCCTTATACTTTAGACATGTCACATTGTCACATACCTGCCCAAACAACCCGTTTCCGACTCATTTCTGCAGAAAGCTTTCCCTCGTCCGGCAACAGTGCTGTCTGCTCAAGCCTCTGCAGGTATCCTAGCCTAATCGCCAAGCCAACAAGCATCCAAGCACCATGATCTTCTTGACCACACCCTATGGCGGAATTTTCTTGAGGGCGTTGTGGCGCCCATTCTGCAAGAATGAGAAGCGCCTCCACAGAGCCAACAGATGTGGATCCAGCGTATATCAGATTTGACATGAACGTTTCAATGTGGCGAGAGCACGCGTCGTACACTCTAAACCAAGACGGGTCATCTTTCGAGGCGACGGTGAGAATAGCTGTCAAGAGATGAGGCTCCTTGGCGGCCCATTCGGATATGGAACCCTCTTCGAATATGGAACTATGAGCCACTGGAAAGAAGGGATGGAACTTCTCATGATATCTAGCCAAAGTGTTTAGTATATCAATTACCGCCTGGTGGATAACACAGAGCTCGCCGAATTACCTCTTGACAAGATAAGACGCCTCTGACGGTGTCAGGATTCCATCATCCAGCGGAGGATAATAGCTGGTAGCTGATCTACCAATTGCCTGCTGCATACCGTGTACGAGTCTATTGTTTGAGTCAGCTTGCCCCGCCGATGCATTTCGTTGTCTACTGGGATCCAAGTCGGCAACTTGAGCGAGAAGATCGAGGGCATCCGAGGGATTCAAAAGATCCGTAGTGGCAATATGTCCTTCTAAACCATCTGAACTCGTTCTCGATTCCGCGAGCTCGCGAGTGGAACCACCCTCGTCATGGCTATCCCCTTGCCAGTTGCCGGTTTGCTGCGAAGACAACCATCCTCGCATATCATCCGTGCCGGCTGGATGCTGGTCGGGGTGAGAATGACTTGTTTGCCGGCTATGATAATCGCTGCCGTCGTCGTCGTGCGTAGTGGTAGCTAGGTCATGGCCTTCATTGTCGTGACTGGCCAGTTGAATAGTAGAAGTACGAACGCCTTTGATTCTGCGCCCTCCACGTCTCGACTTTGTGAGAACACATTCTAATTGTTGTTCAACGCATCGGCGACATGGAGGCACACCAGAAACTCCCTCCGAATCGCTGCTCCTCAATTACCGTCAGTAAGCGAGATTAAGCCTGACAAGGGGGTGCCTCGCGCTGTCTGGATGTAGGGACATTGTTCTGCTCACAGATCGCATCTTGTTTTGCGCATACGGCATGAAAGACATGCACGAGAGACCCGCTTGGCCTTTGATCTTGCCATACCAGCGGTCGGCGTCTGTGTCGAGTGCAATTCCATCGGCTATGCGAAACGCGTTATCAAAGGGCGATAGGGATTCTTCAAAGCTTGAAACCAAAAGCCGCGACGAGAGAGTTTGCGGGGTGGAGTCGTTGCCAATAACCGGCATTCGCCTCATCCTCATCAATCGGTGGGGCAGAGCGGCAAATGGGCAAATGATGCAGCACAACCCCACCTTCCATCTCTTTCACAGAAAGCGCAACTTCGCCTAGGACTTAACTCGCGTTCACTTCCATCGTTCTATTTTTCCAGCTTATGATTGTGAACATCTGGGATATTCTTCTGTTGCTCCTTTGATCAAAACATAGGGAAACACCAATTCTTGAAAATGGCTGGATCTGCTTCACAAAAACCCGGCGTCCTAATGCTCGGCATTGTCCATCACGCCAAGGAAGAGTTCAAGAAGCTCTCCGACATCGCAGATGTCATGGTCCGTTAATTCGCCCGCTCCTAAAGCTCCCTATCTTCCTGAATAATTCTTTGATGCTGATATATCTGAAATCCACAGCAAGTGACAACCGGTTCGCGTGACGAATTCCTTCGCGATTGCGACAATGGCAAGTACGACAATGTGGTCGCCATTTCGAGAACATACGACTCGGTGGCGGTGCGTCTCACATATCAGCCAATAAAGCAACCAATTTGCTAAATAAGAACTGCAGATTACCGGAAGATTTGACACTGAACTCGTATCTCACCTCCCTCCATCAGTCAGATTCATCTCACATAATGGGGCGGGTTACGACCAAATTGATATCCAGCCCTGCACGGATAAGAGTAAAACCCACTGGATAGCTCTGCTCAGAGAATATCTACTAACACTCTGTTTCTGCCCAGACATCTCCGTATCAAACACCCCCAAAGCCGTCGATGCTGCCACCGCAAACACAGCCATCTTCCTCATCCTCGGAGCTTTGCGCCGTGCCTGGATTCCCCAGCTCGCTCTTCGAGAAGGCAAGTGGAGGGGAGCAAGCCCTCTTGGCCGCGATCCCCATACTTTGACGCTCGGTGTCCTGGGTATGGGTGGCATTGGAACTGCTACGGCCAAGCGCGCCGCTGCTCTTGGGTTCAAATTGCAATACCACAACAGAAGGTCTGTGGACGATTTAGACAAGCATTTTGCTTCTCTAGAAGTTCCAAAATACGTAAGCTTCCAGGAATTGCTCCAGACGAGCGATGTCATTTCGGTTCATCTACCCCTAGGACCAGCAACTCAGGGTTTGATCGGCAAGAAAGAGTTTGGCTTGATGAAGAACGGCGTGATCATTGTAAATACAGCCAGAGGAGCTATCATCGACGAAGAGGCGCTAGCGACGAGCCTTGAGTCTGGCAAGATTTGGAGCGTTGGGTTGGATGTTTACGAGAAAGAGCCCGCGATCAATCCTAAGCTAATCAGCCATCCCGGTGCTGTCTTGTTGCCTCACATTGGTACTGCGACTATTGATACTCAGGTATGTAATCATGTGTTAATCCACTACGCCAAATACTCCATGCTGACAATCATGATTTTCCGAAATATGCAGAAGGAAATGGAGATTCTGGTAATTGATAACGTCAAGAGCGCGATCACACAAGGAAAGTTTCTTACACAGGTACCGGAACAGAAGCCTGTATTAGCGAAAGTATAAGGAAAAGGAAAGAAGGAAAGTGAATGGGGCTCTAGGACTAAGTAAATGTCAAAAAGACCAGAATAGAGATATTTATTAATTATAATGAACTAAAAACATGAATTGTTTCATGATTAGAGCACAGTCGTCTACATGCTATTATGAGGTGTTGATACATAGATACAGCAGATATGACTTCCCCTGACGGTTGATATGGAATGACTACTCTACTTTAATCCACCGGCCAACAGAATATCCTGCCCCGTCATATATCCAGTCTTTGCACACCTGCAGTCCAATATTAGTTGTGATTTCAAATATCCCCTCCTTTTATGCGATTTGAAAGGCTTACATGACTACCACATTGGCCACTTCTTCTGGCACCCCAAGTCGATGTATCGGTACACTGCTAGCAATTACAAGTCCAGGGTCAGACTCCTTCTTTGCCTCCATGTCACATTTGGACGTCCAAGTACTTCATCCTTGTATGTTAGCCCCAAACAAAAATAAAGAAGAAGAAAAGGGCTGCAGTGTTGCTACGGTTTACCTTTCTTTCGGAGTAGGAATCATTCCTGTAGATCCAATCATGGCCGGTGAAACCTACGATACGTCAGAATGTTCAGCCATCACGAATGTTGAGGAAGAACCTACAACGTTGACCGTGATGCCTTCATTGGCCAAAATAGCGGCCAAGTTCAAGCCCATTGAGCTATAACGCGTCAGACAATACTGACTACTCACAGGACATTCTTGCCTGTGACTTGAACAGAAAACTCACCTCAAAGCACCTTTGGAAGCTGCATAATGGCACCCATTTAACCCGCTTCCTCGACTCGCAATGCTACTCACGAGGATCACCCTTCCCCACCCTTGTGATCGCATTCCTTCGACAACTGATTTTGTAATAACAAACTGACTCCGAACATTGACTTCCATCATGTCATCCCAGTCTTGTTCATCGATGTCTTTAACATCTCGGATGCGACGACCAATGCCGGCGTTTGCAACGAGCACAGATATCGCTTTGTGCTTCTCAGAGATGGTAGGAATAGCAAGCACGGTTGCTACGAAAGCGCGCGTGGATTCGCGGCATGTGAGATTGGCTTGGGCGGTAACGAATAATTGCGAAGGATGACTTCGTCGGAGCTCGGAAGCTAATGACTCAGCTTTTTCCTTTGGGGTCAGGTTAACGTACTATCCGCTGGTTTGTATGGAAAAAAATGTATGACAATTACCTTGCTGGAGGAGTAGTGAAGTACAATGTCGCAGCCTTCGGAAGCCAATGATTTCGCACAAGCCGAGCCAATCCCCCCGCTTGAGTTGTTATGTTAGTCTGCGGTTGCTTCATGCTGTGTTCCCTATACAAACCTAGATCCAGTCACCAGCGCAAGCCGGCCACGCAAGTCATTATCTACCGATTGAAGGTGAAAAGTAGTCATAATGACCGGAATAGAGTTTAGTTCTTGAATTCGGATCGAGTAAACAAAGCACAATTGCCAGCAATTTGGTAGACCTATCAGGTGCCGCAGACGTTATGCCTTCCTTCTGTGACCGATAGGCGCTTGTAAAATGTAAACTTCAAATCCAAGAGGAAGTAGGAGACATGGGCAATGAAGAGCTATTTGATTACTATATTTCAAGCTATGATGGAAGTTATGCAGTATCTCACCTCGTGAGAGGATGTATAGCCGGCGGCAATTGATGCGGCTTTTGATCCACCAACCAACTCGGCGAAGCCGTAAGCGCCAGATTAGCGCGTGGCTTTCTAGCGTAACAGTACTCCGTAGACACGTCTGGAATTCTTACCAGGACTAGTACGCTTTACCCTAGAGCCCTTTAGCACACCAGAGAATCCAATAGCAATTATATAGCACACACCTACATAGAACGGCTATAATAATAAATAATCCTAAACAACAGGTACACATCCCACCTTCTTTTCATAATACAGGAAGAAAGTGAACCCTTTAAGTGCTACAACTGTGCCTCATTACGGTAAGTCCCATAGAAACTGAGGTGGGGGATTTGATGCTGATGAGCCAACGGAAGGAGAAGATATAATACTTCATAATTTATTTCCAACTTCTAATATTAATCTGGTGAAGGGAAGTCGTGAATAACTACTACCTTACAGAGCCCGTAATATCTTGACGGCCTCTTCAGCAGTGACAATGGCACTAGCGAGATTGGCACTAGTAGCAAATGCGTCGATCTCAAATTGCAAAAGTATCCCAAAGTCCATTTGGGGGAATATCTATAGATTATCATTAGCTTTAAGCATAGTAATAACGCTTATTGATCATACGTGTAACTTACGAGTAGCGCCTTCGTTAGCCTCATGGGACTCGATAGCAGGGCGATTTCAACTCTTTATAGTGTCAAGAACACCTTCTTCTTCTTCACATTTTGTAGTAATGCCCTTCTTGCTCGAGATGACTGACTTGGATGTTACGACATCAATAATACATGGGGAGATTGCACCGCCATGGCAACTAAATAGAGACAATATTAGTTTGCCGGACGCTTGGGGTTACCGTACTTACACTGCTGAAATGACTGCTCCCGCGGCGTACATGTTAGATGCAACACCATGGAGTCACTTAGCATAAAGGTAGTCAATGAAAGACGCGGGGCCAGCTGAAGCTAAAAAAAGAAAGCCCGTACTATGGGTTATTGTTAGCCATGTAATTATCTCATAGCAAAATATATGGTGACATGCCTTGGTTTGGCTAATATCGCTTGGCCAAAAAATGGTATCCAATTTGTGATGAAGTTCGCTGGATGGTCCTCCCAGATGCCGCGCTTGGAATCGATAGCCAATCATTTTGCTACGAAAGCCAGTCGGGTTGGTAGATTCCAGTTTCAAATACAAGGTCAACTTCGAAAGCGCCTTTTTGAAATACTTCAAATGGGCGCAACGTCTCAGCAATATAGAGACCTATATGATATATTCACATAAATGCAAGTTGACAGAGTGTATTTTCATGCTAAACATACCAGTTTCTATACCTTCGGGATATAAAGGTGCGTGCACTGATGTAACAGTGATCAGTGCCTTCTTTGGGGACGACATTTGGCATTAGAAATGGGAAGAAATAGGAAACTCATAGGATTATCTATTCGATTCACTCTTGTCTTTTGTTTAAGAGAGGTTGTATTTCCAGTCTTGACGTCGGCCCTTATTTAATAGTTTTATTAGTTCACTTTCATTTAAGCTGAAACAGTAGTAGCGCTGAATATATATTGGAAATAGTAAATTGGGAAAATCTCCCGGCGCGAGATTTAGATCCTTCTCCACGATTTCTCTGAGCGCCTGGATCCTAGTCAGGCATATCGTTAGGTGGGTGGAACTCATTCCATCACCACTCTGCGTCAAGGGAAGCTTAGAGTCCCCCCTTCTACTCCGTAGTTTGAGGAGCTTACATGTACTCAAGGTGGGGCAAAAGTGGACCTACAAGGCTATCGTTGGATTATTAAGACAAGAATCTATTACGCATGTTTTATTTATAAGCTATATCCCAATGCTAGAAAATATTAAGCTACAATGAAAAGTGTTTTCCCATACATAACTAAGTGGCATTTGTTGACAATTTGGCGTATTACACTAATTGCGCAACCACATAGTTTTATCAGTTTTGCCTCCAATCTCTTGTGAAATATTCCACATTTCGAAATGCCAAACCTCCATACTTGCTCTCACTGTGGTCGTGACTTTAAGAGGCCAGAACATCTGCGACGTCATTGCCGGACACGTACGCAATGATTGAACATAACAATATAAAGTCTGAGCCAACTAACAGAGCTATAGATACTAAGGAAAAGCCATTCGCATGCTTCTGCGGAGCTTCATTCACGCGAACGGACTTGCTTCGCAGGCACGAGAAACTCACGCATAAAGGCCCTCTCGAGTCAAATAATGTGCATTCCGGTGAATCTTCCACAGTAACATTTCCTGGTACCGGCCCTACGAAAGACTCAATGAACGATATGCGAATATCAAGACTATCAGTGTCTCCAAGTAATGATGCACTGGGAGCTTCAGAAGGTTTATAAATGCTAAGTTTCTGGGATTCTTGAGAATTTATAGAAGCTGATTTGACAATAGCTGCGTATAATAATCCTAGTTTCATTGATTCCATGGATAGTTTCGAAGCATTTGTCGAAGGCTTGGGATTGACCTCGGAGTTTATTGCTTCTCCCTTTTCCCTCAATATGCCTAGCGATTCTATAACAGTAGCAGAAAATACGGCATTAGGAGCAAATATCCCGACTAGTAGCGATTTTGGCCAAAGCACAGTCGGACCTTTGCCTTTTAGTAGAGATTTATATCCACATGGTATAATGCAAGCTCGAGAAACTTCAATTCCAGTCGGTGGTAAGTTATCATCAGGAAAGAATAGTAGCTTTGAGCAGTGTGCGACGTAATTCATGGTCTCGCTAATAGTCTAATAGGCTGTGGGCCTCCCGGTGCGTGTAAGTTGACTTGTCTCGAAATGACTGTGGACGACATCAAGATCCTCGAAGAGGGTCTCCGGCCATTCCGAAACGTTGTCAATAATTTTGCGCTCCCATCTCTCCGTACGCTTATAAGGTATATGGATACTTGGCGTACTGCCTTAGCCCGCCATTTTCCAGTCATACACTTCCCTACATTTCAAGTGGGACATTGCCTTCCGGAGCTCATTCTTGCCATGGCTGCGCTCGGCGCAGTGCAAACTCTGGAAGAACATACATCTAGAAAGTTATACAAGGTTGCAAGAGCTGTCGCTTTGGAGAGACTAAAAGTCGACAGCGTAAACATACGAGTAAGTGTTCAAACTCTGTACTTTATGGGCGACTAAATTCTAAGCCTCATTAACAGCCAGAAGAGGATTTATCCCTGTATGCTATTAAACAAAGTCTGACGATGCAGTCCGCTCAGACTCTGGTTTTTCTCCTTATATATTCAACATGGGCTCGGGATACCTCTGTCGTCGCTGAAGGGTTCGAGTTACATGAGCCCATAATACGGTACATGCGAGTAAGTGGGTTTGACGAGCACAATAACGCTGCTGAGCAGAGTTGGGTTGAATGGGCATCATCTGAGGTTGAACGCCGAACTAAATTCCTTGGATTTTGCTTCCTCAACATTCATACCATCATATATAATCGCCCACCTTCTCTATTCTCTAGAGAATTTAAACTTCGGCTTCCCTGTTCAGAAAAGGAGTGGCAAGCTACGGACGAGGTGCAGTGGGCTGCGACTCGACAAGCGGATATATCCAATATGATTAGCTTCCAGAATGCACTTGAGTCTCTCATGACCTCTGCGACAGCCGACTGGGAAACCTTGCCCTGCGCTTTTAGTAATCTGATATTGCTCCATGGAGTCCTACAGCGCATATATTTACTACGCCAACTTTCATTTCGAGCCAACCTGGCTGATCACGAAATAGATGGAATCCAGTATGTTAAACAACAAAAAGATGCCTTGCCTTTGCCAAATGATAAGCGCAGGTCAGCGGGTAATCGGTATTAACTAAATCACAGCCTAGCGCTTTCCTCGTGGGCCAGTATGTGGCGGCGCGTATCGGGGCCAGATTTACACCCAACCAGCGAGCATGGGCCCATTCCTTTCACTTCTGTTGCCTTTCTCACATTAGCTTATGTGCGAACTCATCTGGACATAGGCCCTCATCTGCGGTTGGCATCGCGCGATCCAACGGCTGTGGCATCAGCGTTATTTTCAATTGCTCCTTTGCGGCGCCACTCGAACCTGACAAGTGCTTTACTGTATGCAATCCACGCTCTAAGCCTGCCAGTAGCTTTTGGTATTCAACATGTGGCCAGAAGTCAGTCGATTTTGTGGTGTTGCCAGCATGCAGTATGCGCCCTTGAGTGTGCAATTTTCCTCAGCAAGTGGCTAGAGGCCATTGCCGTCAGCCAAATACCAATTACTCTCGAGCGTAAGTTCATCCCTCTCTCCCCTCCGTACCAGATTCGGGTCATAAAGTACTCCTCATGAGTATTTCTTACTTCATCTCTAACTATTCACGCTCAGCATATGAAAATTATGTACTTTTATCTGTCGAATCTGTCATTAAAGAAGCCGTTGATTCTGCGGACTGGGAACATATAGATACGTCAACCTGGCGTCAAGGTCCCCGCCACATGAGCCTGGCAGTGTTGAAAATCTGGTCCAAAATCTTTAGCGAAAAATCTTCATGGGCGATCACAGTACACGTTGGCGAATGTCTACATGAATACGCGAGAATGTATGAGAGTACTCTTCAGCGCTTGGCATAATTTGATGATAAAATCTTGCCTATTTAGCCAGGTCTTAATGATATCTCAATTCCAGGCTGGTGCCCTTATTCAACGTCGATGCAAATCTTCCCAATATGTTGACCTGCCGATAAATACTTATAAGCAGCCTTCACGCCTTCCTCTGTGAATGGAAAGGTCTTCTCCACTGGAATATCCAAACTGTGAGAACCAACAAAGCGCACGCATTCCTCGAGTAACTGCTTGGACCCAACAGTAATTCCTCGAATAACGCAACCTTTGGAGAGGGCAAGAGCAGCAACGTCCGGCATTTCCTCTTGCTTAGCAGCGGATAAGAATCCTATGATAGACACCACGCCTCCGTATGAAATGGAATCAACACTTTGTTTAATTGTCCCAGACCCACCATTCTCAAAAATGTAATCAACCCCGTTGCCTTGGGTGATAATCTGCACTTCTTTCGCCCATTCCGGATGAGTTATGTAGTTGATAGTATGGTCAGCACCATATTTTCTCCTTACATAGCTCAACTTTTCATCGCTAGACGAGGTACTAATAGTTGTTAACAGTACGTAAAGATTAAGCAAGTAACCGAATCCTTACATTATTGTTTTTGCGCCTGCTGCTTTGGCCAAGACTAATCCAGTGATGGATACGCCGCCGGTACCTTTGTTTTTTTTTTTAAAAAAAATAAGTTAGTTGAGTTAATATATTTTGCTCTTAAGATGTAGGTATATATACCTTGGAATAGCACAGTCTGTCCGGGCTTCAATGGAATATTTCCATAAAGTGCATTCCAAGCAGTGGTGCCCGTGCAGACAAGTGCAGCCCACTGGGAAGCTTTTAAGGAGGACTCTTTAGGAACTCTAATCACCGAACTGGCATTGATGGACAGGTAATTCCGAAGGACGCCGTCCACTGGACCACCCAAACCACCGAACCAGTCCTTCATCGGTCCGTATAGATTGCCCGGGTTAAAATTTGCAATAACCCAATCGCCTTTAGTAAATCCTTGGACGTTAGGTCCAATTTCAACAATTTCTCCACAAGCATCGGAAACTGGGATCACATTGTCTTTGACGGGAAACGGATATCGAGAAGTAGCGATAGCTAGATCTCGAAAGTTTAGTGCAACGCTGCGAATCTTAACCAGAACTTCATGTGCTGCAACTTTTGGTATCTCCTCTATAGACCTGGTGAGGTCGACAATGCTCTGTCTGCTATTTAGACGGAAAACTGTTTGTTCGGAAGCCATAGTGTAAGATCGTATAGATAAAGTAAAGGCAAAGTTGTTGGTGAACATAGACAACCATAATGCTTGTTGGGGCTTCTCTTTTATAATAAATTGGTGGGATTACTTTCCGTAGAGTATAGTGTTAATAGATTTTAGCGTAAGCAAACATTTTGAACTGGGGATTTTTGGAGCTGTTGGGGCTGTTGGGGTTATTGGGGCTCTTGGGGCCGTTGGAGCTGTTGGAGCTGTTGGAGCTGTTGGAGCTGTTGGAGCTGTTGGAGCTGTTGGAGCTGTTGGAGCGATTTGTAGCATTAGCTCAGATTACAGAGTAGGGATATTTGGAGCTGCCGGAAGAATTGGAGCGATTTTGGCTTAAGTTTGAGTTGCATATGCTCCGTAAACTTGCTTTGAATTGTGCTTGTGTCATACTTTTGAGTGCTCGCCAACGGGGAGTATTAGTCACTAGTAATGGGACGCAACGCTCCGGTTACTTTGTTTATGCTCAATAGTTATTACTGTCTAATAGACTGCGCCCCGTAAATATTACTATCAGCACCATTGAGAAAATGACGGAATAACTAACTTCATATTTTATTCGCTGCTCTTTAGGCTCAATCAGTTATTTTTCTGTGTATACTGTTCTCGTATAGAATATCCGGGCAATCATAATGCATATAGCTATTTGGCTCCACTGGTGGTGGTATTGTTCCTTCCATAGAGATTTGAGATGGAGTATTATCGGGATTGAAGTATAGTCCACTTCCAAAGTGAGGTGTGAAAAGGGCTAACGCACCCTGCTGAAGCAGCGTTGCGGTGACAGATGAGACGAGCTGACAGCAGATATCCGGCAGAGGCGATGACAAAATATTGGCAATATTACTCTCCGCTCAGTTCACCACGGCCTGATTCATTGACTCTGATACCATAAATACTAATGGCATCAACGGAGCCGGTATCACTTGAGCCGGCGTCATATCAAAAGTAGGCTAGGGTACCAACTGGATAGTGTTTCATAGTCATCAATGCTACTATCGCGCTCAGCATTCGTATGCAAGCTTAAAGTGGATGGTACATAGCCCGAAGAGTCAATTGAGGACGGCCACGATACCACTGACGCATTATCACCTCCTAATTCGACCGGAAATGTACGTCTTGTACTGACGTCCCATCGTATATGCATCTTAACTTTCTCGTGGTGCGCTTTGGGCGCGACATCCGGGGGTCGCGCTTCGCCCGGGGTCCGCTGTGAGCTTTATAGCCTCGTAATCGCCCAGATGGACGTTTCGCAAGTCTTGCAAGCAGCAGGGGACATGCCGCCGGTAAGTGCTCTCTTCCCATGTTCGAGCTTGAACGACACGGCGCTCTATGGCTCCCGTTGTTCAACAGACATTATCATCATTGAATAGCATTTTTTTATTATTCACAGAGGAGTTATTTTGTGTAGGAGTGGGGAGTTGTGTCAACGAAATGTCGTTCGAAGCTGCGATCGGATCATTCTGGCATATTGACCCATATCCAGCTCTCAGCTATTACCAAGTCAGGCCATGTATGATGCGGAAATATTACCAGCTCAAGCTAAACGTAACCTATTGCCGGCGGTGAATTTTTAACCCCGAACTAAGAGGAAATAGAAGTCCTGTGGATTTTAGACTCTTTTTGATATGGGATAATACCATTTATTACCGTTTTGGTATTATAACTAAATTTTCACACTGGTATGTGCCAAATATACCGCCACACATAAAGCCACCAGCGTACTCATAGGTTTATTTCGGATATGTAAAGAAAAGTTGTTGCTCTAAAATGCTCTTCAACTAGTTCTTGTACAAATATGTTAGACCCTTTATTTTACTTCTTATATTCCACACGATTTGGCCCCCAATAGAATGTAAATATCCCTCTGCAGCTATTGAAATGCTATACGAGATAATCTATGCGTTCTCATAAGATTAATAACACCCCTTCAATCTTCATCGACTAAGGCAAGTACTTCTGGATAGTTTTCGGCCCTTATTGTAAGAAAGTGACAAATCAGCTAAGTCACACAATTGGTCACCTACCTGTCAGCAATATACTAGTTCATGCAGTCATCATCAGGTGAGCACAGGAGTGGTTTTATTGGCTATTGTTGAATAATGCGCTCATAGTATCTCAGGGGTTTCTATTCCACTATAGATCAAGTTTGTACGAGTTGACCACAAGCCTGGGGGTTAGTGAACTCATCAAGCCCACTCAGTAAGTTCCTATCTTTTATGCTAGGGACAAGAAGTGGTGCCTATAGCTACAACACACTGGGACGTGGTTACGTAGGTATCTAAATAATCAGTTGGCTTATAGGAGTATGCTGTGGCGTTTAATAAAGGATGGTCATACTGAATTTATTTTAATTAGCCATGTTAATTGTTCCAATAACTATACAGATAGTTGATTGTTTATTGCGAATCCCAATCACTCCTCACAACGTACTTATTGGTCTAGTGTACTCCATAGCCTACTATAAAACCCTGCAGAACATGGGGCGGTATGGAGGGGCTGTGTTTGTACAAAGAGTAAGCAGAATCTTTAGCGTATAGTGGAACCTCGAATCGTTTTCATTTAGGGCTTATATTACCCGTCGCCTACTCTACATTCTCGGATTTTTCATGCCACTTTGACCATTGGCCACAATATAGAGAAGGTGGATGGATATATAATTATGGTCACCTAGTTTATATCTCTGTAAGATAGATCGGCTCTTTCAAATCGTTTTAGGAAGTACACCATATTGCATCTCAGACAATCCAGGTGTATAATATGAACCAAGATGTCTAGGTTGTTGCAGCCAGATACCAACCCCAAGATATCCTCTCAAGTTAAAACTGTCCATCCGCTTCTAGGAGTCTCAAACTTCGATCGACTAGGCCTCGGAATTACCTGGCGCAATACACTTAAAGCCTCGGCTCTGCTCTCGCTTGTTGACCAGCATGTATCACTACCAGGCGTTTTCCCGGCGGCTGGATATGTCAAGATTGTTGCTGAAGCATCTCTGAAACTCTCTGGATCAAAAGTTCTGCGAAAATTTGAACTTGACGATTTCTTTGTCGAAAATGACATGAGTTTAGCGAGAGATGAGGACCAAGTTCAAATTACCGTTGAACTTCAGTCAACTGGTAGCCATGAGAGACATGGAGATAGGACAGATTTCATTAATTTTCGAATTAGATCAGACTGCGCTGGCTTGAAAAAGTTGAATGCACTGGGATGCCTGCATTTGAGAAGTTCCGATGGGTACAAAAGCTTGTCTTTAGCAACGGCAACCCGTGAGCCGGAACTACCTATCCAATATGGCTCTAATCACATATCAGGAACTTCACCAACAGCTTCTTCTAGCAGTGCCAGTTTAATTTCATCTTCACCTTCGTTATTAAAAAGAGGCGATGAAGAAAAAAATCTAGAAGAATTCTCCGTTAGGGAATCAACAAGAGACCCGAAGCTACTCAACGAAAAAGTTACCCAAGACGCGCAACCATCTTCAAAAATTATTAAAAGTCTTCCAATGTCCTTTGGTCAATCTGGGTTTTGGTTCATGACGCAGTTTATCGAAGATCCAACTTTTTTTAACGGGACTGTTTCATTCTTGATAACGACAAATCTTGATATCGATGCACTTGCACACATCGTGCGTGAGATGGGCAGGCGTCACGAAGGGCTAAGGACGGCATTTTTCACTGATGACCACCAACAAGCTAAGCAGGGAGTCTTGGATGAATCTCCATTATACTTGCAGACGAAAGTAATCGGGTCTCAGGATGAAGTACGTGCGGAAATCGACGCAATGAACAATCATGTGTACGATCTTGCAAAGGGTGAAACGCTAAGACTCCTGCTTCTCACCGAGTCACCGATCAGGCATCATCTCATTGTCGGCTACCACCATATCAATATTGATGGAATGAGCATTATTGCTATAACTGATGACCTCAGGTTAGCCTATGAGGGGAAGAAGTTGCCACCACCGTTCCAGCAAAATGAGTTTGCTGATCGACAACATGAACGGCTTCGTACAGGGCAATATGCTGAAGATATTTTGTTCTGGAAGAATGAGTTCAAGGACCTACCAGAGACTTTACCTATTCTCCCTCTCTCGCCAAATACGCTTCGATCTCGCCCAGCAGTAAGGACAACCTACCGCCACCTAAGGGCAGAGAGTCGGTTAAGCCCTCTGATTACTGCTAGACTCCACAAACTCCGAAAGCAAGGATATATACAATCTCCTTTCAACTTTTATGTGACAGTCTTTCAAGTTCTTCTTGGTCGGTTGGCTGAATCTGAGGATATTTGCATCGGCGTGGCAAGCGCAAACAGGCATAACGATCCAGGTTCTGATAGCAGCGTTGGCATATTCCTGAACCTCTTTCCCCTGCGGTTACGTTCACAACTTTCAAAATCCTTTGTCTCCCTCCTTGAAGAAAACAAAGCTAAAGGCTTGGCCTGTTTAAACCACTCCGCAGTTCCATTTGATATAATTCTAGACGAGGTTGGTGCCATTCGACACCCCTCTCACAGCCCCCTTTTCCAAGCTTTCATAAACTACATCCCGACCAGAGAAAATAGATCTTTTGGGGATGGCATAATAGAAAACAGGGAATATGAAATTGGGGAGACTATATACGATATCATGTTGGCGGTTATTGACCCACCAGCCGGTGATCCATGGATAGCCATCATGACCCAGAAGGAGCTGTATACGGAAAACGAGGCTCAGATCTTGTTGGACTGTTTTATGAATCTGGTTGACGCTTTCACTGCCGATATCCAGCTTCCTGGGCGTCAAGCTCAGATGTTTAACGACTCTGCGATTCAAAAGGCAATTAAGCTAGGCCAAGGTAAGTCTAGGCTTCACCTTTGCAATCATGTTTTCCTGAGCATGTTTGTTCTTCGAGCTTAATGTAGCTAATTCATTGAGAACATAGGGATTAGTCTTGACACTGAACTTGGGTCTCTCATTGGACACCTTGACGATATCTCGGCCAGACTTCTTGATCAAATCGCACTGAAAGATACCTGTGGAGGCATGCTATCTTACGGTGGTATGATGGACAAGTCAGCCCAGATTGCCCATGCACTTTCCACGTCAGGAATTCATCCAAGATCTCGAATTGGCGTTCTCCAAGACCCGACTGTAGATTGGATATGCTCTATGCTAGGAATCTGGAGATTTGGGGCCAGTTATGTTCCCTTGGAAGTCACCCAAGGTATTGGACGTCTAAGATCCATCATTAACGATGCCGACCTCACCGCTATTCTAATTCACGATGCGACTCAAAATATATGCAAGGATATAGGTATTGCGGAAGCTACACCCATATTCAATGTTTCCACAATCGGTGGCAGTAAGGAGGCGACTAGCCTCAGTTTCTATAACCCTATTCCTACGGATGAGGCGATCGTATTATATACCAGTGGGTCTACAGGCACACCAAAGGTAATCAATTTCCCAGTGTAATATACTGTCGTATTAATAGGCTAACTATATAAAAAAAGGGAATATCTTTACCTCATCGAATGGTAACAAATACGATCAAGGGGTTCCTTAAGAGCTTTCCAATGAAACCTCAAACAGTCCTCCAGCAAATTGCCCTAAGCTTTGATGTTTCTTGGTGGCAGTCCTTGCTTGGACTTGCTACAGGCGGAACTGTCGTTATCGCTGGGAAGGATGTTCGGAAAGATCCATTTGCACTTACTGGCCTTATTGCTTCTCAAATGATCACGCTTACGCTTGCAGTCCCCTCAGAAGCCATGTCTTGGCTTCAAAACGGCGACTTTCAACAGCTGCGTAAATCAAGATGGGAATGGCACATATCTGCAGGTGAGGAGGTTAGGAGCAACCTTGTTGAAAAGCTAAAAGGGTTAGATAAACCCGACCTGCGATTCTTGAATGCCTACGGGCCAGCAGAGACAATTGTCCCTCATGCTTATGAAATTCCTTATCGAGATCCTAGCTTGACTCTCTCCAATATACCCATTGGTAAGGTCTTGCCTAATTACAGTGTTTACATCATGGATGGAGACAACCATCCGCTTCCTGCAGGTGTTCCGGGCCAGATTGTCATTGGGGGAGCCGGCGTGGCTTCAGGCTATATCAACCAACCGGCGCTTACGATGGCTAGATTCCCAAAAGATGCACTCGCTAGCAGTAGGGCCGTAGCGAATGGGTGGATTCATGCGCATCTAAGTGGTGACCGTGGCTATATGCGAGAAGATGGCGTCTTTGTTACACTGGGCCGTATGAGCGGCGATACTCAAGTGAAATTACGAGGCCAGCGATTTGAGTTACGAGAGGTTGAAGCAGCCATGGTAGCTGCCGGGAAAGGTGACATTTTGGAGGTTGTTGCTCATATTCGGCAACTGGACAAGAAAGATGCTGCTTCTGCTTTCCTGGTTGCGCACGTTGTCCTTGCAACAGAGATTCAGAAAAAATATGGCACAAACGGACCCATCATCGACAGCATGCTCCGGAACATAATCTCTGAGCTTGCCTTGCCACAATACATGCGTCCGTCAATCGTGGTATCCTTGCCATCCATGCCTCTAAATCACCATGGCAAAGTTGATAGGAAACACCTCTCCAAATCACCGCTAAAGGCGGCAACTGAGCCCTTGAAAGTGTCGGCACTCCCTCCCTTAGATTCGAGCACTCAATTTCTGCGCGTTATCGAAGAGATATGGAGAGATATCTTGGGGGATCTCGTTGCGGGACAGAAACTAGACCAAAACTCCGACTTCTTCCTTGTTGGCGGTAATTCGCTACTGTTGATCAAAGTCCAAAGCAAAATTAAGGAGAGAAATGGTCATAATATCCCACTGGTGAGCTTATTTGAAGCTAGCACTCTAGGAAAAATGAGTGCTATACTCGCTGAAAATCGTGAGCGCTATGGAGAACGGCCGAAGGGAGGCTCTAGCGAAGATAAAATGAAGCAAATCTGGGTTTCCGTGCTTGGAAAGATAGTGACTGAGGACAATCTTGGATCAGATTCAGATTTCTTTCTGGTTGGCGGAAACTCACTGCTTCTTATTCGCATACAAACCGAGGTTCACAAAGATTATGGTGTTCTTCTTCCGCTGGCCAAGCTATTTGAATCAAGTACGCTGGGGGGGATGTCGATACTCTTGGATGCTCTGACAACAGAAGACAATGTATTCCATCAGAATCTAGCTGATATTGACTGGAAAGACGAGGTGGCTTTCAAAGAGCAACTCTCAAGCATTATAATGAATGGCAAGGATCGCAATGCTGTTGATGACCCCTCAGGTGGAATTACAGTAGCGTTGACTGGGGCAACTGGATTTCTCGGCAGGCACATACTACAGAAACTTGTCAACGATAGCATGGTTGAAACAGTGCACTGTATCGCTGTTCGAGATGCTTCAAAACCAATAATCAACTCCCCCAAAGTCATCGTTCATTCTGGTGACCTGAGGGACTCAAGTTTGGGTCTTACTGAGGATACTGCAAGACACATATTTTCCAAGCTTTCTGTGATCATTCACAATGGTGCTGACGTCTCATTCCTTCGAGCATACCGGACTCTTCGTGCAGCCAACGTTCTTTCAACTAAAACTCTTGTACACTTGGCCATTAAATACGCAGCTGGCAGGCCCCTACCCCACATTCATTTTATCTCAACGGCCGGCGTTGCTCAACTCGGAACGGGTGAATTGTACGAAGAGTCACTTCCCATACTCCAGCCTCAGATGAACGCGAACGGCTATGTCGTATCCAAGTGGGTCTCAGAGAAATATCTTGAAAATGCACAATCATTTTCCGCGTTGCCCGTCACCATCCACAGGCCAAGCTATGTCCTCGGACCTGACGCACCCCAGCTCGATGTTATGCATAATATCCTAAACTTCGCGGAAAAGTTGAGAAGTGTGCCTCGAATGCCATCTGTAGATAGGTGGCTGCAGTTTGTGGGAATTGACGAGGTGGCACTGGATATCACAGCCGAAGCGCTTAAGAAAGAAGACCCACAAACAACAAAAGTGCAATATCGAAACCACTGTGGCACAGAGAATGATTGGGTTCGACTGGATCAGCTTGGATTGTATTTGGAGAGGCAACACGGTGGGGAATTTCCCAAGGTCGACTTCACACAATGGATCAACTCCGCAGGAGTGGCCGGGATGCCGACTCAGGTGAAGGAATACCTGATCAATCTTGTCACTGATAATAATGCCAGCGACCGGAGTTGGATCTCTCCACGTGTGCTGAAAGGACCGCGTAATATGAATGCTCCCTGGAGGAGGCAGGGAAGGCTATAATGCATCAAGGGTTGGGTTGTCAAATAGCTGACGGCTTAATCTATGGGATGTTTTGCGGTCGGCTGTTTATAGATAAGACTCTGAGCGCAAAAGCACTGAGGGAAAATATGGATACAAGTTAGCTATATTAGTGAACCGCGGTCGAAATGCTCCACTCCTAATATCTATTTTCAAGTTCCAGCCACCAACACATATAATTGGGAACAAAGCTTTAGAGGTATAAGTGATATGATTTTGTATTGGTAACAGCTGAGGCCTTTTGAGTACATCTAGTAAACCCTTCCCGCCTTTAACCACGATGCTAACGCTTGCTCCCAGGGCCGCGTGGGTTAGTGAAGACGGAGGCTGCGAACCCGCATTATCGTTTGGTCTGACAGCTAGCGACTTGATCATGGGAAGAGCGTCGGTTTGCGAGTAACTATCGCTCTTGAAATCCAAGGGAGTGATCAGGCGGGTGCGCTTGAAATTGTCAACGCAATCGCGATACTAAGATCTTCGGACAGTTTCAAGTCGTCTAATCGAAATTGCCACTAGAATGGCTAGCTACAGCTAGGCCAACCAAGCTATTCAAGACAATTCATTCCAGTGACGAATCGCGTGTTGAATCCAGACAATCATAATGAATCAGCTAAACTCTAAGAGAGTAAGATATCAGCGAGCAACCCAGAAGAGACCACTGCTCCGTACACGCAGAAATAATGGGCGCTTTGGCTGGCATGGGATTTAGCTAAAAGCGGGGAGATGCTACCCGCTCCAAAGGACTTTGAGTATTAAGATAGCAGTTAGCCCAGATGCAGCCTTCTGTTAACTTCCCACTACATTAGCAACTTGAGCAAATCTTCCCGTTCTTCCATTCTATTTTTGCGATCGATTGTTTTTGCAACGCAGAAAGCCTGTATATCGCATTGGTGCAGTTATGGGCTCTCCAAAAGAACACCTTCCGTTGGACATTTCCGAGGACACCATTCGGGCCCTAATTGCATTCCTCGACCTGCCAGCGCCACAGTCGGTATCGACTTTGTCTACTACGGCAGAGTACCATTCGATTTATGTTATTTCATTTGCTCCAGAAGAGGTGGCTGCTGTTTTTCCAACCCTTCCACAGTCTAACAAGCAGTGTGTTGAGCTTATCCTGCGAGTGTCTGGCCACCATCTACCCCGCATTAAAACCATCAACGAAGTCGCAGTAATGACTTGGGTGCGACAGAATACACACTTGCCCGTAGCCGAAGTTATACGTTACGATGCCAGTACCAATAATCCATTGGGCCATGAATTCACTCTTCTACAGCGAGTTCCTGGCGTCCCAGTTAGCGAGATTTATGACCGGCTCCCACCACAACTGCTGGAGGGTCTTATCAATCAGATGGTAGAAATCATACATCAATTGCATGCGATCTCTTGGGATTGTGTGTCGGGTCTTCAGTTTGATGATGACGGGCGTGTAGTCCCGGGACCTATAGTGGAGGAAACGTTCTGGCAACAGCCTGATGTGGCCAAATACTGGCCTGATACGGAGTCGGTGCAATCTCTCAATATTTGTGGCCCTTACAAATACTATACCGATTACATAGCCGCGATGGTGCGTGTTTATCAACATGCCATTCGTCTTCATCCATCGTTGGCAGATATGCGAGATCTTCTACCGCGTCTTGATGCTTTTGTAAAGGTCCTGTCCGATTTTCCCGAGCTCAATAACACCAGGTATTTCCTTGCGCACAAAGATTTACACTTTGCAAATATCTTGTGCGACGAGGTGAGCGGCTTAATCACTGGCATTCTGGACTGGGAATTCTCTGGCATCGCACCCGCGCCCCGCTGGAATCCTGTCAGGGCATTTCTCTGGAATGGTCAATACTCCGAAGGGGCCATGGAAGAGAAAGATCGTGTTAGCACCTTGTTTGCAGAACGCTGTGCCGCTCTTGGATTAATCTCGCTGATAGAGGAGACAAAGCCAAGCTCGGCGGTGCAGGCAGCGATGCAAGAGGCGATTAATTACCTGCGTGCAATCGTAGAAGTGCGCCCGCGGGGTCAAAAGGAAGAAAGGATACCTAGCTGGCGTGCCACTCTAGAGGCCCAGCTCAAGATTCTAGGTATTTGAGATGCGCTCGGGGAGCTACAAAAATGTAAAAGAGATACATCCTTGAATCATTATAACAGCGAAAAATGGATCAACGTTACAGACTTCACCGTGGCTAGTCTTACTCAGATAGATGTTGTCAATGGTATATTAATCTCATAGTTGCCTCTAATTTCGTTGGAGTTATCAAAATAGATCTATATTACAAAACACGGGCGCATTCTTATGGTTGCCCAATGACAAGAACATTTTTACTACAGTAAGAATATGTTACCGATCGCGTATCTATCAGGCTTGTAGTGTAGTAAAGCAAATAAATGTAAAGTTTTCTGTAAAATATTATATATCTACACATAATTATATCACTTGGATCATGAGCGTTTATTATATGATAATTCAATAATGGATACATTAAGTACAAGTGTGGTAATTCTGTATATTAAGCATGCATGACAACGTAAAACTACTTCCTCTTCTCTCAGCCAACACCAACCTATCTTGTGTCCATTTCTGTACCACTTACCATAAAATAGTTATGCTAGATAGCAGATAATACTACTACAACTGTAAATGGATATACCAAATACTTTTACGTTTTGATGTCAACGTTGAAATTGGACAATGATGGCTAATTAAGCCAAAGTCAATGGGGCCAATGAAAATCTGACGAATGTAAGTGACGTATAAAATATTCACGTTGGTAGCAAAATAAAAATAAAAATTACGACTAAACTCCGCTTTTGAGTTAAATGAATATATACTAAGCTTTATATGCCACAAATTCAATCTCAATATCTGTTCCGCCAGCTGGCAATTGAGCCACACCTACTGATGTCCGAGTGGGGCGAGGCTCTGGCATTAGCTCTTCCCATACCTATTGTTTATAAGCAACTTAATATATGGTATGTACATGATATATTTGCTTACCTGATTCACTAGAGGGAAACTTTCATCAAAGTTTTTTATAAAAATGGTTGCTTTCACCACATTCTTTAATGTCATATCATCAGCAGCCAACACTGCTTCGAGATTCTTAATTATTTGTCGTGTACGATCTTGAATCTGTACATTCTTTATGAGTATTTTTTCCACTTGTCGAAACGAAGTTTATGTCTTGATACGTACTGTCCCCTCAACCATAGTGCCATCTGGGAGAGTGCCAGGAGTTCCTTGAGTCCACAAAAACGGACCCGCTCTCACAGCTTGAGCAAACTGCGATAAAGATCGTTAGGAAGTTGTAGTTGTGAAATTAGAATTAAATTTAGAGAAGTGAAGGAGGACTGGGAGAAGGGGAGGAAAGACTGGGAGATGAGAAGAGTCATACTAATCCTGGAACTGGCGCGGCAGGCGCGTTTTTCGTGGTTATGTGCCTCAATGACATGGCAGCTCTAATCCCGTAATATCTCCCGCTCGATTCTCTGTTGTAATTTGCCTGCTATTATTATTACCATAGAAAGATATACAGTCAATCGAAGAATTTATATTTGATACTCCGTGAAAATTTAGCGCGCTTGGTATTAGGGCGTGGCGCTTTGGATGGCAGATAAAATGACTAACCCGAGTGTGACTCTAGTATCTAAAGCAACACATATAGAGGCAGGAAGTAAGACTAGTTATGAACAAACAAGCTAGTAGTACGCCCGATTTACAACAACAATACCATCATATCCACTCAGAAGACCGTCGCCCCACAATTCAGAATCTCCATAATTTGGAATCTGACACAAGGCTCGCAGATCTACATGATGGTGACCATTTTCTATACGATATAAGTGTAATAATATATGATGAGCATTATCAATATATCTGAGAGACTTTTTTATTGCTGGTGGGTTGTAAGAATAAGCGCCAAACATAACAATCTATTTATCCAGTATACGAGGGTGTGGAGCTCCATTCAAATTAACGTGATGTGGTTTTACTTATTCCCTTCTATTGTGACGAACCAGCTTCTTGTTTGCCAGAGCATAGTATGGAATAGATAGAGAGTTGACCTTCTATTGTATCTATATATGGTTCTTAAGCAGTGGTTTAATGAATTATAACGACAAATATCTCTCCATTTCTAGTTACATGAACTCGCGTTCATTTTAGATTTGTAACAGAGTGCCTCCTCTGGATTGTAGTAAAACCAATATTTGACAACATTTCTTCGCGATACGTCTTAAATAGTATAACAGAAGTAACCCCGAATTTTATTGGTACGAGTATATAACTAATATGCTTCCCTCCAAGCACTTTTAGGCTTTTGTAGGCATTATGGTAATTAATCTTCCAAGATTAGATCATTCCAGCGGCTGGAAGCCAGTCAGAACGATCCTTGATGGCCAATGGGGTGCTCCATCTATGAATGTGGCCAGTGTTCTCAGTAATCCTCAAGCTTGTGCCCCAGTCATCTGCCTTTGCACAAGCCTTCTGTATAGCATCCCAAGCGCTGGTAACTCGTTGGCTCTTCGTATCATGGTCATGCTGACCTTTACTGCGCCAACCAGCGATCAAGATCCCACATTTTCCACTTCCTAACGAAGCATATCCATCAAAATCAGAGAGAATAGGCTTGTCGACTTCACCCCAGATATATCCAGTGCAACTATTAGAATTAGCGACTGCAGCGAAAAATTCAGGTGCCGCAACAGCCCATTCGTTTTCATCTATTCCCCAGAAGAAAGTCACGGTAGTGTAAGGAGCATAATACACTTTGTTGCGATCGTTCGTATTTGGGTGTATAACGTATACGGTCTCATTGCTTTGGACATCCAAAAGAATTGGTGGTGTTGGCCCATTAATCAGGGCTTTGTGAACATCGTGCTGTTTCCGCGTGTCGTAGTCTAGATTCATGTATTAGCAAGGTACTTCCCTTTTCTTTTCTATAAAATATAGCAAACCCACCGATAAAATGAATGACCTCGTCTGGGTATTTATCACTTCTACCCCAGCAGCCGCGAGAGCAGCCAGGAATGCTCGTAGCTGCTGCATGAAAGGCCTTCATGTATTTCTGCCCGTCTTCTGTTGATTCATCTTCGATCGTGCGATTTCCAACAGTGACGACAGTCACTTCGATAGCTGGATAAACCATGATAAGTGGATATAAATTGATCTTTTCAAATACTATTTGATGCAGCAATAATAGCAAGCAATGCCTCGTTTTCTTTAATGCCGAGCCGTGACACTGAACTGCCATGTGCCTTGGTTTATATTACAATGACCTTTAAATACTCTCACAAGGTGGCTGAATTCAATGACAATCTAATCGAAATGCCGAGTCTTCCTACGCCATACTTGCCTATTCCATGGTTCTTCGATTTACGCGACACCCTAGTCTAAGATATAGGTCGAATGATATGTCAGGACCGAGCATGGCCCCGCCTTTGGCGGGAAGACACTACCGTGAGGATTCATTTATTTGGCTCATTCCCTCAGTCAGTAACCGGTTTCCTGTGTTGCTCGCAATATGGTCGAGATATGGAGCTAATATGAACCCCGCACCGGAATTACACACTTCGGATATTAGCGCTAAACGTGTGCTGGGATGTGGCCTATTCTAGGCATACTTTTCAATTAAAGCCATCTTTTCCGAGAGTTTGAGATGCTATCAATTGCAGAGCAACACTCCTAATACATGCCGAATACTAACGCAACTTCGGTATTTGTTGATTGCTCAACATAGTTAGCTAGACGTAATCGGCACGCGTACGGCTCCCTCCCCACCCGAATAAACGTTGGGAGGCGACTTTCAGCGAGGGAGGCGAAATGTGATATAAACTCAAGGTAGTGTTCAAGAAGTCGATTTCTCATTTAAACTAAAAATATATTGAAGTGGGGTTTATAACTGACGCAAATGCCACTTTGATCAAGTGACGCCAATAACTTTCACTCTAGAATACAACTGGCAAATCTTCGATTCCAACATCTCTATGTAACGGAGTGAAGTTAATCTTGCTATCGGGCACTGCTAGCTTTAGATTAGGCAATTCTTTGAAAATTGTAGCTGCAAGTAATTGTGAGTAATCTTCTACGGCGAGTGTATATAGCTTAGCACAACTTACAAAACACTGTTGATAACTCGGTTTTTGCGAGGGTCTCAGCAATACAGCGATGATCGCCATATCCAAAGCCAAGAGGGTCCTCAACAGGCCACTCTCGATTCATGTTGAATTCATCCGGATTTTTGAAGATGTCGGCATCACGGTTCGCGGATTGGTTGGAGGCAATGATTCCTTCGTTTGCCTTAATCAGCTGCGTTGGCACCAAGATGTCAGCGTTAGAGCAAGCCCAATACAGAATATTTCGTGATAGAAACTATACCTTGCCACCAATCTCAATATCAACCTTAGCTGTCCGTTTAATAGCTAGTGCTGATGCTGTGTGATATCGACAAAGCTCTTCAACGAATGCAGGGGCAAGGGAAGGATCAGCTTTTAGTTGCGCAAGCTGTTCTGGATGCTGGAACAAAGTAACCACTCCCTTTGATCTCTATTAGAGTACGTTTGCCAAAATTAACAAGGATCCGGGGGCGCCATACCAACGCAATCATGTTCACCATAGTAGCATTTCCAGCCACGAGCAGTAAGAAGGCTATTTGCACAGCGTCGGCCTTTTCAATAACCCCAGGCTTTACTTGCTCAACAACGAGTTTACTGATAAGATCATCTTTGGGCTCCTGAATTCTCTGATCCACTAACTTGGTAAGGTAGTCAAGTAGCCCCCTTAATACGTAGTTAGTTTCAACGAAGCTGCCTCACGCTTGCCAATTTGAGAGGGGGGGGGGGGAACACACTGATTTGCGGCTGATGCCTCACGTGCTGTAGAGCTGCCGTTTGTTCGTATGGCATTTTGATGCGTAAGGTATTCAAGATCATGGAACGGCACACCAAGGATTGTATAAATAATCTTCTAGCAGTCAGTAAACCAAGAATACATCCCTTCTTAACGTTTTCATCATGGAAATGACTCACATATGACGGGACTGGCAGCGCAAACTCTTTGATCAAGTCGACGGGACCATTAGCACATCCTTTAGCCTTCAAGGCAGCAAGGAGATTATCAACTGTCTTCTGGATATAGGGTTGCATGTCCTTGATATGCTCAGCCGAAAAAAGGGACTCAACCATGCTCCTGCAAATGATTTGAGGTTAGTTATCAGTGTTTTAAAGGGTATTAGGAGTCTTGCCTTTGATGCATATGATCTGGAGGGTCCATATCAACAAAGGTTGGCTTAGCCTTAGCAGCTTCTTTGCCACCGGCACCCAACTCCGGGAACCCCGGGCGCGTTCGAACCTTCACGTATTTATTCGCTATTAGTAATGTCGGAATTGATTCGTATTCTCGTTTCTTACCTTGGAAAGTCTTTCATCCGTTGCAACAGTAATTACATCTTTATATTTAGTCACCAGCCAAGCCAAACTCCCATCAAAGAGCTTAACTCTTGATACTGGATCCGTAGCCCTTAACCGAGCGAACTCGGCCGGTGGCTCCATACCAGAAGCTCGCCGAAATGGGAAGTTTGGTGCATCGGTTGCCATTGAGGAAATAGTTCGGATGAACTGGCGGCTTTGAGTATTCCGGAGTAGCGTCTGAGGAGAAATGAATCTCGCTTGGGAAGATATCATACTTTTCAATAGATGTAGATGGAATGAGAAGGTTGAGAACTAGATGTTTTAGACACGCGCATCATTGAGCATTTTTATACTTTACCACCCCAGCGCAGGACATCTCAATACCTAGTCATTGATATATCACGAGGCTTCTGTCAGCCTCCCCTAAAAGAATTTCCGTTCTATTCTCCGCGGAGACTACTGTTCTGGTGAGTTCAGTTTAATTCAGATGACTATGCATAGGCTAATTGACGGGTAACGAAAGGTACTCAATTGCCGTATCCCTTCATAATCTAATTGAACGCAAGCGACCACCCTACCGCGGAGATACCCATATCTTGCATCTATAGTCTTAAATTTCCTCTTACCGTGGTACGATTCATATGCAAGAAACAGGCCATTAATCTTCTATTTGTTCATATTGTACCTCTTAGTGTAAACTCTCTGCCAGTCTCACTGACTCCTTGCCTTAGTGCTTGACTTTCTGCCCTAGTCCAGTGGACCTTTTTTGCATACTCCAAATTCACCTGCGGCGAGTAGCCATTCAACCAAAGATTATGCTTTATCTTGTAAAAGTTTATATTGTAGTAGCTATATATACCGTATCATTCTTTCATCGCTGCTAGCTGTTCATGCTTGCAATCCTGTCTTACGTTGCACATTCCTGTATATTCTGTAACATGTTTTTCTCCTATGCTTGTCTCAGTAGAGCAGCAAGTTTTGTCACACTTCATGTAATCCTACAGTCTAATTATTATTCTATCTTGTAATTCTTGTCTAATATAGCCTATTCCTTAAAAACACTATTCGATGCATTTATGAAGTTTTGGTTACATTGACATACGCATTTAAGAGGTTGAATCAAGTAAGCTTGAAAATTCCTATATTTTCAGACTTCACTTTTAAATAAATCAAGTGTCGTGGCTATCTTCACCTTCTATTTGAACCTTGGGTTTTTAAAGAGCACTCACGGATTGGCACTCCACAGGTCATCTAGATATTTTCACTTCCTCATCGGTACTATATTGGGACGGTAAGGTTCATGAAAATTTAATATCCGGAAGGATTTCTGTTAGTAAGTACGGCCGCGTATATGCAAACCCGAAAAAAAAAAAAAAAACCGCGGAGATGGTGTGGCTAGATATGTCGCGCAATTGGTCGATTCCGCTCAATACAAAGAAGCTGAAGCTACATGCAATCCTACCCTAGTTTACAAAAAATCTTCTCAAATAAATATTTACGGGCAGCTTAGTTCAACATTTCCCTTGCGCCGTACGAAATTCTCTAAAAACCCTCTGTCAGGATCCTATACGATGTTCTTTCGATTGGTAATTCTCCGAGGAAGCCTTGGAGATACAGTACTAAGCGTTAATTGTCAGTCGTGTAAATTGGTGGAGCCCCGCAACATCTTTCGCCCCAAAGTGGATCGGTTACAGGGGCTGGTAGCATAAGGTGACAGGAACACCATCCTCCTTCTACAGCCCTGGAGCTCATATTAATAGCAGCACTGCTAGTATCAGCTGTTCGCGATGATTTAATGCCGCATACATGGACTACAAATGAATTTCATGTCAAATGGTTAAGAAATTCTGAATGATGCTACTTTTCATAAGCAGACAATATTCCCGTCAAGGTCGAATGTTTGAACGAATCCATGACGGTTCCTGCAACATACAGAGTGTTTATCTAAATCTAATCTACGAAGTTTCAATGCCTAGGTTGATGGACGTTTTCACTTGCGATTTGCGGCACACCATAGTTGAAGCTGTGGTACATGAACCGAATACCAGCTGCCATGAAAACTTTGCCTATCTCCCATTTATCCACGATTGGTGTAAAGTCACATCGAATCTCCCTGAGGCGCGGAAAGTGTTGTTCTCCATGGTGTTTTGGGGATGTTACAACATCTGCAAGACCAAGCAAGGCATTTGCCAGACGCGAAAGAATTTCCCCAAAATCGTCACCGATATGTAGCGATACTAATGATCGTGGGAGGATATCAATTAGTAATTTGTGGTCCTCGGATAGCCCTGGACGGTTAAGAAATATTGCGGTGGCCCTCAAAAACAATCGTCGAAGTGAAGTGAAGTTCTTGGGACTTGGAAAGGGCGGGATGTCCCTACCATGGGCCGCCAGTACCGCATCCCACTCTTTGAGATCTAAGTGCAATAATTCAAGTATCTCACAATGTCTACCCAGGGCATCAATCGCATGGAAGGATTGGAAATGGTATCGTCCATTCAGGCCTTCGTTCCAGTCTTCCGAATACGCTGCCTCGTAGAAAAATGTGCGTAGACATGGACTTGAGTTCAGCAGTGATTCTAAACCGCCCTCTCCAATTCTGCTTTCGGTCATGCGAATATTTGACAAGCGTGGCAGTGAGATAATGGGTACCCGGTTGAATGTTGCTGCACATTTATGGAGATATATCGCTGTTAACTGGAGTGACCAACGTAGCAAACTACGCAGCCCGGTTTCCAAATCAAACCCCATATCACTATCGTCAGCATCAAGAAAAATATCCATGGTCCTAATAGATAGACTAGAAATACCGAGAACTTCCAGAGCGGATGGTGGAGCACAGTCTCCAGGACCATATGGCGCCACACATAGACTAAGATGCTCCAGGGTCGGCAACTGAGCAATCACCATCGACACCAATTCAGCATCCATCCATCGCCTCTGCCTCTGAGTCGGTTCTTCTTTGGATTTTAAACCACCTCGTAAGATGGGCGCTTTCAAGTCCTTTGTTACATTCAAGGGAGAAGAGAGAAATCTCAATAACATCGGACTCTCGCCGAAACTACGCTGTATTTATAGCGTCTAAACATGTGATAGATCATAGCCCATTCCGTGCGCTGCTTCGTAGAGAGCGTGCATGGCATCGCCAACATCGATATCTTTAATTAGATAATGGTGTATATAGAATCGCTTAGTCAGTTTAGCTAAATCGGGACGTCTTGCCACAGTCCGCATAAATGATATGAGCCGCCTGTCCCATATATACGCTGTCGACTTCAAGGAATGTCCATATCCTGGAGTAAATTCATGGTAGAGAACAGGTTGAGCAATATCTCGAAACATCCGAGAGACCAGACTTAGTGTTAACAGTGCATGGCGATCCAGAAATCAGCAGGAGGGAGAGTTGTAATCCAGTTCAGTGCGATAATAAGCATCCGATGCTGGGAGACGGCATTTAGTCCGGCAGTGAAGACAAAATTGGCTACATATCAGCTCCAAAATCTCGTTAGAGAGACTATAGATGGCCGGCAGAATAATTCTTGGTACTTGGGCTAAGAGAAGAAAGCAATTGTATGGGCTTCGAGGCAAGCTTCGTAGGGAAAAGGTGACCAACTTTTGAGGCTTCAATACATCACTAATCACTGACCCTATGCTTACATTAGAATTACCGTCACATGACCATAATATATGATGACGTTTACTCGTCATGGTTATTACCATTTCCATAATAGAAAAGAAAGAAAGAAAGAAAGAAAGAAAGAAAGAAAGAAAGAAAGAAAGCAACATTAAGAGGTCTCAAGTACATTCATAGTTTATCTGAGATGTATATAAAGACATTCTGTAATTTAATGCATAGGGAATCTAGCGGTAAATTCTGCAACATTCAATTCCACGTCCTTTTCTTTTTCAAGGCCCTTATCAATTAGAATTTGCATCCTTCTTTGCACTTTGGCATCGGCCCAAAGCTGCGCCATAGCTTGGTAGGATTCGAAAAAATGTTCTTTCCGGGGAAGTCCGAATCGTGAGTTTGTAAGCTGCTTTGCCGACGAGAGTGATTGCTTATGCCATCCGGCTATGCGACGTGCAAATTTATCCACAAAGCTATCCAAATCGGAATCTGGAAGAGTGCGATTGATCCAGCCGTATTGTGCGGCAGTTTTGGCATCAAATTCATCACTGCCACATATTATCTCGAGCATTCGACTGCGCGAGACATGATTTGGAAGCAATTCAACCCCCCCACCTCCAGGGATCAGCCCGAAGCTAACCTCTGCCTGGGATAAAATAGCCTTCTCTTCGCTGCCAAACCGGATATCACACGCCAATATAAATTCGGACCCAATACCTCGTGCTCTTCCACGGATCGCGGCCACAGTAATTACGGGCATTGTTGCGAGCTTTATCATCATCAGTGGCCATTTAGCCAACAGATCAGCTGGGATAGACGGAGCTCTTTGTAAATCGTAATGAGAAATAAAGAAATCCGGGATTGCGCTCTCGAAAACCATAATCTTTAGGTCGGATTCACCTTCAGCAGTCTGTAGGAGATTCCAAAGGTCTAAGAAGAACTCTGGACCCGCTAAGTTGAAAGGAGGGTGATTAATTGTTATTTTCCAATAATGTGGTGTCACTTTTGTGACCTCAAGTACTGAGGAAGACATTCTGGGGTGGGATGAGATGCCGCCGCTTACGATTTCGGCAGTAATTAGCTGCTGGTGAGGCTGGAAAATGACAGTTGTAATTATTTTGATCTTGAAACTATATCCTGCATCATGAATAAAGAGGGGATTATATACAACTCCAATCCGAGAAACATGACATATTTTGAGCATTCTAGACCAGCCGAGTTCTTATGGGGCGCTTCGCTTAGCCCAAAATCCAGCGCCATTTTGTCTTTCAAATGCGGAGCTCTCTCCTAATAGAGTAATTTCTACTAGACATGATTACTGGGTGGCAAGTTCGGGCGGCGCAAGCGATGACCTCGGCCCATTGATCCAAACTAGGCCAATCGTAAATTGTGTTGGGTCGTTTGGTCGCCGGGACTACGGTCGCTTTGGTATTACTCGGAATATGAACATTATGAGAGCTGGCTGAGCGAGCAGGTTCGAGGCTCTGTCCCGTACATCCACCGCATCCGCTATTTGTCCAAGAGCTCTTCCAAATGTTATGAAAAATCTCCCAAGTGCATCCGCCATCCGTATGGCCTCTGATCATCCTTAAGAATGAGAGCCAGAGATTGAGTTTATGTCCGTGTCGTGTAAATAGGCCTCAGAGCTATGGCGATGTCATAAGAATAGAGACTATTACGCTCCGATCACGGGGTGCCGCACTGTAGACTTACTTGCAGAGTGACGTTTTCCCCGAGCTTAGTTATCTATGTGACCATGGAAATAAGTTTGGACATCATAGCTGATATTGAACAATCTGTGAAGCCATATACTTTCATATCATAGCAACAAAAATAGTACAAAGAAGCCAACCACACTATTCTTATTAGATCCACTGATTCACAGAATGGTCTGATCTATCATCAAATTTGCTGCCTTGGAGAACAAATTGGTCCTTCCGATACTCAGATGATAAATATTGTTTTCCTTTTCTAGGCCAATCCATTCATTCACCAGTAAACTTTTGCGATTTGATAGTCATCTAAGTCAGAAATACCCCCCCTATATTGGAATTGCCGCTTTCCCTCCCATTCACTGGCCATCCCTTCTTAAGCTCCGGTCTGGAAGTCCCCCCCCCCCAAAAAAAAAAAAAAAAAAACCCCAGCCAGCTTGACCAGGAGTCGGAGAGTTGGAAGACAGATACAGATGATAGCACTTAGGAGGGGTGAAATATGAGGCACTAGGATTTATCTACTATGCACTCGTCTCATATACTTAAAAGCTCGCGGGCTCATTTACGATCTATTATTATTTGCAGCTGATGTCATCGAAGAACGCAGATGTCCCTTATCATGAAAGCGCAAATCTCCCATTCTATCGGCTCTCATGAACAATATATAGTTTAATGTATCACTGCGCCATGCTCGAGGTACTGCATATTCTTCCCTCACAAATCCATAGGATACTTTTGATCACTTGCATCAACTGCTGAAAGGATTTACCGTCCAAAGGGTGGTTTTTGTATTAATAGGAATGTTCTTGACAAATATTATCTTCATAATCCTTATTTTACATGGTGAAATTTAGGCTACCCAGTCAAATATACTTTGAGAATGACGAAAAACGCTTACTCTTAGTTAATGATGATAGTGGCGGTGATGGTTATGGTGTTGTAATGATATCGTAATAAGTGCCCATTTGTGTACAACCCAACATAGTCCAATTCCAATCATGTTCATCCCAGGATCATCACTAATATCTCAACCAACCTGTAAGGGATCAGATAGGGTCACAACTGGAGAGAACGAAGGTAAATGAGAAACAATCTAGAATACGGGAGGTACTAGGCTCAAATGCGATCATACAAGGTGGTTAGAAACTGGATGTGATGTGAGAAGAAAGAAGAGCTAACAAGAGCAACGGAACAGGGTGGAGGAACGAGTAGTAGTGGGCTCACGTAATTCCCAGCACATCATACTTGGCAGCATTTTTTCGTAATCCCGCATCAAATGCCCAATTATAGTATTTAGCATATTTACCACGCCCAGGGACGTTTGTCACGTATCGCAACGACAGCTCACAAGACACCTCTATCGCCTGGTTCCACATGTTACTAAGGCAGTTCGTGAGCGGATTGGATTTGTTGCTGTCATTAATATTAGTGGCATCCATGCCCGTCAGAGAAGATACCACATGAAAACGCAGAGCTGTCTGGTCCATCATAACGCAAGGATGTCTGATTAACGCATTTATCTCCGGCAACCATAAAACTTGCTTCTTTCTGGAATAGAGAGAGTTTATAGACGACAGGGATATGATGTTGTATACGGAGCTTGTTAATGTGAGTACCTGAAATGGACATAGCTTGCTGCAGTCGTAGGCATGCTACACGGATCTGCTATCACACAACTTTCGAAAAAGTCAAGCATTAGGCGACATCTATCGTCATCTTCGGCGTTTGGTTAATCATGATATTGCTAATACAAGCTCATATATGCCTCATAAGGTGGAATCAGGTAACTTACATGTCTAAATAAAACCATACCGCATCATATACGTGGTTTAGTTCTCGATGCCCACTCTAAGATCCTGGAAGAATTTATGTTGATAGGTAGAAAAAAAAGTCTGGGCTAACTTGCTCGGTGTCTACTCTCTAAGGGACATGTTCGCTACCAATGCGGCTCGTGTTAGCGTAGGAACGTTGTCTTCTGAGAAAGACGCCTAATTGTAGAGCACAGGTGCCGATTTATCCTGTTCGGCCATGGATGTTTAGCTACGTGTGATAACATCGTCCTGCCTGATGTAATGTCAGGCGTGATTCAAATGGAGCTAATTAATTCCGAGGTAGCTATCAGGAGCCGCGATTCCTTAGCACTCTTACAGCTGCCTAAAGCAGAAATATTGTACACGAGCTAAGAAATACCACAGTAGGGATATTGTAGCACAGCTATTGTATACTTCTTACTTGGGCAGTTACGGTCCTAAGGAACCCATAGCATCTTATATCTTGGAAACATGGAAATCCACAGAGAGTTGTCATCATTTCAACTGCGCAACCAGTCGATTGCTCAAGTTTGATGACAAGAGATCTATGCCGCCGTCCAATTTCGCCGGGAATGATATCTGCCACATGTTTCGGTTTCCTATCCCTATATCACTAGACTTTTTGTCATTCATCTTTTATACTGCAATGGCTGATGAGTGAGTCAGCTGAATCTTTAACAGGTAATGTCACAACGCCAGACGGTCCGCTTGGCCCATGTAACACCCCTTTCTTCTCTTCCACAGGTACAAAGTCACTCAGTGAAGCATGTTGAACACTCGATAATGGAAATTTACTGTATTAGGTAAATTAAAAGTCTTTAAATGATGTATTCCACTAAAAGAGTATTTTTAAATTCAAGACGAATAACTACCTAGCTGCCACAGTATAAGTAGCCTTGTCTGCCCAACAAGCCATCTCAGCCCCTCTAATTTGGTACGAGCATGGTAGCAATTTCCATAACACGAATTCACGATACTTCACTTCCTCATTTCTCAACTGATAGTTATTTACCCTGTATATATTTCATATATTCAAGTTAAAATATTTTCCCCTTGAGTCCCTGTATAAACCGCGATGCTTTCTATCACCCTTACTCTCTGCCTAGGCCTCCTAGGCCTTGTGGCTGCAGCTCCCTCCTCCCCGTTCGCCAAGCTCACGGTTATCAAAAAGTCGTTTATCGGGGAGGCACTAATAACGAGAACAATGATCTATCTACCTATTGCGAACCTAACGCAGGCATTGATATTCTTGTGCTCTCTTTCTTGGATATATACGGCTTAACAGGAAATATCCCTTCTGGTAATATCGGAAACTACGGTTATATCGGCACGACTGGTGTGCCCTAGCAATGCGATGACTTGGCCGCCTCAGTAGCTACTTGCCAGGAAGCCGGCATTAAGATAATTTTATCAATTGGAGGCGCAGGTAGCTCTTATTCTGTTCAATCTCTGTCCCAGGCTGTGGCTATTGGCAAGTATCACTGGGAAGCCTACGGCTACTCCGGTAGTACTTCTGTGCAACGACCATTTGGTATTGTTTTTGTAAATGGCTTTGATTTTGACGTTGATTTAAATGCTGGGAACCAGTTTTACCAATATTTAATCTCAACTCTCCGGTCTAACTTTGCCAGCGATCCCACGAATACATACTACACTACGGGTGCCCCACAATGTCCCATGCCATTGAGTTCTTTCCACAAAGCCTGATACTTTGCATTACAAACATAATACTAACAAGATTTGTGAGAAAGAGAGCTTAATATGGGAGAGATTACCAGCAGCTCTGAGTTTGATTATCTCTGGATTCAATTCTACAATAACAACGGGTACGCTCCAGCCTTGCTCTCTTGGGTTGCCAGGTGACGAACCTTTCAATTTTAATAACTGGACGTCATTTATCGCTACGACACCGCCTAAAAATGCTGTATGCTTACTCTAATTCACCAATTTACCTTTTTTCTTAAGTCATTAACAATCTAAACCAGAAATTATCATCAGCGTACCCGCCAATACTCTCGCTGCCAACGGCAATGCCGGCGGCGCGATTTACTACGCCACGCCCTCTCAATTCGCCTCTACTGTCCAAGACACCAGATCTAGCCCGGCGTTCGGTGGGATAATGATGTGGGATGCTGGTTACTCTGATGCTAACGTGAACAACGGATGCACCTATGCGCAAGAAGCGAAGAATATTCTCCTAGCTGGTTCCCCGTGCGGTGGCTCACTACCTGTCAGCTCAAGCCTCTCGACGACCACGGCGAAACCCACCAAGTCCGCCACTAGCACCAGATCAGTCTCGGGAACGAGTCCAACAGGCACAGTTCCCCAATGGGGCCAGGTGGGTAAAGCCGTGTTAAACCTCCACCCCGCCCCCAAAATTTATACTCGTATGTCTTCTTGTGTGTGCTGACTTGTTCAACAGTGTGGCGGCGAGGGGTACATAGGTCCAACTCAGTGTATCCCCCCCTTCAAATGTGTGGAATCAAGCCAATAGTGGTCATGTTGCCAATAGAGTGGCGGTTGTGTCGTTATGGGTGGAAACCTTGAACACTAAATGAAGCTCGAGAAGCTATCCAATTAATGTTATGACAGGATTGAAGAACAATCGAAACAGCAACTCGACTGGCAAACGTTTCATTGTCTTTGCTCATAAAACTGTGTGGTGAGATTTGACTCACTTGTTCAGAAAGAAAGAGGGAATAAATGTTCATACTGTGACAGGTTTCAATAAGAGCAATCGTATTTGCACCGTAACATATTCCTATTTGAACCGTAGTAGCCCGTGCACACAAACTTTCTAAAACTACTATCCATTTCACTTATAGAAAAAACACTTAAAATAAAATAAATAAATTTATTTTATAATATTATAATATTATTTTATACTTAATTATATATATATATATATTTTTTTTAAAATTTATTTTAAGTTATTATTTAAGCTGTAATATTTCCAAACCTTTATTTATAAATTTTATAAGTTATATATATAATAAAAAAAATGATATTAAGCTTTTTTAATTAATGTATATATATAAAAACTTATATTTTAAATTTATTAATTTTTCTATATTAAAATATATAATATTTTATTTTAAACTTCTTAAAGTTTAAGTATCTTTTACTTATATAATATAAATTAAAAAAATATTTTAAAAATTAATATTAAAAAAATTAGCTATTTAAATTATATAATAAATTTTAAAAAATATTTTTATTTATATTTTTAAGCTACTTCTGTTTGTTTTAAACTGTAGTGTGTTTTTAATAATCCGAGAAATGTCTAACGCACAGGCCACTACGGTTCAAATAGGAATGTGTTACGGTGCAAATAGGATTGCTCTTTAAAAATGGGGATTAGCGTGTTAAAGCCTTAAAATTTTTGGAGTATATTGGATACGATTTACTTGAGGATGAATTCCATGCTCCTGTTCCCACTCGCAATGCCCTCAATGAGGACGGTTACGTTTTATCGTCGTTTTCTCTGTTCAAATGTGGGGTTTACATTTGAGAGGCTTATTAGCAACTCTCACAGGTGTTGGAAACGCTAGTGCTTAGCGTCTTTTATTTGGATAATCCCCACCTGGGGTTCGAATTACGTATTGCTACATAGTCGGAGCGGCCTAGAAATCCTCTAAAATAGTTCTTCGCACAAACTGAATACGCAGTAGGTTCGAATCTCCCAACCTTGCTGGCTCTCCTTCATCTCTCGCCTCGGAGAGTCGGTAACTTCCGATCTATTATATCGTGAAGCACGGCTCGCTATCATACAGTATATCCTACAGAGACAATTAACCTCCTCAGTCCCAATTCTACCATACCGCTCACGATAATCTGGTACAATGTTGCCTCCGCAAATTTCATCTACATTCCACGTTCACAGGGGGCATAGCCATCTTAAATGGTCTAAGGCCATCGCACCCGTATTGACCGTCGACTCAAATGATATTGTAACTTTTGACACTGTCGATGGGAGCAATGGGCAGATAACGCCAACCTCGACCGTGGAAGATATCCTACAATTCAAGGCTGAGCTGGCGGACCCCCTCTTTGGCCCCGTGTATGTGCGCGGCGCCGAACCGGGAGACACTCTGGAGATTGAGGTTTTGGAGCTGAAAACTGCAGACTGGGGTTGGACTGCTATTATGCCTGGCTTTGGGTTACTTACAAACGACTTCCCAGAAGCACAGCTAAAAATATGGAAACTTGATCCCAATGATTCATGTGCAACATTCAAAGACGGCATTCGCATTCCAACTCATCCATTTCTCGGTGTTATGGGAGTGGCTCCTGGCGAAGGAGAGTTCCCCACTATTCCGCCGCTTGACACAGGAGGCAACATCGATACCCGCCATATCATAGTTGGGTCAAAGCTCTTCCTGCCCGTGAAAGTTCCCGGTGCATTGTTCAGCTGTGGGGATGGCCACGCTGCTCAAGGTGACGGAGAAGTTTGTGGAACTGCTATTGAGACCCCCATGCAAGTGAAGGTACGATTCACAATTCGGAAGGACATGAAATGGGTCACATCTCCCAATTATGCCTCTCCATCGTCGGCCCTTACATTGGCTGAAGACCGGGGATATTATGCCGTTCTCGGAATTGATTCGGATTTGTTAGAAGCTACTCGCAAGGCTGTTCGCGGCATTATCGAGTACATGGTCCAAACAAAGAATCTGACACTGGTAGAAGCTTATATGCTTGCTAGTGTCTCTATCAGCCTGAGACTTTCAGAAGTGGTGAACATGCCCAACTACGGTGTTTCAGCCAGCGTGCCACTCAATATCTTCTCGCGTTCTTTCTAATAAGAGCCACAAACCGAACCTTGGCCAACTCAGAGTATGACCCAATTTTAACGCTGGAACGCCTGATGGTTATTAGCAGCTATTATATCTCTTTGGTAAATAATTTACGATCTAAGCGGAAATGATTTCACATCCAACATGCTTTGATGGAATTGGTGCTGAGATAGATCCTTTGTATTAGATCTACAAATAATACAATCATAGTAAAGCTTCCCACAAAAGTTTTCCAGCTCTGTAAGGGCGAAAATGAGTCAGTAAGATGCTCGATGTTATTTGTTCCCACAATAACCTTTCTAGTCATACGATATGCTAAATGTGAACATACTTGGAAGCACATGGCTGCCATATTATCGTAGTAATTGTATTAGGTATTCCAGTCTAATAGCAATTACTTACCCACCGGCTACTCACATACTAATCTCTCCCCAACCCGAGCCCATAGCCTAGGAGTATCTAACTTGTGTAACTATGGACTCTACCAGTTAAGATCAAATGTTGCCTGCCCAAAAACGAAGAAACGCTTCTTTCTTATTCTTGGGCGGCGGCAAAGGGTCTGGGTTGCGATGTTTCTCATTTAATGGTAGACCATCATTTCCCACATCAGTAACAGCGTTTTGCTGCTTTCCGAGAAAATAGTTCGTCTGAAAGAAAGCTGCCACAAGGGGGACAAAGGCCAGCGCCAGTGCCACAATAATACAGTAATAGAGAGCATGGCGATATGCTGTAATAGCACCTTGGCGAATGGGATCCTCGAAGTCATAAGCAGTGCGCAGAGAGCGCATGTCACCAAACAACTTTTTCAAAGTTGTTTCCGGGGTGCCGTCTGGCAAGTATTTTCGCAGCTGCTTCGGCATCTGATTAGACCAAATAACGGCGACAATGGCAGAGCCGATGGCACTGCCAATCTTTGACCATAGAGAGAGTAACGATACTGCGAGGGCAACATCTTGGTGGGGGACAGAAGCTTGAGAGGCGACACGGGATCCTACAACGGACATTGAACCACCAATGCCAATCAGGATGCTTGACATGACAAGCGCGCCAGTCCCTACAGCAGCAACGTGCCCATCCAACATGATACCTATGCCAATGATTTTGATGCCAAGGCCAACAATCTGGATGAACTTATATCGATGAGTCCAGCGCTGGGCTAAACCGACGAGCGGACCGGTAATGCATAACGCCAATGTCAGAGTATTGCCATAGTAGACCCAGTCTTGATAACTCCAAGGCTTCGCGACATAGACGTACGAACTCCAGTAGAGACTACGAATGTTTCCGGCAACTAGAGAAAGGAAATTAGCAAGAATATTTAGTGGATATCTGACCAACAATGCAATGCTCACGCATGTAAAAAGAGTCGATGACAATCGCCATCACAAATGTTTTGTTGAAAACAAGTCGACGGGGCGCACTAGGAACACGGGCGAATTTCATCTCAAAGACAATATATGCCATTAACAAAAGGCCGCCTACAATCATCATAGCGATTAGAGATTGATTGCGCCACCCATGTTCAGCATAAGTCTTGAGCGAAAACGGCAGAAGGAGTAGTGACCACCCAAAGCCAAGCAGAACCAGACCAAATGCATCAATCTCTTCAAGATTCATCCTCAACGACTGAGTCCACTTCTCCTTATTGCCGGCCACAGGGGTGGTCATGTTACCGATAGTCTTTTGCTGCGCCTCTTGGTCTGCCGTGTCGTCAACATTACGTCGTGCAGCATTACTGGACGCTATATTGACCACGCCCTTCTTCTTAGCCATGCGATCAAGCCAAATTAGCGCCGCAACGGCAGGACCCAGGGCAACTGGCATAATTATGGCAAACATGCCATAACCCCAACGCCATTGATTACGCTTTTCCAACGCATCAACAATCTTGCCTGAAAACCAGGTATTAATGATGAATGGGGTGGAGAGCATGGAACTGGCGAAGCCGCGCCATTCAAGTGGTGTTAGATCTGCAACGATGATATCATTGGTAAGGTCAATTCCAGAACTACCAATAGCCACAAATACTTCCCCAACGACATAAGCTGATATTGTCTTGGATGTGGCGGCGATTATATAGCCAACGATATAAAATCCTAGAATCAGAAGATATGTGTATGGGCGAGAGGTAATATCGGAAATTTTTGCAATAAAAGGTTTGGAGACAGCACTTATGATGCTAGTAGCAATTGAAAGGGTTGCTAAGATAGAACTGTGCTGTTTGAAGAAAGATGAGGCATCAACACTGTAGTAAGATGTCGTAGATGAGTCCAGTGAGTAAGCCCAGGCGCAGACAAGAACTGAAGCTCCCACGAGCCAGAAGAGTTTGCGATTGGATTGCGACTCTCGGTACACGGCCTCCATACGAGTGACACCCCTAGACTGAATAATATCGCCATCATGGGCTCCAGGCTTGAGTATATCACTTGTATTGTCCGCGTCAGGGGCACCTGCACTGATTGGAGTAATCTTATCGTCTCCAGACATGATATTGAGACATAGAATATGGATAAAAATGTTTAAAGATTCAGAAACTAATGGAAAAGGCAGCAGTCGGCCTTTTATAATACCGCCTCACCCTGCTTCTTCGGACTCTTGGCACTCAGAACTTTCAAGTTGTTTAAAGTGGAACAAACAAGGGTTGTAGTTTATTCTGAATAGCGTCTGACACCAGGCCCATAATTTTTATCTGATCAGATTGATATGACTGTTATCATTCGTTCAGCTTGAGCCAGTCGCATGACCTTATATGGAGCATAGAGTAGTAATTGAATACGAAGTATGAAAAATTTTCTCAAGCTAGGGTATCGGAAGCGCATGGTTAGCCTATAATGGTTTGAAAACATGAGATTAATATGCCCGATAGGTATAATTGGAGACTGTGCGGAAGAGTTGGTCAGATGGGAATCACCTCGGAGTTACATGGAACAGTTTGAACTAAAATCTCTACTCAAAGATCTTTTGATTTACTCAAATTTGGCTGCTGTGGATCTAACTCTGTCAGCAATCAACACCCCTAGTTCTTAGTAAAAGGTATTAAGCTTGTTCTGGTCTAACACTAGCATACACCCGCAAGCTAGACATTAATTTTGTTCTTTCACCATAAGCTAATTGAGACGACGATTGTTTTTTTATTACTAAGTAACATTAGGCAGGCTCTTACGAATGTTCGTTAGACTAGCTGGCTCGTGAAAGGCTGTTATAAAGAGCAATCCTATTTGCACCATAGTATATTCCTATTTAAACTGTAGTGCTTTACATTACTAACTACATTTACCCCTAAATTATAATTACTATATTTACCTATTAAAATATAATATAGTACACTGGGAAATAATATTTTAATATAAAATCTTATATTATAATACTATAGATTATTAATTAATATTAATTATTTTAAAAAATATATTTCCAGCCCTTTTAATTTAATGTTAATACTTTTTATAAATTAGTTAATTTATTTAGTTTATTAACGCTAGGTTAGGTAGCTGGGATAATTTTAATAACTTCCTTAGCCTTTAACTTAATCTTAAGCTTAATTTTAGGTTTAGTTTTAAATACAGCAGTAGTTATTATAGTTAGCCTTACTGTAAAAAAAACTATTTTTAACTTTTTTAATTATTTTATTAACTATAATAAAGCTGCTTAAGTGCAGTTGTAACTGTAGCTTTAGGATAGCCTTTATAAGCCTTAAGCCTTAAATTAAAAGAAACTACAGTATATATTTAGTTTTATATATTATAATACTTATAATTTTTATTTTAATTACTACTGCTATATTAATAATATTAACTGCAGCTATTAATATTTATTTTAATTATTATTAACCTTTAATATTAATAATATAAATATTTTTTTATTATTTAAAAAGTAAAATTAATTATAAAGATTTTAAATAATATTAAGATTATAAATTTAAAAAAAAAGCTTATTAATATCTTAATATTATATAATTAATAGTTTTTTTATAAAAAAATAATAAAAAATATATTAAAAGTTTAATTAACTATTATTATAAATAAATATTATTTTTATTAAAGGCTTTATTAATATTAAATTTTTTAAAAATTATATAGTTATAAAAAAATATATATTATTATATAAAGCTACTGGTATAAGGGGGTAGTAGCTTAAGTATTAAACTATAGCTTAAGGGTATTATAACTATAGTTAAATAATATTACTATATAAGGAGATTAATAATAATATAGCTAACTATTATAAAGATATTATTTAATTAACTTTATTATTAAATAAAATATTATTACTATTATATTTATATTTTTATAGTATTTTTATTATAATTTTTTTTTTTTTATAATATAAAAAAGATTATATTATAAAAATAAAAAAGGTTATTTATATTTATAATAAAAAAAGATTTTATATTTTTATATATTATTTTTATAAAATTATTAATTTATTAATTAAAATTATAATAACTTTTAATAAAATAATACACTTATTATTTATAATATAGTATATATTTTTTTAAAATATAATATAGGATATAATTCTACGTTAAATTATATATAGTTTTTATTTTATTTTATATTAATTAAAAACTAGCTTTATTTTTAATATAAATAACCTATTATTAAATGTAAAATATTCTATTATAAGTTTAAGGCTTAGCGGTAGGCAGTAAAGTAATATAATTATATTTAGTAATTTTTTATTTAATAATATATATAGTAAAGTTATTGCTATTTTAGGTAGCGGTGGTTTAAGCGTTAAAAAGGTTATTATTACTGTTAATAACCTTAGTTTTACTATCGTTAGCTTTATTATTATTAATATTATTTTTATTTTTTTACTTTAATTAAATTTTTACTTTAATATTAACGTTAATATAATATATATATAACTGCTGCTATATATTAAAAAAAACTAATATAAAAGTATTTTTAAAGGCTATTTTTTTATTTATAATTATTATAGTTAATATTAATATATAAAAGTTTTAATAAAAATCTTTAAGCTATTAGTAAAGCTATAAAAAGTTATTTTCTTTTTTTATATTAATAAAGCTAAATATAAAATTAATTATTAACTTTTAGTCTATAATATTTATAACTTTAAAAAAATATATATAAAAACAGTTAGTTTTATAGGTATTATTAAAGCTTAAGACTTTTAGGAATTAACGCTATATTTTTTTTAACTAAAGGTAAATTTATAGAATACCTTAGACTTTATTATTATTATTAAGTTTAATATAATAATAAAAGTTATTATTTTAAAGCTATTTAATTTATACTTAGGTAATTAATAATTTATTAAATCTTTTAAATTAAATTTTTTATTTATTATTATAGATATTTAATTAATAAAAAAATATAAATTTAATAACAGTAGTGTTAAAGTTTTTTAAAATCTTTAGTATTTTATATATAAAAAAGGCTTAATATTTAATTAAATCTCTTTTTTATTACTGCTGGGCTAAAGTATATTAATAATATATTATATATATTAATAAGTTAAAAGATAATAAATAATTATATTTAATATAAATAATATAATAAAATTATTTTTAATTAATATATTTAGTTATTAATATTATAATTTTATAAAAGTATTTTATTTACTAAGTTAATAATTATTAAACTTTAATATTTATAAAAACTTAGTTATTTATATAATTATAAATAAAAATATAATAAATTAAAACTTTTTTATTATTAATAATTTATAAATTAAAGCTTTTTATAGTTTAAATAACTACTTTATTATTATAATAAAACGTCTATAAAAAGCCTAAAAGCTTTTTAAATAAATTATATAATATAAAAAATAATAAAATTAAGAATTAATATTTTACAGCCTCTTTAGCCTTTTTAACCTTTTTAATTTACAATAATAGCTTTATAATTTCTTTAATTTATAATAATACTACTATTATATATTTAAACAGTTATAATATTTTTTTAATATAAAGGGGTAGCAGTAATTTTTTAATTTTATTTTTTTATTAAAAAAATATTATATTTTTATTAAATTTATAATATTATAGCTACTTTAGGTTATTAAATTTATTATTATTAAAATTAACTTTAGCAGTTAAGGCTTTTATTACTTTTATTACCTTTAGTATATTTAACAGAAAAAAAGTATAAATTTTATTAAAATTAGCGCTATATAATAGCTTTAATAATAACAGTAAATTAAAGGGATTATTATTTAAAAAGAAATCTATTAATAATATAAAATTTTATAATGTTAAAGGGTAAGGCTAAAAGGTAAGGCTAATATTATAATATTATTATATATAGTATTATAAAGTATATTATATACTAGGGCGTTATACTGTAATTAAGTATAGATTAATAGGACTGGTAGTATATGTGTATTAACTTTAGTATAGGCATAGGCCACTACAGTTTAAATAGGAATATGCTACAGTGCAAATAGGATTGCTCATCATAAATGACATCTTTCTTATTTTGCATAAAACGATGTTGGGTATCATAAGTATTGACGTCGGAGATATTGCTGGTGTTTGACGTTGAACTGAAACCTTGGTGACAAGTACAATAAGCGATGAAATGGGGGTCAAATCTGAAACAATATAGCAGGTTCAATATTGTTTTAACAGCTGGTTCAATAAAAGGCTATCCCCCAACCTTGGATGAGTGATTAAATGAGTAATACTTCGGCCATTCTTTTGGTTACTCAAATGAGAATGAAGATGCCGATGCGGCGTCTAGTGGTTATTCAAACCCAATTCAGAAACTTGTGGTCTCACCATAGCTGATGCTGATGCTACGAAACTAAGCAGCTGCAACAATGATATCGCTCTTGCTAATTGTATCCGGTTATGATATGTACCCTTTAGGGCGTTGCCGCCATAGTATATAACTCTACCCCAGTCTATGTTTTCTCACCAGGAGAATTCGCAGAAATTATCTTCGAGATATTGCCGTTCTTGACATTATAGATGTTGGCAAATTTTGTGACGGGTGCTATTGAAAGCCAGGGTATATCCCAATATGCCGCGGTTGATTAAGGAGTGGTGGTAACTAACATAAAATCTAACGCACTACGTTGCTTATCAAAATACAAGGATGCCAATCGCACTTTGGAACGAGCCTAGGGGTAGAGCAGTAAAACTTGACAACTAGCTAGAGCGACGATACTTTTTTGATAAGGATATTAAGTAATTTGCCAATAAATCTTGCCACGACCATAAGAGTAGCAGCTTAACTAGATGATGCATTTGCGGATGGAGTCATCTCTTTTACAAACCTCAGTTATCATAGTGTTGTCTGGTCTCAGTGCATTCTAAGGCAAATCATGGACATTGTGTGTTCGTGGCAAGTTATTCTTGTTCAGGACAAAATAATCTTCTTTAATCCTTGACTGTAGTATTGAGTCTTCGTTGCTCTCCATCAGCAACAAATGTCTACCTCTTCTCCCAATTATTTCTTGATGAAGCCCAAGCATACTCTGTTCCGTTGCGTCAAGTACTGAAGAGAAGTATATCCGGTCCGATCGAACTATTACCGATTCAATACAATCACCTGCCCGTAAATGCATAGTGCATGTAGGTAAACCCTTGTATAAGATTGCCCGGCTAGTATAAAATTCGCTCTCTTCCTTCTGTATTATCATCCTAACAGTCTCATTTAACTCAGCAATTGGACATCTTGCATCATTGTGCGTAGCTGCACTCAACTAGTAACACCCACTAAAATCTAAGCAATTGTGGCAAATAATGCAAAAATGCGCAACTGGAGTGTAATGAGAATATTGCTGGAGATATTACCAAAATCCCATAGGCAAACGGTATGTTTTGCTATATGAACTTTGAGTATCGTATCTATCTCGAGGGCGCTGTAAAGAACTGGAATATTTCCCCGACAAATGGGTTGATGGAGCGATTGTTTCGCCTCTTATCTTAACCTAGTTTGATGATTAGTGAAAATTTTCACTTCCTTTCATCCAATAGTCTCCCTTTTCAAACACAGTTTGGTGCACAACTTAATAGAAGAAATACGAACAGGCTCGTTCCAGTCATTAAAGCAAAACAAAATGGCCTGGCAGCATAGGTAGAGCCTGTCGCCAAGACACAGGCGCTAAAATTTAAACTCGCCTGTTTTCTCCACTGCAAGCGGCAAACGAACGAGTCAGTTTGCAACAGCGCTCGAGTTCCACCAATAGTACCATTGTATTCTCTTCTATTATATATAGATTTTTGGTATAATGTATCTAGTCTTTTGTTTTTCTGCTACCAATGTGGTTTGCTGGATATGGACCCCTCCATTTCCGTAGCCTCAGCCTGACATACAACTTAATACATTATTTGAGAACGTGAGGCAAAATAACGGTTTGTGCCTGGATAAATGAAGAGTAGCCCCTCCTTTGGAGAAAGGTTCACAGCCTTTTTAAGACACAAAGGTCAGGCAACGATATTTTAGGACATGGTGAACCAGTTATTGCTTTACTAATCATTGCCAAATTACCACTCTAAACTTGTCAAATGTTCCCATGGGAAATATTTGTAATAATAGGTGTCGATATAAACTCAAGCGATATGATGTGTCGTGCTTGTAGAGGTGTTGGGTATCGTTACTCGAAATGTTTTCGCCAATGTGCTGTCTTCTCTAGGTTGACTACGACTGGAATCACATTGACCACACAGTGGTGAGCGAAAAATTAAATTATGAATCTACTTCAAAACTCGCGCTCGTTTATCCCGACAGCGATTATATATGGGGATATACTCTCCGTGTCTCTAACCCCTCCCATTGCGCCATATTATATATAAATGCCGAACTAAGTGTCGTGTCTATAACTGTTTAACCTGCTCCATACCCAAATAGTTGAAAGATGCGGCACTAATCATTCCCCACGTTCTCGGGGATGTATAAAAATGGATCGCGTTAGGTCCAATTCGTCATTTGTTCACACATGAATCTCGAGGCAGCTTCTTAATTTGAGTGCTTGGCAAACCCATCCATTATCGCGAATTTAGCCGAACAGCGAGGTTAACTGCATGGTGATATCTTCTTTCTCAGAATGATCCACAATGGTGCGATTGCCCAACGAAATTAAATATATATACATATACATATATATATATATATATAAATGGGAAGCTGGATGCTAGACGATCTGTTTCAGGCCCAGTAGTACATCACCCCTCTTAGAGCGGAAATCTTATATTTGAATGGCTTGTATCGCAATGGGTCGCTTCATTGTACCGTCTATCCTCGCGCTGGCTATAGCGGTTTCAGCCTTGCCGACTGATAACTCGATGAAATATGTTGGGCCCGAGAATGGTAATTTGGTGATTGTTGGCGGGGGCACGCTGGACGATTCAATTCTCCAAAAAGTCATTGATCTTGCTGGAGGGAATGATAGTTCTATCGTCGTTATCCCAACTGCACAAGGCGATCCAAATTATGACCAGAATGCCGCCAACGCAGATGATTTCCGTCGGCTGGGATCTAAGAGCGTTACTGTTCTACATACGTATGATCCTAAGGTCGCAAACACCGAGGAATTTGTTCAGCCGCTTCTCAACGCCACTGGTGTTTGGTTTGGGGGCGGTCGCCAGTGGCGTTTGGTTGACGCTTATGCAGGAACCCTCACTGAACAAAAGATCCGAGCCGTCCTAGATGCCGGCGGCGTCATTGGAGGGTCTTCTGCCGGGGCCTCGATCCAGGGAGATTTCCTTGCGCGCGGTGATACGAAGAGCAACAATCTTATTATCGGAGACCACCAGCAGGGTTTCGCTTATGTGAAGAACGTCGCCATCGACCAGCATGTTCTCGTACGCAATCGCCAATTTGATATGCTCAACGTTCTCAAATACAAGCCAGGAATTCTTGGTATCGCCATCAACGAAAATACGGCTGTGCACGTATCAAAGAACACGGCAGAGATCTTCGGCGCTAGCTATGCCATCATTTATGATGGAACGTACTGGTCGCGAGACGGCGGTGATGCGAATCAGATTCCGGATCCTTCAGGGTTGTTTTACTTTGTGAGAGCGGGAGATATATATGATCTTGGGTTACGGAAAGTGGTTCACGCCTCTTGAGCGCCCCTACTTTGCGCCGTTGAGATACCCCTCACAGTGCAAGCCTATCCGCTACGCGCTGCATGGTGGTGTAGAGTAGCCTGAACTACGTAACTGGGAAATATAGGCTCATATTCGACTATCTTGCTGTTTTTAATCATGTCTTGATGAATGACTACCACCTGGCGTGCCAGTAGCTACATGTTCTCCTCGGCCTGACGCAATTTTTCTATCAATATGTAGCCAGAAGCACCTATTCATTGCCTATGCGATGCTGTATACATCAATGTAGATATACTCACTAGTCCAGAGTATTGCTTATGTGGTAGTAATCACAGCCACTATCTTCTAAGTCTATACGAGGATTCATTTGGGTTGTGCCTCATCGCTAGTTTCTCTAATACGAGAATCTCCACCGAGGGTCTTTGTCTCCCTCCCAGTCTACCGCCTCACCCACATTCTGGACCTCTGGTGAGATTTCTGCTCTTGCCTTATTTTGAGCCTTTAGACGCCATCCAATGAAGCTAGCCACAATAGCATTTGCGCATAGATATGCTAGGGCCATTGAGTGGCCGACAATAAACCTCGGCCCATCGTTTGCTCGATATAGCTGTGTTCCCATTACAGCTCCCAAGTTTCCAATACTGATTTGCATTGCATTGGCAATTGCTCTTTTGGTTTGCCCAGATACATTAATCGCAGGCCATGAAAGGACAAGTGCGGTCGAAGGGTAAATCCCCGCCGCAGCAAAGAATGTGCCCAAGTATGAAACCCCAGGTCGCGCAACGGGATCAGTATTGGCAAGCAAAATAATGTACCCAATCGCCGCCGTAAGGGAAGAGCCAACAAGGAAAACAGCCCTTTTTCCTAATTTTTCAGAGGCAACGGCAACTCCTACTGTAGTGAGAAACGCCAATGCATATGGAGGAATTGTAAGCAGTTGTGCCTTCGCAGCTGTATACCCGAGGTTGCTAATAATAGTTGGCTAAGTCATTATTTTAGTAAAACAACATTCAAATACTGATCCAGCATACTGAATGACATACCAGAAATAAGGAAAGGGTATAAAGTGGTAAACTCATTGTATGAAAGCCCAAGCTATACAGCCAGCAGTTTGGGTCCCTTACTGCTTCAAGTACAGCACTCCAATTAAATTCTTCTTTGATCATTGCATCGCAATCCGCTGCCAACCTGGTCTGAATGAGCTCCCTCTCAGGTTTTGTAAGGAACTTGGCAGTATCTGGATAGTTTTCGATAAACCAGTAAGCTATGGTGGCCACAATAACTGTAGCAATTCCTTCCTTTGCGGCATGTTAGTGCATATACGTCTTAAATAGACACAACTGGGGGGACGCACAAGAATAAAAATCCATCGCCATCCATTACTCCAAACTACTCCAGCCATTTTCCCTATTCCCTGCAGATTTGCATTTCATTAGCTTCATCCCGTAAGTGCAAGGCTGTACATCACCAACATATGCTAATATGCCACCGAATGCGCCTGCAAGTGATGCTGCGCTGAAAAACAAGGAAATTCGATACTGTCGCTCTCTTCGTTTGTACCACATTGATAGATAGAAGACAACGCCCGGAAAGAGCCCACTCTCTGTGACGCCTAGAAAAAATCTCGCGACAAGAAAACCAGACAGGTTTTGTACCACTCCAAGAAGGGTGGCAACAATACCCCACGCTATGGTCAGTGTCGGGAGCCATAAACGAGGGCTCGTCTTTTTGAGGATAACATTGCAAGGAATCTAGTCAGTCATTAATCCTCTGTATAAATCATATTTGCAGATAAATGGTATTCTTGTTACAGACTTCAAAGAGAACATAGCCGATAAAATAAACTGTCAGTCCTGTAAGATACTGGTTCCCCGCTGCGAAGAGGTCAGAGGTCTCCAAGCCGTAAGGTGAGTGTTATATCGAACTCATATGAAGGTCGTTCACCATGCCCTCAATACGGGCGTTTCCAACTGATCTTTTATTAGTAATGGTCAGATCTTGCGCTTCTATGATCATACCATTACTACGATCCAGAAATGAGAGAAGATATAAGACGCCGACTGCCGGTAGAAGCCTCCCATCTAATTTACGGAGTAGCGCTCTCTCATTGACCTCGTCCTCTATAGCTGTGATTTCGGTTTCTGCATTTTGCTCATGCGAGAGCCGCTTAATATCGCTCATTTTAAATGAGCACAGAAAGAACACTGGTTGTTGATATATCGAGCGTCTCTAACGATATCTTTCTTCTGTTGCGTACGACGCTGTGATTTCAGTCCTTATATAGAGGAGAGATAAATCCCTGGTCGGTAATCTATATTTGCAATCTTGCGTTATCTTTATTGGACCCTAATTGTTAAGATTTCATTACACAACCTCTTCGTTATGCAATAAGATTTTCGTAATTTTGGACCAAGATCGCGTCAAGCTTCGAGTCAGCACGCCATCGTGGGGAAGGCACCCCGCATATATGAACATCTCAACCCCGAGCCCTGACTTTTACAAAAACCTTTTATGTTCGATGGTGTCCTAGCCAGCCAGTTATTAATTAATTCATTAATAAACGGCAGGCAAGGTCACTTTTAATCATCGGTTAGTAACATTATGAATTTGACTGTTTTTCCACGCGGGTGCATACATAATTGGTTCCAGCAGTCGCAGGGCTAGATCAAATGAATGACACAAGTATCAACAGGGGCTTTGTTTTTTTCTAATTAACTGTACATTTTGTTCTCCACATGTATTTTCTGCTACTAATATAGTATTGCCCAGTCATGCATTATCTAACAGCCGATACAAGATGTGGTGAGTCGGGTCATACTGTGCAATATCTGTGTATAGGTAGCTTGAGCGATGGCGGGATATTCTCCTCTCTATCCATCTACATCATTGTCCATGAAGATCTAAATGAAATGATATTATGCGTAAAAAATGTGCGCAGTTGACGTTATTTGTGCTCTTTCGTCAATTTGACTAGGAGGGCCGATGGGCTTACCGCCTCCACAGTCCCATCTTTCGACACATCGAAAACAAAAAGAGTTGTGGCTATTCCGCCATATGCAGTAGCATCAACACCCACCCAATCTGCCATGGGAAAGTTTGTGAAGAGTTTGTTCTCAGTTATTGGGCTGATGCTGGGTGCATCAAGATCCGTAACAAATCGGAAGGCCACTTTCCCGTGTGCGGAGTCTGAGATACTTGGTAGGAGACGCCAAGGACCTGGACCTGTGGTAGGGACAAGCGATTCAAGTATATCCGTGCCGTTGCTAATCCACGATGAGATGATAAGTCCGGGTGACGCGACTGCACTTTGGTTAACAGTCAAGGTGAGGGAGGAGTTTAGGCTGCAGTCTTCAGAGTAGTAGAACCCTGCAAATCGATTCTCAGCCTCGGCGGCCGCCTGTGCAGCAAGAGACGGAATCAACGAGTTAATGATGATATCCATAAGTGCAGACAGTGTTAAGAATCGCGTGACATGTGAGCTGGAGGAAAGGATGGTGAAGCCTGCGTCATAGTCCGGCAGCAGAACAAAGTAGGCACTATAATCACCAGAGTCACCAGACTTTGTGTAGAGATCTGTAATAACTCCAGATGGATGTGTATAGCGATGGATTTCCCACGGACGGCCAACAGATTGTTTCAGGTCGGCGGTATGTGAAAAGGGCTTCATCCACCGACGAGTTTGGTGAGATGGCAGTAGAGTTGAATTCAAAATACCGACGCCCAACTTCGCCATGTCATTGATAGTCGACAGGACCGCACCTGAGGTAATATAGACCCCAGCTTCGACTGCAAAGTTACTAATATCACCAGGAATCACAGATCGATGCCATTCAGACTTGGGAGGAGTGACAGCGCTGGACGATGTCATATCGAGAGGTTCAAAAATGTCTTTGTCAAACATTTTCTCAAAACTCTTTCCAGTAATATTTTCAATTGCGAGGCCCAGGAGGGAGAATCCATTATTGGCGTATCCTGGAGTTGTGTAAGGCAAAAAGCTTGGTGCTCTTGCGTCACTGCTCTCGATGTATGGAACAGGAGGACAGGTTGACGCATTCGAGAAGAAACACGGTGAATACACCAATGTGTTATTCTGACTGATTGGAGGGAGACCCAACTTCACTGGGTCTGGGTTCAGCGGTAATCCAGCCATTGATTGAATGATCGCTTCAAACGCGAGGTCATTCGTATCTGGGAATCCATCTCGTGGAACACCGCCAATCTGGGCTGCAAGAGCATCTGGAGTAACTTTATCCCATTCCACAGTATATATAGGGTCACTCTCCCCGGTATTATTCTTGGCAAATTTCTTAAGGGGGGAGAGAATTTCTGTAAGAGGCCGATGCCAGTCGCTGTCACTCAGTTCGAGGAGCCCGGTAAGAACAGTAAGAACTTTTGTAACGCTGGCAACACGGTAGATGGTATCACCATCTACTTTGTGAGTACCGTTTGGGGCATTTGCAATCTCTGGAGATGTATAATGATATTGCAACTTTGTGGCTGCGGGATCATTAAGCGAGAATAACCCGAGTGAGAAAGTAACGTTAATTACGTCCGCCAGTGGTTGTGGAAGCGATTTCCATTTCCCATCTTTGAGATATCCGTCCAAAGTCGAAGTGAGGTTTTTGAAGCTAGCGGCAACGTGGCTATGGCCGCTGGTGAGGTCCTTTGGTGTTGGATAACTTGGCCCCAAAGTGTCCGCAAATATTGGCGACAGCCACATTGCGTGAAGGAAGACCGCAGTACTGAAAGTAAAGTGCATGTTGAATGTGTAAGACAAAGATGATGTGGTGGGTAAATATCTACGATTGCAGTATAGAGACCTCGATGCCCTATATATATACAAATAAATCCCTATTTACATGATCCCCGCGTGGCGAATGGATCCATGCCTCTCAATACTACATTCTCGCGATGCAGTATCAGCATCGAAATCTGTTTGCTTAATTTAGACATATGACGCGCAGAGTCCGTAACCACCAAGCTCTTTTTCGCACCATCTCATCGTGTGGGGCAATCCTTTGATGGACCTGGGCTAACTTGATTTAGTCCGACGTGCCGCTGTAGCTGATGTCCAACCCAGTTATGAATGAGGCTTCGTGCCACTATGTTGTTACTATGTTGTTACTGGGCCAAGCTGATCACGGCGTATAGTGTACTTGGTACACCGCCACAATCTGAAGGATTATGCTCCATCAAACGAGCCGGGGTTACTCGACGTCAGGACTTGTATTGAAGGATTAGCACATAGCCTCAATCATTTCATTTGATCGCTGATCCTCCAACTGATGACTGGTTTGTCGGCCGTCACATCGGGCTCTGTTGCTGAATCATGAGGCTATATATGACATTTGATAAACTTTAATGAACGCTCTGTATGGCTATCATTTTGCGAAGAGCAAAGTATTGATATGAAGGGATTAGCAGCTTTTGGCTAATACATCGATACTACCACTTTCTCTACCTAGGAGTGTATTCCTGCAAACAGCCAAGATGCCCATGTACTCTCGCAACTATCAATATACCTTTGCATTGCGCTATATTATCATCTACACCCTCATGAGGCGACAAGTATAATATATACGAACCGATGATTCATTTTCTCCACATTATGAAGACTGAATCATATACCTACTATAATACTCTTCCCATTAGCGTAGGCAGCATTCGACGCCGAACTTAGATCCTTCTCTGCCAATGCCGCTCTCCTTGACGCCTCCAAACGGCTGTTGGCAAGCATTGACAAGCCCTGCGCGTACTCCAACATGCCTGTGTCCAGAACCTTGGCCATACGCCAAAGCCTCAATATATTTTCAAAATATGAGGCCAATCCGCTTTCGCAGGTGTTTGGCAGCTTCAAAATCTCCTCTTCGTTATTGGAGGGAACTAATGGACCTATTGGTCCAAACGTCTCCTTACTCCCACATCGCATTGTTTCTAGGTTACAGTTTAGCAAAATTGTAAGAGGGAAAAAATCGGGGCCCTTGGTTTCTGAGATGAAATTTTTTCGAAAAGGGTCGCTCCATTGGTAAGCGCATTTTCCAAGTGCATTCTGGACTTTTTCAAGCCCTCTGGAGCAATACAGTGGCCCAAAATTCACCTTGAGGTCCCAGACCGACCCATAAACAAAGACCTTTTTTTGTGCCGCGTATAAACTTTCGGCGTACTCACTTATGATAGATCAGTGTATAAAAATACAATTTGCACATATACATGTCTGTCCCGAAGATCTGAACTTGAACGAAATCAGGTCGGTAAACTAGTCAGTCAGAGTGGGCTACATGTGTTTGCTCGTCACTAAACATCAACAGCCTTCTGGATATCGGCATCTTCAAAAACGATGAACGGCGCGTTGCCTCCAAGTTCCATGCTGGTTTTCTTCAACAACTTCCCACATTCGCCATTGAGCAATATTACCGACAACAGTAGAGCCTGTGAAGCTTAGGTGACGAACCAGGTTATTACGACACATCTCGTCACCTATAGAGGATGTGGAGGCGGCATCTCCAGTGACGATATTGAGAGTGCTGTCTGGATAGTCAACGCGTTCGAAGAGCTTTGCAATAGCAGTAGCACGCACTAAGGTCTCTAGAGCGGGCTTGAGAACAACGGCACAACTGGCTACAATGGCAGCCCTAACCTTACGCAGGATCGATGAAGAAGCAAGTTAGTTCGAGCCGGTCAAGATTAAATGCTTCAGCCTTAGGATCTCCATCACCAATGGGCCATCGAATGAGGAGGGATGGCATGACGTGGAGGGATGCTATGGCATCAAAACAACCGCGGATCCATAGATAATCACCACTATGTTATATACTTTATTCAGCTTCCCACCTCATGATGACCCCCAGTTTCCAAAGGTTGGAACTATGCGATTTTCACCTGTTGGTGACGCCAGTCAGACCATATGTATCTAGAACCGCGAGGTAAGCTGGCATTGAGTACATGAGACCACCCAGCCTTTATTGTAGGGAAGGATACCGGAACTATGTATGTGTCGTTGAAACATAAAATTTAATGCCTATTTATGGAGGTTAAGCATTTATAATGGCCTCTAGTATTCCGCATGCTTTTTCGTATACTTTTAACACTATTCAGCCGCTCAGAAGAAGTCGTCTAAGTCTCATTGTACTACTACGCTAGAATGCCTTCAACCTATAAGCTTGGACGATGCTCCGGGCAGAATTAGTTGTCCCAGAGCTTTTCAATGCTTGCGACCGTGTCTTAATCGAGTCAAAAGATTGAGTTATATGGACAGTGAATGTACCAGCGGCTGCGCCCATGGCAAAGGTCGTCAATGAATTGTTTTCCATGCCATATTCTTGGGCTATGTGCTTGAACTCGCTGAAGCTGCCAATGAAGGCAGCCAAGGTCATCAATTGTTTCATCGTTGTCGGTAAAGACCTTTAAACAGTAGCCGCATTTAACTGCCTCTTGCCTGCTTTTGCATCATAAATCAACACTGTCTTGATGTATACCTAACCACATGTATGTTAGATTGCGCAAGGTTTGGCGGCTGAGGACGGCCCGTCCGCAGTCCGCGTGAACTCTCTCTGTCCTTTGCGGGGCACAACGGGACTCCTCGAGATGTTCAGTGGAGTTGCCGATACCCCTGAGGAAAGAGAGCGTTTTGCTTTATCTGTGCCGCTGAGGCGTAGGACAGACGCCCAATAATATTGCGCAGGCCGCGGTATACCTGGTCAGTGATGAGGCTGCATTCATAACGGGGTGTAAATTTGCCAATGGCCAGAGGACGCCTTGCAGTATAGTGGAGTAAAGGTGTAACATACTGTATTTACAGAGTACACTTGTCAGATAAGGCAATTTATTTAAGACAACAGTCTTCCGCCGTGGCGCGCCTCACACACACCTTCTGCAGGGAGAATTAGTGGAACAGAATCCTAGTGATTCAGAGAGTCGGGCAACTTGCACTCAAGCTCGCTCCCTTTTTGACGATCCGTGTCAGAGTACAGTGATTCAACACCTTGCATGGGATAGAACATTCCATGAATTATTCAATTGAAACCGTGAAGACACTTCAGTAACAAAGTTTATGCAACAGTCTAAAGCGTACATAGTTGTGCTACGCTGGCTGGCCGGAAGTAGAGGACTCAGGAGGCGAGATGGTTGCCCGATATGCCAATGCAAGGGAGTCATGGCGGATGGAGGCTGACCCCGCCAAGATAACCGGCCTGAAATTGAGCAGTCTGGGCATATAGCTCTAGACTTTTCAGCATTATTTTGACGCTCCCAACAAGGATTGCAAATTTGAGTCCACCTCGACTGTAGTTATTCTTTAATAATCGAGTCGGACCTTAGTACGTAACAGTCAGTAGGCGCGTCTATTAAAAGGATAGTGCGGTTGCCATAGGCTGTCCTGTATTCATATACGGCGTGTTCTTTACTAATCTTATAGGTGGTGAGCACATATAAACTGAATGGATCATCATTTCATGACTGATCGCTGACCACCCTTTATACGAGGTACCCCGAGATAACCACTTGGTTAGCTGCTCATATTTCTTTTTTTGATGATACGCCGGCATTACCCCTAGATCTAGATCAAGTCTCATAGTGGCTGAAAGTTGCTAGTGCTCAAATGTCTTTTCTTTTTCGTACTAGACCAGCTGAGCTAGCTACTCTAGCTGGAAGGCATCAATTTTCCCATACGGAGCCGTAAATAGCGCTATTTTGAGGCGATAAAAAAAGACCACGTGCAACACGCACTCGCACTGAATACTTTTTTTCGGCGAATAGATAGCCTAATTGCCACCGCAAGGAAGCCTGTTCCAGACCTGACTGAAAAAAGCTGCGGCTAGACAGAACCAGGGACTTATTGCTCCGAAGCTGGAGCAGCAAAGAGGATGTTGCGGGGCGGAACTCCACAACATCGAGATCGAATATGCACGTAAGCCGTGGCCCTAAAAGCTTCTCGCACTCAATGCCGGGTTGAATCTCAGGGTGATCGGAGTTACTGCAATACTGGCAAGCAATCGCTGAGTGGCTCAACTAGCGGGTGACGGGAAGTCTGATGGGATCCTCGGTAGTTGAGATGCACAATCACGCGGGACTCTGGCAAGTGGAGTGCATGACAAAGGCTCTGTTAGCAGCCGGAAAGGCTTGAACTCTAAGCCTATACCTTCCTCTTATGCCCGAATCCCCTGGATCGAGGCGTCAGGCTTTTCATTATCCGGCCTAGCAGAGGCAGCAAAATGTTCGCGTCTTGATAGTGTGTTTCAGCAACAATGGTTAGTGTACGCACAGGCAGACCATTGACCAAATGTTGTGCAATACGAAGCGCGGATGTTGCTGCTGCTATCCGAAGGCTACACCAGTCGGCTCCATATGGCGGAATCCAGGCCAAAGGGCGGGCGACGTGATTCGTCAATCCAAGAAAAGCTGAATAAACTATTGTTGGGATGTGGAGAAACTACACTAATCAGACAAGGGTGATCCTTGTGCCTCGTGGCCACTATGGAGGACGATGATGGCCTAGACACCAAAAGCAATGTGAATTATTCGATTCAAGTTCAAGCAAAATGTGCAGTTGTTATTGTCTACTGAATCGGACCGTCCTAGGTTATATAGCCATTCAAATTCTGCCTGTTCCCGCCCCTCCCGTTTCCCGAGGTACTGGAGCAATGCTGTCCACTGCTCATTTTGCCGGGCATGATGCTTTCAACTCAATCAGCAGTGGTTGTGCCCAAAGAAGAGTCTGTCCAAGAGTTTGACTTTTTTGAAGCTCTTTCTCTTACTCCTCATAAGGAGCCATTCTCAATAGGCACAGAGGAACTCCTCTCTGGGCCTGTTACTGTTTTCCATCCGATTGATCCGATCACGCCGAAATCACCCCCTCCTTTGGCGACGCCGCTTCCCAAAGCAGCGAGCACTACCAATATTGATTCCCCTTCAAATTCGCAACCGGCCATCAAGAAATCTGCAAATATGTCGCGCCAGGTGTCAAAAGCCCACGCAAAATGCAGCGAGCTCTGTCATGTTGTTGCAGCCAACGGAGATCGCACCTCCGTTCGCATGCTCGAATATCTAACGACAGTCAAGCAGCTTTCAACAAACTTTGATCGCTTGGCACATTTGTTTCTTGATACCTGCCAGATTCTGTTTTCTATTGAAGCTGGCCTCGCAGAATGTGGGCGCTCAACTCCTGAACTACCACCCGATGTTGTTGTAGATCTAGACAAGAAGCTACGGGTTGCTCAGTCAGACTTCAATATCCTGGATCAGATGCTCAGCAAGCTCCTAGAATATGAGCGCAAGGGTACCATGGGAAGAATGAGACGCGGATGGGGCAAAATCTTCGGAGACACAGATGTCGACAAAATGACGTCGGTTCTCGAGCGCACAAAAGAAGGCCTAAGAATGAGCGCGCTACTGTTCCAGTGGACCTTGGGCAATGAAAAGATTGAACGCGGCATGGGTATTGGGTTTACTGGACTCGCTGCGGCATTGGATAGACTTGACGACAATTCCGGTCGCGTCAAAACGAAGGCCTCTGAGCCAGACATGTCGCGTCATCGTCCCTCTCCTCTGAACCATGGACTGCTGACTGTTGACGGGCAGCATCAGCATATGCAGCCTTCTTCGGCTGCATGGAGCGAAAGATCCTCCTCTCGCAGGCCTGATTCTAGTCTGGGAAACAAGCCGTTCGCAGCCTCACGTGGCCCATCAGACGACATTCCTCACCATTACAGCATAACCACTCCGAGCTCGATAATATCTAATGACAGAGGGAACTCTGGTATGGTCCCATCTTTCGATCGGGCTAGCACTATTGGAGACGCGTCATCGCACACTGGCACCACTGAGTCAGATGCTCTATTGGAGGAATTGGCCGGCATGGAACTTGGAAAGTCCAAGGCCGTGCGACTCAAGGTTGATCCATTTACAATGCCACGCTGGACGCCTCGCAGTACAGGAGGCTCAGATGCTGAAAATCTCAGAGGTAGCATTGTCTCCGCTGTCCGAGGAAAAAACCATAAGTTGGTCGAGCAGTTGCTGGACAGGGGAGTATCGCCCAACGCAGCTCTGACAGAGGCTGTAAATCTCCATGATTCCGAAAGTATTCGACTATTGCTCCTCTTTGGAGCAAACCCCAACGAAGCAGATACCGATGGCATCACACCACTCTTCGCAGCTGTTCAAAAAATGTTCTTCTCTGGAGCAATCACCCTCCTTAAGTATGGAGCGGATCCTAATCTCTTGGCTGGGCCGGAGCTGGAATCTCCGCTCGCATCCGCCATCACTACCAATAAAGTCAGCTTGTCGCATCTCATGTTGATGTACGGTGGCGACCTATCCCCCGTTACTTCGAATGGCAACACCCTGCTCATTGCATCAATCAACAAGAAAACTCCAAAACGGATGGTTGACCTACTACTCCATTATGGGGTTGATCCGAACGAGAAGAACAGAGAAGGAAAGACGGCCCTTTTCGAGGCAATCAACGCCGGTCGGGTTGACATTGTGGGCAGCCTCCTAGATCAGGGAGCGGATCCAAACCTCCCTGGACCTAAACACATGCTCTGGCCAGCCGCACATCAGACACCCTGCCTGCAGCTACTTCTTAGCCACGGTGCTGACTACAAAAAATGTCCCGGCATCATGGAGTTGGCAACCAGTCTCAACAATATCGAAGCCGTCCGCGTGCTCTTGAAAGCTGGAGTTGACCCTAATGCCAAAAAGGACGGTGTCTATACTCCCCTCTGCACCTCAATCCGTGACAATAGAATGGATATATTCCAGTTGCTACTCAGCAGCGGCGCTGACCCAAACTTCATGGCCAGCGAGTATCCTGCTTTCAAGTGTGTTACGCACAATCGTGTCCACCTATTGCCAGCGCTTGTAACTGCCGGTGCAGACTTACATACCCCGAAAGGAATCTTGGAGACGGCAGTCAGCTCGAACAATATGGAAGCACTATCGTGGCTGTTAGATCAGGGTCTTGATGCAAATGAGAGAAGTCCTAAGGGGTACTCCCCTTTGACAACCGCTATCCGGGAGAACCGCATGGAAATGATTGAAGTCCTGCTTGCCAGGGGAGCTGACCCTAACAAACGAGGGCAAGATTGGCCAGTGTGCATGGCTGTGCGAAGCCCACCAATTCTTCGGCGCATCTTATCGGTGCTCACTGAGCCACGCGCATACAAGGGCGTCATGGAAATGGCAGTGGCAGCTAATCAGATAGAATCTGTCAAGCTATTGCTCGCAGCTGGTGTTTCGGTAGAGGATAAGAATGGTGGAGTTTTCTCCCCGCTAACCACCGCCATTCGTGAAGACATGAAGGAGATGGTTGAGTTCCTCATCACCGATGGCCACGCGGATCTGAATTCTCCTGGTGAGCATCTCCCCATTGTCAAGGCAGTCAGAAGGTGTCGTGGCGACGATACGGAGATTCTGGAAATGCTTCTCAACAAGGGCGCAAATCCAAATAAGTTGTACCGCGGCTGGAACGCCTTTATGCAGGCCGTCGAGAATGGTGACATGAGAATACTCAAACTTCTGAGTAGTAAGTTCAGTGTTGATCTGGAGGCCAAGGACGACCAGGGGCGAAACGTCATTGAGATTGCCTCCTCTCGGGGCTGGGAGGAGGCGGTAAATATAATGTTGGAGGGAAATTTCAGGCTTTAAAGTGTGTGGTCATTTACACGACAGATATAATCATTTTACCAGGTAGCGTGCTTTTAAAACCATACCACAACTCGTTTTACAAGATTCGGCTTTGCACGATATATCACCTACATGCTTTACATTTACAATACAAAATATACCGCTTAATTAAAATCAGAAAAGAAGAGAAGAAGAAGAAGTAGAAACCAAGCTCTCCAATAAAAATGTAGGCCTCCTACTCTCGACTTGGTTTGTTATTTCTCTACTGTATGCAGTATTATCATGCGGTGGGGCCAACGCAGCCAGTTTGTGGCTGAGTCTACCAGCTACGCGTACTCCGTATGTTTAATTAATCCGCGTTGCCCATCCGTTTTAGATTACTAACTCTTTAAAGATGCTCCCTCCTCGTTAAATCGCGAAAATCTGCCTTAGCTTAATAACCAACGCATTTTGCTCACTCTTTTCAATTTGGGATTATCCGCTCGCCTTCAATACAGCCGAACCATGCGTAGCTCTCACCGAAAGTCCCGAAATGGATGTAGGGAATGCAAGCAGCGCCATAAAAAATGCGACGAGAGCTCTCCGATTTGCCGTAATTGCTCAATCACCAATCGCTCCTGTTCATACCGCCACACACGCCCATCCTATCGCCCCTTTGGAACAAAATCAGCGGCAAAACCGTTGCCGCCATCGCTGTCTGCAGTTTCGTCGCTTACACAATGCGTTACCCAGGAGTGGCGGGCTCAATCGTACAGTTTAGGGCATCTGGAACTGCTTCACCATTTTGAATCACGCGGGATTGAGGAAACGAGCATGCTGCCGGTGCCTAAATCGACGCGCAGACTGATGATGCAATGCGGTCTCACAAACCCTTATCTTATGGATCAAATCCTTGCACTCTCGGCGGCACATATGAGCACTATTCACCAGGGACAGCAACAGGTCTTCCGCAACAAAGCGACTGAGCTCCAGACGCGAGCGTTGACGTTGTTCAATAGGTCCGAACTGGGTATATCCAAGCAAAATTCATGCTCTTGGTTCCTGTATGCTTCGCTTCTTGGCCTTCAAGTCATGTTTGAAACTCTTCAAAGCCGCAATTTCGACTCCTTTCTTGACCAACTCGCCACCTACTTTCCAGTTCATCGAGGTGTGCACGCAGTAGTACGAAAATCATGGCCAACAATAAAGGACATAGTTGAGGAGATTGTTGGACAGAAGGATCTCGCGGAGGCCAGGGGGCTTGGTAAACGGCGGCCTCAGGAGTGTGATGATATAATCTCTCTCGTTAATGAATGTGATCTCGAAGAATCGGATAAAGCCGTATGTCTTGAGGCTATTGAGCTTCTCCAGTGGACTTTCGAGTTACATCGCATTAACCCAAGGACCCAGTTTCAAGTGTCCTTCACCATTGCGTGGTCAATTCTCGTACCAGCCAGGTTCGGGGAAATGCTCAGGCAACGAATACCCGAGGCACTCACCATATTATCTTTCTACGCTGTTCTTTTGCATCGTCTACATCAATTCTGGGTATTTGGTGATTCCGGACGCTTTTTAATCCAGTCAATCTCGACTTATTTAGGAGCACCATGGGCACAGTGGTTGATATGGCCAAAGGAACAGTTGAATGCGGGATGGAGCACTTCTAGAATATATCCAACGACATTTACAAGAACCAATGACTGTAACAGGGTAGGATGAAGACTTGCCAATACACATGTATCTTATTAGGCGAAACCGAGATAACGTAAAGCTGGATGACAACCCTTGGGATAAAAAAAGGAAAACAGAAATAGAAGTAGAAATAGAAATAGAAATTTCGAGCTAGGTAATTATATATAATACGGTACTGGCTAATAGTATCTAGGTACCTTGCACTTTTTAAGAGGTACGTACGTGTACCCCTGTTGCTGCATGGCATGGTGGAAGTCGACCAGAACAATTGGGCATCACATTCCATATAAACCAGCGCCAGATCCTTTAAATCAATTGCAACTAGGCGTACTAGCGGTGGGCTTGTGTGAGCGCGCCGATGCTGCATTCACATTGATATTTCCAAAAGGCTGGCAACGGCGGCAAAGGGGACTGGTATGACAAGCTGTACATAGGTCACCCCTGTAACTTGTACATTGTACTCCGTACAGGTCATCATTAAATTAATGAAATAAATATGTAATTAGCGGGTAATATTTAGGCAATGTTTTATTTTCAAATTAATTTTATATACCGTATAGCTAATTAGGCATAATAAGAAAAGGGAAAGTTGCACGGAGTACTGCGTACAGGAACATTGTACAGATCATGTTTCATCTAGCGTAAAGGTTACTAGGTACTTACCTATACAATGTCCATGTACAGGCTACAAGGGTGACCTCTGTACAGCTTATCATAACACTCTGGCAAAGGGGCTGACGAAATTTATGCGCCGCCAAACTTGCATGTGGCCAGCCAATAGGAGAAGCAGGGATACGCGGGTGGGTCAAGGGGCCGCGGATTCTGGAACTACTGTAGATATTTTTGAACGCCAAAGATTATCGTCGTGGCAGACGCACGGGAACCGCGTAGATCCATTCGTCAGCCTTCGTATTTAAGGGCTCTTAATCCTGGGTACATGACCCTTAAACAAACTTTCCGGGAGACCTTGGAGAGATACGCGTATATGGCATATCCTCTGGAGTACCTAATAGAGCCTCGCCAATCACAGACTCAACAATACGCTGATTCGCGTATGCGGGGGGCTCGTTTTACGAGGAGGCCGTAGGCAAGAGTCGTCAATGAGATGACTCTTGAATCGAAAAGAGCCTGGCTAATGCTGTTGGCACTTTAGGTTTGACTGCCTGCGCCGCAGTGTCCAGAGTGGAGATGATAGAATAGGCCTGTAAGGATGAGTATATCCCGTTATGTTTAAATATAGTAAGATGCCCTCTATATCTTCTTTATTTTAACCACTCCCTTTGATCTCTTTTGCCATATTAGAATATACGTTGTAATACACTTGAACTCACCATGAGCACCAACTGCGACCCAAACTGGCAGCATGCCGTCTTTGCTTTCTATCGATACACCCCCTCTGTTGCAGCTGCTGTATTATTCTGTATTCTGTTCTTTTTATCTACCGTGTTACACTTTTTGCAGATGTGGAGAACGCGGAGCTGGTATTTGACTCCATTGGTACTTGGTTGTTTTTGTACGCTGAGCCCCAATCTTGAATATTGCCGACCTCGAGGAGAAACTTTGACGCTTATTTTCACCCTGTTTATTAGTTGAGTTTATTGGCTTCGCTGGTAGAGCTGCTTCTGGAGCACAAAAGGCTGGCTGTTGGACATTGGGGCCCTATATTACCCAGAGCATGTTTATCTTGCTCGCGCCAGCATTATTCGCAGCATCCATCTACATGATACTTGGCCGAGCCATCCTTCTCGTCGACGGACAAGATCACTCAATTATTAAACCACAATGGTTGACAAAAATATTTGTTTTCGGAGACGTTATTTGTTTCTTGCTTCTTGCTGGAGGTACGAACTATGGTTGCTACCCTCATCGCACACCGGAGTATTTGCTGATCACAGATTATACTATTATTAGGTAGCGGGATTCTAGCCACGAGTAAAAATAATCCATCCATGTCCGACACCGGCGATAACGTTATTATTGGAGGCCTGGTACTACAATTAATTTGGTTCGCCATTTTCGTCGTCGTCGCAGCTGTGTTCCACTATCGAATGCGGTCGATCCCAACAGTTCGCTCACAACAACCGGAGTACCGCTGGCAAGTCTATCTCCAGACGTTATATGTTTCTGGCTGCTTGATAATTATTCGAAATTTATTTCGTGTCATCGAGTATGCTCAAGGCAATGATGGGTATTTGCTTACGAACGAGGCCTTTATATACATTTTCGATGCTCTTCCTATGCTGATCGTCGTCGTTTGGCTTCACTGGAGACACCCAGGTGAAATCGGCCTACTGCTCCGCGGTGAGAAGGGTATCAAGAATGGATTCCAGCTGATCAATGTCAGAGGTCGGAATTCAGTGTAGGAAGACGAGAACACATCCGGAATTTGCGGCCATTGTGGACCCAAGGCTACCTACCACCCTGATCAGGCACAGAACTCATTGCAGCATTCCATCACAAAACAATATTCTTTGTCTTCTATACTATGAATTACATTGGCTTATAAAGCTAGTTACACTTAATTTTATCTTTTGCATGGACAACAATGCAAGTTTGTTTTCTCTAAATCCTCAAACAAGATTCTGTCAACTTGCCGTCATTCGACTTAAAGGCCTCAACCTCAAAAGCACACGGACTACGCATAATTAAAGATACTAGCAAGAACACCAAAGACTCATTTCGGTTCCGTTATTTCTCCCCGATTGCTTTTCGGAAATCCTGTGCAGCAACCGCATATTTGCATCGAGCTCGTATACGGCTACCCCACTTATAAAAGATGAAAGGTAATGGGGCGCAAGCCAATGTCAGAAATGCAGGAATCATTGTGGCCCAGTGAATTCCCAACCCAGCATACATATAACCGGTAAATAATGGGAAAGCAGCAGCAAAAGCTGAGCGCATGACAACATTGGCGGCCAGCGCAGAGGCGGCAAAGGCCAAGTACGTGTCAACAAGGTAACCGTTGATTGATGCGAAGACCAGTACCATACCAAAACCAAATGGCACACCCGCTGAGATACTGGCCATCCAATGAATACTGGGATAGTTTGTCCACGCAAACCAGATTAAGCCGATGGGCAGAGATATCCCACCAATCATGCCCATGGGCAGGCGAGCTTCCGGTGGAAGAGATCCCGTGCCACCGCGGGCCTTGTCTTTCTGCACCATTCGTTTGTATCGCCCTTGGTATAGTATAGATGACAGGACGGCTAGGATCACTCCAATAAGAATTCCGATAAAAGCCAAACCTCCCTGTCCTTCTCCCCAGCCGCGGTATTTCTGAAATACAATTGGTATGACTCCGAAGAACATATACAACGTCCCATAAGTAATAGACTGGTAGAGAGAGAGGAGCAGTACGATCGGCTCATAAAATAGCAATGCCCATGGGCGAGACAATGATACTTTAAGCTCGCTCCATGCAGACTTTTCGCGCTTGCCGGCGTCCAGTATGCTGCGATAGGACTGACCGGTGATTCTGGATAGTTGCTCTGCACGTTTTCGTAAAATAAATGGTGCATGGCTTTCCGGTACAACGGAAGCAGTGATAATCCATAATGTTCCCGAAAATATGGCTGTCAGTCCAGAAACCCAACGCCAGCCATGTGTCTCACCCAAGAAGCCGCCCACAATAGGCCCGAGGATTGGTCCCATGAATGGTCCCGCCGCAAATAAAGCCATAGCTAGCCCTCGATCTGTAGCGTCGTACATATCTGCGATAACACCTCCCGGGTTTGTAAGAGCCGAAGCAGCAAATGCTCCCGCAAAGAATCGTATAATAACAAGAGAATATATGTGTTGAACTCCGGCGCTACCAGCATTAAATGCAGTAAATGCTCCATAGGTGATAAAACAAATAATCTGGCGACCATATAATTCACCCAATGGCGCCCAAAATAACGGACCGAGTGCGAATCCCAAGACGTAAAGGGCAAGACCGAGAGAGAACACTTCACTACCGGCATCTAGATCGGACATGATCTCGTTTCTGCACCCCGAATACGTTGATGAGACAAATGTTGCCGTCAGTGTGAGCGTCGCCATAATGGCAGTAGTGAGAATTTTTCTCCCCCGAGACCATTCTCTTGCGTTGCGAAGATCGTTTTCGATCCAGGTGACTAGATAAGGATTTGAGCTTGTCCCCGAACCCTCATATTGATAGTTCAAGACTGCGGGAGTTATGAGTGCCTGATCAAACATAAACCGGAAATATGACATCTCAGAATTTTCTGACGATCCCGTTCTGGGCTGGGGAGAGGACGAGCCATCTGGATCATATATGGTGCGCTCGGTATCTGACATGGTAGGTTCGATATTGTAAGCAAGGACAGTTGAAGCGATTTTGCTATTTGTTCTTATTCTGGCACCACGGGTGAGCCAAAGCTGGGTGATATGATGGGTTAAAAAAAGGGGAGGAAAGAGGCACTGTCATATATTATATAGAAGAAGTAGAGATTCAATTGGGAGGTAAAACAGATTCCAATTTTGCTATCGGCACGAAGGGTGAATTCCCGAGCAGATAAAAGCCGAGCCGATTGACAAGCAGGGCAAGCATTATTAGTAAACAACCTACCTGGCCTACCACCGGCAATATGTCTCCGTAGTGAATTGATTGGGTATTCACCTGATTCATAAACCGAACAATCTGAGAGTTATTGATATCACAAAAAATGGTAAGCGACACGGTGGAGTGGTGTAAGCATGTATATGGGCCAGGGCCGAGTTGTCGCGAAAGGCTATCAACACTTTAGGCTACGATGACGACTCTGCTGAGCTCAAACATTCTTCGCCACGATCTTATACTTATTCGCAACTATTGTCAAGTAACTAGTTAGGTATAATGCTGGAATCCTTTAAATAATCAAGCCATACTAGACCATCGAGCCAGTTGTTCATATCACCTAAAACTTCCGATGCATCATCATCCTGTAGCCGTAAATTACTGTTCATTGCATCGGCCCGTAGCTCTAGTTCATTTGTACCACTCTGCCCAAAATCTTGCATGTTTTGATTCAGCTCCTGAGATTCATGTTCCTGCGTTTCTCCACTTGACTGATTCTCCGCCAGTAGTATATCGGAAGTAGAAGCTGCGTCGAGCATTCTTTGGTCAAGAAATCGGTGCAGGAGGCGGAGGTTGCAATCCATAGCTGGGACAACTTCACAAATCTGCTTCAAAGCTAACTCGGTGCGGCGAATACTCGTAACAGCCAAGGATCTTGCAATTGGCGGCTCAGTTGGGTCCAAAACAGTTTCAATATGTAGTGCCAATAAGCAGGTGATACAGCCAAGCCTATATAATTTTCATCAGACCAAAATACCATTGACACCAAATAAGAAAATAATCCCACTTACATGTTTAAATTAGCAAATCTTAACAGGTTATTCATAATAAGGCGGCTGACAATCGTATCTAGTTCGAAAACTGCCATACGAAGTCGCTGTTTCAGGACGTCTACTCGCCCGCTTGTTTCGCCACCAGTCAGAGATCGAATGAGTAACGAACGATAAAAGATACACTCAAACCTGTAGCAACTTGCCTCAAGAGCTGCTACCCAGATGTCGTCAACTCTATCCAATGAAACGCTGCGGCTAATTGATTTGTCTCTAGGAAGAGATTCTCTCCATTCTGCGAAGGAGGAAGATATTTCTTCATCGATGTTTTGGCTTATTGGCGGTTGTCCATTATCCAATGTGCGTAGAACTTCTTGCCAGCGAGTAGCTACTCCGGTTCAGTAACCATCACGAACCAACTCCACACAGGCGAAGAAATTACCTATGATAGCTAGTTTCATGTGCTCGCCGCTGAAGCGCTTTTGGCCCTCAGTCCATGACGGTATAATCGAGCCATGAGATGACGGAATATGGTTATGCCACCACTCCACCTCGGGTGCTTGTCGAATGTTGCATTGGATCAATCGAGGCGTTTCTAAGTGTATGATCGAGAAAATTATTTCACGGCACTTAGGAAACATTAACTTTTCGGATCTTTGGTATCGGTAGATACATATCGGAGAATGCTCACACATATTACGGACCATATCCTTTGGTAAAGATTCTTCACGGCAGGGTCTTTCTCTTCCACCACATGGCTTTTCCCATATTAGCAACTCATTTATATGCGTTGGAATGTAGCTTACTCTTTATGTAGACCAAGCCTCATCGCAAGACGCACGGCGTTGTGGTGCCAGAATCGGAAATCTTTGTCAATAGTATATGACACAAGGATAGTACTCAAAACGAGGGATCCCTGTAGTTTGACCAACTGGCTTTCTTCATATCCAAAATCATATAGCTTTACCGCATTAGAGAAGAAAAACTCCAATGCCGTCGAACGATCTTTGAAGCCACAGTCTGTTAATACTTCCAGAGGGGTATACGGTACTGCACTGGCTAATATTGCCTGCATCATGAACCAAGAATATGAGCCTGAAAAGTATGAATTCATGAAATCAACGTAATTAAAAACTGGAATGAGTGGATAAACAGAGATAAAATGCTGCCGCAGCATTGATTCGCTACAAATGCAATTAGCGAAATTCCTCGCGAGGATCCGACGACAATAATACCAGCAAGGCTGCGAGGGCAGAGTAAAGGCTCCTCTTTGTTGAAGATATTCTTTATCCGCGTTATTGAGCCGCATATTATTTAAAATTGCATTTACTCTTTGAGGCCCATTTTCCTTTTCTGGCCGCTTTGTGCCAATTGTTGGTCCCGAAACTCGAGGCGTGTAAGCCTGTTCATTGCGGGCTAGCTGACCTAGGATGCTCATGTAGTGAACTCCTTTACGACCGTCAATGAGATCCCATCCTTGAAATGGCATACGTCCATCTTGAGAAGTGTACGTTTCCTGTTCTGAAATCAGCATGCAGCATCTTTAATGAAAGCAACGGTGACCCAAACCGAAAGTTGATTTGTAGACTTAGTCTCAGCTTGTCGTGCTAGCTGAGTCTGAGTACCTGCATCATACAAGGCTTGGCGTTTGTCCTTGGCTGGGATCACGGTCCTAAATGGATGATGAAACGGTCATTGAGAGCCGTTAATTAGCTGGGGAGCCTGGTGAGGGCTTACTTGCGACGGCGTCTGTTAGCAAGAGCGCATGTTTCTGGATATCCTTTGGTAACGCATCGGCTGCATGGCAACCCAACGATGGCTGCATCGCATTTCAACTTCCTATGATTGCAAGTTCTGTCGATATTGTAAGCGAAAGAGCGGCTTACATGGTTGCCGCATCTTCATAGTGACGACGGGAGAGAGAGAAGCCCGGATTCCGGAAACGGCGAGATTGTACAACATTCGACACCAAGGAGACCGGATTACTCACATGCAAGCTTTTGTCGGTTTTCCAGAAGCCGAGGAGGGTGGCATGCTAGCAGAGCCGAATATAACACACGTGCAATTGAGTTACCAGTGAATCTGTCATGCAACTATGGTGAATGCAAGATGTTGCCGAGTGGGTTTGCGAAGGAAAGTTCGGAAGAGGATGAAATCCCGAGCGGCGCTTTGTCCAAGTATTTATTACCTAGGCGCTGATGACGGCCGTATCAGTAGCTCGGTATTTTCCGCTCGGAGTTTCAACTCGGAAACTCTGCATCTTGAAACTGGGGCTCTGCTGATAAAGCCGAGCTCCAGTCTTGATGCAGGTTAGCCCATTAGCCTCGTGCCATAACATCAGCAATAAAATGGAAATATTGACAAGAAATTTAGGTGCGATCTCCAGACATATCGATCAGCTAAGATGGAAATCATGGACCTCCACAAATATGAGCTAAAGCGAAAGTCAATTGCTTCATTTGCATCTCACATACCCTTACTTTGAGCATGTCGCTACGTTAGGTAGAAGCGGTCTGTGCTCATGCCATCGGAGTTATGTGACTCCTATGCCCCTAAGCATGAAACGCGACCTCGAAATACGAGTTAACTCTATGTAGAACAGGTCGGAGGGCGTTTGAAGCTCTTCATCGCATTCTCAAGGAACCATAAAAGATGGGGAAGATGCCGTATAGTGTGCATACTATGTAAAGAAGTAAAAGAAAAAGAAAAAGAACTAACCGATGCTACTCTAGATCTAGATTAACTTGGCGGATTAAGTCGATCATGTAGTCAAAATATGGGGAAGGAGACCTTTCAGATGAATAGTCACGGCAGGCTTCATTGCGCACCCCGGTCTGCAGCTCGAAATGTTTGCATAATGCATAGTAGATATATTCATAACTCATTGCTTTGCTATCACAATGAGATATTTACAACTGATTCTGTCTCTCATATATACAAAAGCCTCTCGGCTCAAATAAATATTTACTTCAAAATTATTTCCATCATGAGGGCCACTTTAGTGAGAAACGTTAATGGCAAAGAAGTGAACATCAGAGGCGCTTGTGCCCTGGTTATAGTTTCCAACCTTGAAGTAGCTGGGAGGGGCATCCAGGGAATAGGTGCTGAGAGTCTTGGCAGCGCCGCCGTTAATGCTGACGCTAAGGACATTGCTGGAGTAGCTGATAGTGTAGGTGAACTGCTGGCCAACGGGAACATTGCCAACAGTAGTAATGATCTCGTTGCCGCCAGAGCGAGTTTGCTCAACGCCCATAGCTAGCACGCCGCTGGAGCTGTAGTACAGCTCAGCCACTGGCTTCGTGCTGACGCTGTCATCGATGTGAATTTGGCCGATAACAGTGCCGTGGCCCGAGTTATCTGGCTGTTCAACAGCCAGCGTCACTGTCAGCTTGTTGTTGGCATTGTTTGGGCTCCAGCTGCTGGGGTTGCTTTCCCGCAGCTCCGTGCGGCAATGCTGGCTGTTGGGTGTAGTGACACAGCCAGTGTTTGAGGGCGCTCCAGGCACTTTCATCACCAAGGCACCGTCGCCACTCTCAGTGAAGAAATAATGGTGACCTGGGTCTTGGTATCCGCCGCAGCCCTCGAGTTGCGAAGCGGGGATAGTAGTCGGGCTGCCTGGGTTGCCAACAGGAAGCTGAAGCGACCATTTGCTGAGGTCAAAGTTGCCACCAGGAGCACAGCTAGGGTTAAGAGCTGCGGCAGCGAGGGTAGAAGCAAGAAGAGTCTTAAGAGCAGGCATGGTGATGGTATAGACACTTTTGAACGATGTTGAGCAGTCTTCGTCTTGAACTTATTCAGGATGAGGAGGGATGTACGACAGGACAAAGAGCATCTTCATGCGATATATATACTTTCATTGTTCTGACCGACGCATAAATCTTGACGATCTTGGTTTCAGAGGAACTAGTCAGTGAAATATTGAACTAATACAAAATCGACAGGTACACAAATGCCTACTAGGGTGTTCCTGAATGTAGATTGTCCGTCGTGCCGCATACCCGGCATAACGTTTGCTAAATTGATCCTAATTGGTGGAGTTTTTTCATTCTCCATCATTAGAGCAGAAATCCTTAATATACATGAATAAGATGCACGATCCGTCAACGTGAATGTCAAAGGTCGAATGGTAAAGGATAAGACCGGCAGCCAGCACTATGGAATGCATTCTAGAATTTTAGGACTACCTTTAACATCGATTGCTGACGGTAAATCATTCGTTCGCCCCGCAGCTCCTCGTTCAATCCATGCTTATTGTGGATGTCAAAACCCCACATCAAGAGCCAAGACCGTGTCGTCAGTAGCCAAGCGCGAAAATCGCCGAGAGTTTGATTGCGAAGAACGACTTGATCAATCTAAAGGCAAATCTACGAGTATCAAAGTCGTCTCTTGGCAATTCGGGGGAAACACAGAGGTAGTCGTAATACGAGTATTAAATGGATTTCTCTACTCCGTACTCCGTACTCCGTCGCACTAGAGCATTCTTCTTCTTTAGCCTAGACTAATGTGTCATATGCATGAGCGGCGTGGAGATGGCTCCCCTACACTCCAGAGATCAGCTTCCAGGAGATGCGGATCTCTATTTTTCCGGCAATGTTTCGACTTGACGTACTCCCCCCATTTTCACCGTGGAGTGTCAAAATTCAAGGATTTATTGTGGTAAAGAAAAGACAGCCTTAGAAGAACGTAGATTCCAATTTGTACACATTGGTAGCAATATCTTTAGCGATCCTAGAAGAAATAAGGAATCTAGAGGTATGCGCTTACTAGAATCTATAAATGTATTGCTTCCAGTCTCTTGTTGGCGAATGCGAACTATTCCATTGAGAAGATCCTATATGATGAACAGTTCAAGTATTTATTGCATGATATTTGAGTGATATGTATGAAGCCAAAGCTCTGGAATCAGCTTGCTTGATGCATTGGAACAGTCGCCAATGCTTAAGTAGGGCGTTTATACACATTCTGTTCTTATTTTGGCGCGGAATTATAGGAGAGGGCAAATCCAACTTCGTCTAGAGGGAGGGTGTGTTATCGCCTTGAGATTCACCACCGTACTTTGAGGAAACCGTGCACTACTCTGTCGTGGGACATCTGTAAATCATCAGGCAAATCGATTGCAGTCAAATGATCCAGAATTTGCTGTTTTCCAATTACTAGCCCATGTAATGCATCTTAAGCCGGCCCTGAAAGTGCTTCATCGTATTAGCGACCGTCTAGGAATGGAGAATTAGGTTAGGTAGATACGTAACAGAAGTTTGTAGCACCTACAGCAAAGGTCTCTGGGAACAGCATATCGCACATAACTCATTAGCTACTTTTGAAGCGCCGCATTTCTTGGGATAATTGCGACTGCGTTGTCGCCGCTTATCAGAATAGTCTTTGCGGCTTGAAGGAAAAGATATATTCTACTAATATGGAGTGAGCAACTCCTCAAGTCGCAGTTCTGAATAGATAGCTGTCCTATCCATCAACTCACACAGAGTGGACCTTAGCAAAATCAGAAGTTTATGTAAATAACTATAGAACATCCAAGAAGATGGAGACAAAAGTTAAAGGCACAACTACCATTATGTATTTTATCAAAGCTCCCAGTACTGTTATTAGCAGCCCCAGATCAATCACTACCTCTAACGTCTCCTCACGCCACCTAACCCCCCCGCCCCCCTCGTGCCCCCTCCAAGATTCCAATATCATCCGCTAGTTTGTCTGCCTCAGCATAAGTCAACATATCAGGTGACCCCCTCTGCACCTAAAATTTCATCCACCTTTACTGCTAATAGCTCCAATGGCACAGCTGAAAGTTCAGCTGCGATTAGGATCCAAGTATTCATGGATTAAAATATCATATACTAGGCTATTCGGGATGTGCGTGGAAGTTGGCTACAGGTATGCCACGCTTGGAGAACCACTCGTCAAAGTCATTTCCAAGAGCCACTGCTTCGAGGTTCTGATATTAATCTAGATATTGCTTATTTTGGGCAACATATCGTTTGCGGGAATCTCATAATCATCACTTCTGATTACCATAGCCTTTATCTCTTCTGGCGGATCTTTCCACTGTGGATGAACATCATCTTTTAATGATACATTCGTAGATAATGCTAGCCCTGCTTTGAAGTTTTCACTTTCTAATAAGTAATATAAGTTCACCGGTGAAATCAATGAATCGTTTAAGTCACTTCCCTCTCATAGCTACTAATAGCATCATGTGCAGCATTAGCCTTATCAATACGACCGTGCTTGACATTGACATTCTCGATATTTGAAGAGCAAATATACTACTTTAGCGAGTGGAATGATTCCATTTTTTACTTTGGGTTGGATTGAAATTTCCCACCAATTGTCGTCCAAATACCTGCACGTTGTTACAAAAATGAATAAGCACCAAAATGGACATACCGTTCGTTTCTAAGATAGATAGGATTCACATTACCAGCCGCCACTTTCGTCTGGTATTTATGTAATATATGTTTTCATTCAAGATCTATATATAGGTTATGTTCTGTACAAAACATCTCATCTTCACTTCTCTTTCGGGATGGTAACGTTATTGATGCCGACGGTTAATGTTGATAATAAACTGAGAAGCCAGTCGCTAAACTCAATATAGTTTGCTTAATAACATACATTACAAATCAACCTGGCTAATTTGGCTTCTTATGGATAACCTGTCCACTGACAAAGACCTTGGCCTTCTACAAATCGTCGGGGAGGGTTACGTTGATATGCCCGTGGGAGCGAATGCAAGAGACTAGATCGCCGAATTATACCGAATCTACCATCATCTTCAAGTTATCGCTCTACAATCACAACTGAACGAAGCGTTGTGATGTCGTCTCCGGAAGAACAAAGCACCGCCAATGTACGGAAAGGCTCGCTCCTGAGTCCGAATTGGGATAAATTGTTGATTTCTGTTAATAGTCACGACGTATACGAAGCCGTATTGCACAACAAGCGTATCGGAAACGGCATAACGAGAAATTCCATTCTTCTCAAAGGCGAGCACAAGACTTACAAATCGCTGCCCAGCGCGCCTGCACAGTGTTTACGGACTTGACCGGTGCTCTCATCCAATCTGGGATAATGCAACAAGACACAGCCCTTACCACCGAAGTCTTGAACGCGATAAAGAAATTCCACCATGTAGCGAAAGTTGTCAACGAAGATGGTCAACATTTTGGATCGGGTGATGTGGATCAGCTGCTGGGACACGATATAGGCATTCCAAACGAGACAATGGCAATTCGATATGATGATCGGATTCATCCAACTATGATGAGCGAAGTGCAACTCGACATAGAAAAGGGCAAAAATATTTTCCACTTTGGTGGCGAGGCGGCCTCCACTCAAGATCAACTCGACCAAAATGCTTATTCATAGCCACCCAGTGATTGAATCTTGATTTCGCCTTCATATGTTGCTCTAGAATTTGCAATTAATGGAGACCTTTCTTCTATTGGATCCCGTCTTCTTCGAACTACCTTGTCGTCTGGATATGAGGCCCTGAAAGGGACCTCTGGACACACCACAGACTTGGGTTTTCGGATATTTGGGCTCACATTGTCTTATCGAAGTCGCGATGATGTTCTTTCTGAATTCCAATGGTGGCTTGGCCCAGGCCAGCCACTGGCATCCCGATTGAAGCAAGCACGTAACTACCCCGGCGTTCCTACGAGTGACACTTACCTCAGTGTCGAGGATGTGGTCGTGTTGCTGCACGATATCGGGGTGGTCAACTCACAAGATAATATCCTCGAGTTTTCCGATTCGTCAAAATTTCTCGATGCTTCGGAGCTCAATTTTGGATTCAACCCATTGGCAGTACATGGTTATGGGGCGTCAAACACAGACACACACATAACCCAACGCTTCTCGGTATCCCATTCAGAATCAGCATGGCGTAGACTGCCTGCCTTACAGGCATTCAATTTCGATTCCCTAATGGGAAATCTAGTAGAAAAAGTGGATCGAGAAGAAGGAAGTTACAAACATCGTTTTACCACTCGCAAAGAATTTCAGCGAAGAAGCATCCCAATATCTATGATCCTTCAGAGTCTAGCCAATATATCAGTATGCTTATCGATTGGCCCCGGATACCCCCAGCAAGCGGTAAAATCGCTGATATATGCAACTATATCCGGAATTTCAATGCAATGAATGTTATCTTTAAATCCTGGTGCAGAAAACTTGAGATTTCTTACGTGTTCAAAAGAGCATCATGGCTGCGAAGGAGAACCCTCCAGTGAGTAGTCCATAACAGGTTATGGGAGAATTGGGACGATACCTTTTGTCTAGAATCTGGCATTATCACAGTTACGTCGTGTGATGACTCTGAACTCATGGGGTAAGAATATTTTCCTATTATCAGGTTGGCAGAATGGCGAATAGGTTGTCTAAAGCTCTATAATATTTCTCCTATGTCAATTCTGTGCAGAAGAGCAAACTCTGTTGTATCATTTAAAAATGTGGTTTTGAAGGGGAATGGGTTCCTTAAGCCAAATATTATTGGCACATCATTTTCCCAAACAAGAAACTTTCCCTCGGGCCAGATAGGAGCGATGCAACGCTATATATTTTCTCTGGGTCATGCTCGGTTGCATGGCACATCGCCCATGGCCTAGATAGGAAAGAAAATGTGAGATCATTGTCCTAGCATAATACCTTGACAGGCGGATGGCGGACTCGGCTCCCATATCCCACACCCATGGAGTCCATGGATAGCGGAGGCACAGCTGTGCTTTAGTCTTTTTCATAGACAAAATAAGTGAATATGGGAGTACTAGAACTAAGATCTTGGATTCCTGGAATGGGACTAAAGCGGGTACTCTTATTTGGCTCGTGTGTAATTCGCTTACTATGTGCGTTAGGAGAATGAAGTATCCCTGAGAGTTGCCCCTATCAGCGTTGTCTTTGGCAAGTATTAGCGTTTAATGCCAACGGAGTAACGGCTGTCAAAATAGCGCCGCTCCGAGACACATGTGGATCAAGAGGTATACCGAAGTTGATAGTATTCGCTAATGGCGGTACTCCGTATTGAGGTCATTTTCGACCAATGTGGCACGGTTCTGTCTCAGTCGCCAAACGCGTAGGGAACATTTCGTATTACTCCGTACTCCGGACATAGCACGGCATTTACTTGCCGCGTTTGTTAACGCCGACATCAGTGGTTTTTGTGGGATAGCGTGCGGGAAGCTCTCTTGGTCCGCCAGCCACATGTCCTAAAAGGGCGATGAGGCGATCGAACGCATGTTCTACAGCCAATTATATACCAGCCTATATAGATGCCAAGGGTTCGTTCTCGTGGCACGTTACTACTATACCATCACGAGTGGGGGTTTCTCTCTTGTAAAACAGCACGATGCTGTCCTAATTAGCCAGCTCTGGAGGCTTCCCTTGCATATGTTACCACACTATCCATCCATTCCAGCCCTTTTGTTGCCAGTGAAGATGCATGAGAAGAGCTAAAAGCATTGTTACGCTAGTTCTCTGCATTAGATCTTGGTCATAGACTCCGTGAGCACTATCACGACTTTGCATGGAAGTATTACACTTTTAGGAAGATAAGGTAGCATCTCTCAAGCCACTTAATGATTACGCTAAGACCGCTTTTAATATCGCTGTAGAGGATGGTTTTCATGAATGCGAGTCGGGAGGATCGGTATCAAGGCGTTCCAAGGAAGCAGTGGCAGTACGCGATGGTCTAGCTCATTGGGTCGTCTACAAGAGCATTTACACAGATACATTCATATTGACGATAAGTACTAGGCAACACTCATGCGTAGCATTTCAATTTTGGCTAGCATTAGCAATAGTTAGATCGCTAGGCGTACTAATAAGCGGACTACTAGAGAAGTTCATTGTCAATCTCGCTGTATACATTTCGCTCTCCTGGTGACTAGAGTCCAACAAAAAAAAACGTTGGATCCTCGGGATCGGGTATCTTCAACAGACCACGCCGATAAAGGGGGGGCAGGATGATCCACTTGACGTTTATCCTTGAAAACGGCAGCATAGCTCCGGCTATGGCAGGTCCGGTCCACCGATTCGCGAGATAATACCGCTGCAGAAAGTGCAGAAGAACCACTGGGGGTGGCATATCTGGCTTGTGACGGCGTTGTCAGTTTCTAGAGCTAGTACAAGTTACCACCGAGAAAACCGATATAAAAGGCGATGCTCGCATTTGCCAAACGCCTCACAAGATCTTCCCGGAAATTACTGGGCACTCACGATATCTACGCACGACCACCTCACCCTTGAACATAAAACATACAGTCGCACTTCATCAATAAATATGGGCGAATACATCAATCCAAAACAGCAGTACGGACAGCAGCTGCTAGTTAATGTCGTTGACGAGTATGCGGCCTGCGATCCCCAACGAGTTTTCATCCATCAGCCTTTTTCTAGCAACCTCGAAGATGGCTATCGTCCTGTCACGTTCAGGGATGTCTCCAATGCAGTGAACTACCTTGCTCATGAGTTACTTGAACAGGCTCAAAAAAATATCAATCAGAAGGACAACTTTCCTACGGTAGCTTACATCGGACCAAGCGATGTGCGATACATAATTGTCATGCTGGCCTGCATAAAAGCTCAGCATAGAGCCCTGTTTATTTCGCCTCGCAATAGTCTCGAGGCTCAACTTTCGTTGTTCAAAGCCACAAAATGCACCCAGATTATGTATGATGCGTCGATGCAATCTACCATAGAGCCATGGCTTCAGTTATACCCCATGTCAGCGACGGTAGCTCCCGATTTGAGCTTTTGGATCCAATCAACTGCTACTCATGTACCGTACAGCACGCCGTTTGAAGAAGCAAGATGGCATCCTATGGTTGTTATGCATACGAGTGGTTCTACAGGCATTCCAAAGCCTATTGTTGTTCGCCAAGGAAGTCTCGCGATTGCCGATGGCCTTCGAGACGCACCATATCTGAACGGTTCACCCTCGATATGGAGCTACTGGGCTGCCAATAGCTCGAAGATATTTTTACCAATGCCTGCATTTCACATGGCTGGAATTGCTTGTATGGCAATTTTTGGAATCTATTATGGCATTCCAATAGTTCTAGGGGTACCGAATCGTCCTCTGAGTGCAGATTTAGTGGGTGAATGCCTGGTCCGCTCAGAATCCGATTCCGCATTACTGCCTCCCTCAATTATCGAGGATATGAGTTCGAATGACGAAAATGTTAAGCTTTTAGCTAATCTCAAGCTCACAGCCTTCGGGGGAGGTAAGAAAGTGAAAGCCTATACCAGTTTTCTCAATTTATGACACCAACTAATACCAGATGGATAGGCAACCTTTCCCCTTTAGTGGGAGATGAACTCGTTAGAAGAGGCGTAAAGCTCGTCAACATTATATCTTCGACTGAGTAAGCTAAAGAACTAGAGAAACATCGATGCTTACGGCTAACGTTCCTAGGGTTGTACCTTATCTGCTCCACCATCAGCCTGATCCCAAATCATGGCAATGGATCGTTATTAATTCTGAAGAAATGGGTGCCAAATTCCGTTTGATATCCGATGATGACGTTTACGAGATGTTCATTTGCCGTGAGCATCTTGGGGAGCCATTGGGAAAAGCTCTCTTTTACACCTTTCCTGACAAAACCGAATGGTCAACAGGTGACATGTATAAGAAGCATCCAACAAAGCCACACCATTGGCTCTACCACGGCCGTACGGATAACGTTATAGTTTTCTCTACCGGCGAGAAACTAAATCCTGTTACTATTGAGGCCGCTGTTGTGGGTCACCCTGCTGTTAAGGCCGCCCTTGTAGTAGGGCAGCAAAGGTTCCAGCCTGCTTTGATCTTGGAGCCGTATGAACCTCCAAAAGATGAAGCAGCAGCAGAATCTCTCATTGCAAGTGTATGGAGTATTGTTGAAGAGGTGAACAAAGTTACTGTGGCTCACGGAAAAATTACCCGCGATATGATTGCTATCTCGGATGCTGCCATGCCATTTGCATTATCGCCCAAAGGCACGATGCAACGGATGGCAACTGTGAAGTTGTACAAAGACTTCATCGATAGATTGTATGCGCAAACAGACGAGGCGATACAAATGGAAGACACAAGTGCAACACTGGATATTTCTAACCCAGATTCTTTAACTCAGTCTATAGTGGATATTGTTAGATCCATGATTGGTATATTCGAAGTTGAATCCGACTCTGATCTCTTCAGCATCGGCATGGATTCAATGCAAGTTCTCACTCTGTCAAAAATTCTCCGCTCGGCCTTGGAATCCGCTGGTGTCAAGACATGCAAGGATACAATTGCCGCTAGGACCATCTACGCAAACCCAACATTAAGAGGGCTAGCCCAGCATTTATTCTCGACGGCCATCAGTGGCCACAGTCAAGACATTATGCCTACAAAGGAGATTAACGCAATGGCTGAAATCATTTCAAAGTACAATGCAGACCTACCGCCTCCAAATATGAACCAGTTGTTTCCTTTGGATGAAGAGCAAACGATTATTGTTACAGGCACCACAGGATCTCTTGGTGCCTATGTACTTGACCGTTTGATTAAGAATCATCGGGTGGCTAAGGTTATTGCCTTCAACCGCGGCCAAGACGGGGGACGCTCTCGTCAACCAGCCTATAGCGCCGCTAGAGGACTAAGCACAAACTTCTCCAAAGTCGAATTCCTCGGCGTCGATCTGTCTAAACCATACTTCCACCTCGCTGAAGCCAAGTATATGGATATCCTAGCTTCAGCAGATCGCATCATACACAATGCATGGCCAGTTAACTTCAATATCAGCGTCAACTCATTTGAGCCTTACATTTTTGGAGTTCGCCAACTAGTTGAGTTCTCTAATAAGGCAGCCAAAAAAGTTCCAATCATTTTCATATCGAGTGTCGGTACTGTCAGTGGGTGGACGAATCCGGCTCCCATTCCCGAGCATCGTCTCGATGATATGACATTGCCGAAGATGGGTTATGGTCAATCAAAATTTGCTGCAAGCTCTATTTTAGACGCCGCTGTTGAGCAATCGGGCGTCCCCGCCGCCATAATTCGGGTCGGCCAAATCGCCGGGCCGCGAACGAAAGAAGGCAGCTGGAATCCCCAAGAATTCATACCAAGTCTCATCGCCAGCTCAGTTCACTTGGGTATGCTCCCAACCAGCCTAGGTCCTCTGGACATTGTGGAATGGACGCCAGTGGAAGACATTGCTGGATTGGTTTTAGATGTCGCTGGAATCAACAATAAGATTGCTCTGTCAAACATCTCAGGATACTTTCATGGAGTTAACCCGTCGGCTACGAGCTGGGCTGAAATAGCTAGAATCCTCAAAGAGTACTATGGAGAAAGAATCAAGGCTCTCGTTCCTTTGGATGAGTGGATTCATGCTCTTGAAACCAGCGCCACCGATGCAACATCAGAGGGAGCGGAGAAAAACCCCGGGATCAAACTCATTGATACATATAAGGGGATAGATGAACAAAGAAGAGCAGGTACTGGCCACGCTTATTTTGATGTCAAGAGGACTGTGGCGCACAGCCAAACCATGAAGAACCTTGGGCCGATTGATGAGGCATTGATGAAAAATTGGTGTGATCAGTGGGATTATTAATGCCAATAGATAACATTGAAGGTTTGAGAATTGGTCAGGGCGCTACTCGAAATAAGTCAATTCTATCAATCTCAGAGAAGATGCCATAGAGGGAAACATCCAGTAATTGAAAACTGTATTTCATCTAACTAATATTAAAATATGGGCCTTTAGAGTGGTGTAACTAGGTTGTTTGGGAGATGTGCAAGCATCCCGCATTTTTTGACAGAGTGCTAATATCGACCGCTATATTATCGCTTGCTCAGTAATCTCCTCTGTATTTAATGGCCCAGTAATAAGTGCTAACTCTAAATTGCATCCTTTCAATTCTTTGAATGGTATTTGCGGATACAAAATCTGACATCTTCCAAAAATAAGCTCTGTTTAGCCATTAGGCACCCCGCTGTCTCTCTTCATGGGCTAATACTGAGAGATCACTTCATCACCCTACATGATAGGCAATTACGTCATGTATGTTTCTGGGAAATACAAGTTGCGAACCTTGCCGATATCTGCTTCGTTGTCATACATACTTAAGCAGTGGCCTGATTGAATGGCGTATTAGATCGGGCCACGTACCAACCTCCGACGACGACTGCATATGCCAATAAGACGAGCAGAGGAAGGCGTAAGTCAACAGTGCATCACCTCCTGAGTCTGTGCTTTGCTGGTGAACGGGAAAGGTATAACCAATAAAAAGAGCTTTAACCGCGGACCGCAGAACCCCCACAAAGAGGGGTTACCTTCTACGAGGTGTGGATGATTCAATACCTCGACCGATTCCTTTTGAAATCCAAAATCAAATATCTTTTAAAATACGAATTGCTCCTTGTACGGCGCGAATCTATCCCAAGAGATGACATTGGCCTTGTCTGTTCTAACCAAACTGGCTGTACGAAGTAGTCATTATGGAGGAGGTTGCCGCCGAATTCACGCTCTTCCCTCGTTTGCCAGCAGAGCTACGGATCAAAATTTGGGAATCCGTGCCAAGGCCTACTCGTGTGATTGGGATATTGCCTCCGGCTGCTCGATGGTATCGACACTATTTTCGCGCTATCGGTACTAGAGCAAGCATCATAGCAGAAGAGCAGGACCCTCTGCAACGCTACAACTATCGCTACATTGTGCAGCCCAAGAAACATGCGATATTTCCGCCGCTTCATGTAAATCGTGAAGCCCGAGCAGTTTGGCTGCCACACTTTTTCCAGCCGTCCCGGTTTTTCCAAGCATCAAATCTTATTATTCGCTTCGATACTCCTTTTATCAGCTACGACACTGATATTTTTACCATCTTTGACGGATGGCCGTCAAATGGAATTCCTCAGGACGCTTTCCTCAATCCTCTTCTAGCTGACACTGGTGACCAGCCCTTGGATGGGTTCATCGCTCTCGACCGGAACCGAATACGAAACCTTGCTCTTTGCGAAATCCCGGGAGATATCAAGGGTTTTACGAGCGCTGTTTCAATTCGGCAGCTGCCAAACTTGCAAACATTGACTATCATGGCTTTGGGGCCTGACGGGAAATGGAAACCCGAATCTCTGGCTTCTGAGGGGAGCGGCGGCGACATCGCGTACAGTTTACCGGTACTCGAGATGTTAGCAGTCGATGTGCAGCGGATCACTGCAGATATCCATGATATTCCTCTAGAGCTGGTTCAAAACAGCCCATTTCTAAAAGATGCTAGACTACGACATGCTGTCGCTTTATCACCGAGCATACGCCCCCTCATTCGGTACAAAACTTTCGTGCTATCTCTGCTTTGGCATGAACTCAGACAGCCGAATGCAGCGGAGGCAATAACAGCATCTTGGTGGGATTACACGGAATACTTATTTAGTAACAGCATGGATGATGATGAGGAATGCCCTCTAATGCTGCGTGGCTGCGGCGTTCATGGCCACACAAAGCGAGAGTTGGTGGAATGGGTACCCAGGTTTGAGGTTAATTACAAGCTGCTATGTGCAGTTGAGTGGCGGGATGAGCTGAAAAATATTGGGATCGTCAAGCCATGAGACATGGACTGTGCATAGATAGCGAATACAAAGCAAATTGCGTGTCGGAAGAGGGTATTCAATAACATTCTTATGAATTTGCCCTATAGATGGAAATAGACATCATGGCAGATTACCGTTTTAGTATCCTCAGAATGCAAGGACCTCATGGCTACATTTTACGACGATGGGTACCTACATATAATAACCCAGGTTAAATAAAAATTGCAGTTTCAATTTGTCACCATTATACAGTAAGCTTTACCAAAAGCAACTGCTACGCCAAAATAAAGGAAGTTCAAATACAAAGGGAGATGTATGCTACAAGCAAACATGATATATGCTATTCATTCGTCTAACCATGATACCAAATCTTCGAAATACATTGCCTTCACAACATCGGCATTGCTCGAAGCTCCCTCATTCATGTCCCGAGAGGGATATAAGACCACAACTTCGACATTTATTTAGTCGGACTTGCGAGGGCTGCCAGGGAGGCTGTGGAATCTATCACCTTCGTCTCGATTGTTGATCTCGAGGGAGTGTGAATCAGAATCGAACAGAGTATTAGAATATTCGTTTGGCAAAGTGAAGTGCTCGTCTTCCTTTCCAACTGGCGTTTCCCTTGGTGATACCGACGTTGCTTCACTAGTGTTATCATTCGTGCCGTCTTCCGTTTCCTTGGTTGTAAACTCCGAGCGTGGAGCGGACGAGAGGACTTCTTCGTGGCCCGCCACCTCCGCGGCTTTCAAATCCACTTCCTCAAATTCAGGCTTGAGAGGTCGGGATATATTTCTCGGTGGTAGCGGTGGTGGCACACGGGCAGGAGTAACTATAGCGTCAACTGGAGGTGCGCTGATAGACTGCGATCGTAGATCGGAGGGGGATAAAAATGCAGCTTCGGATTTCTCGTCGTCCTCACTGAAAAAAGTAAGGCTATCGTCTCTTCCCCAGTCACGGTGTATACTGTTTTTACGGCCCTTTGAACTCCAGGGACTATCGTTGACCGCATTATAAAAGTCGCTAGGCTCGTCGTAGAGATTTGGGTTATGAAGGTTGTTGAGAATGGGACTTGTAATTGGAGTTATGACTTCGTCTGTTTGTGTGCCAGCATCGGACGACTCGTAGTGTCGATCAGAGCTCCACCTGAGGCGAGATGATGTATAGCTATCGCGATTGCTTCTTGTTTCCGATGTCTCCATGCTATTCCTGTTGTGAAATTTGCCGTACACTGGACTGGATGGACTTGGATGGTATTCAAATTGGCGACTCGATGGTCTCGAACGAGTGCCGGCTTCCACAATATCCAACCCTTCCCTTTGCAGTGCTAAAAAGCCATATGGATCTGGATCGTCGGGTTCTGGAATGCCAAAAAGTTTCCCGTCACTGGGGGCCTCGACATTGACATCGCCTGGCGCTGGTTGTCCTTCGAGCTCCTCCATGAGCTCTTCGTCAACATCCGATCGGCCTTCGGCAGCCTTCAGTGTTTCCATCAGCATTTTGAGCTCTGGTGGTCGATGTCGGACCTTTCCAGCTAAAATGTCGGCAACACCGATTGTCTCTCCATAAAAACGAGCATTTTCGTCAGAGCGCTCAATCACGACCGTACCGTCAACTTGGACGCCTGCGTAGAAGCCACGGGACTTGAGGTATGTGAATATCGGCCTATTTGCCTGTTTCCACTTGCCGTCATTCTCGAGAACCCCACCCATGCCAACAGGTCCGGCGACTGCGCTAATCTCTCCTCCCAGCGTGGCTCGGATCTTGGTGAATGCTTCAAGAGCTTTGGGATTGTTGATTACCAGCACACAGTCATATATGTCAACACCAACAAGAAATCCCAACCCGGCTGTGTGTAGCATAATGCCGGAAGGAGGGGACCATGATCCATCTTCCTGTCTGGCAACCAAGACTCCAGAACCCCCGGCTCCGGATATCCACAATCCGGTGCGCATAGTCGTAAATATCGCGAGACCAACAGCATTCTCTATTACTTTTTGGGGAATCTTCTTGATAACTCGTTGCTTCCGCTTCGGGCCGGCATCATCAGCCGGGCGCTCTTCTTCCGTGTAGAAGCCATCCTCTGTAACAAGCCACGTCGTAAGCTTTCATTCAGGGAAATTCAAATATGGCATTCGGCTTAAATTCAGATGGAAGCAAATGGGATAATGCTAGGGGAGGGAACGGGAGGGAGCAGCCAGATTCGAGATTGATATGATGAGTTTGAAGATAGATCATGTCTTTGCCTTCCTCCCGAGTGAATCCATCAAAAAGAAATCAGCACGTACTGCAAAATGACCTCAAAATTCTTGCGGCCTTGTCGCTTTCCTTGTCCAGCGTCGTGGGCCAAAACGCTTCGCTGCCAATGCGATTGGAAAGTCGATTCACGGGTGCTCCGAGCTTATCCGCCCAACCCCAGACCTTGTCAAAGCCCTTCTTGCTTTGGGTCTTGGTGGTGTCCCAGGACGGCAGCTTAGACGTCACCTTCTGCATTGTGGTCGGTCGGAGATTTGAAAGACAAAAGGGAAGTCGTCTATATGGCTATTCCAGAGATGGAAGAGCAATTAACGGACGTTTCGACAGCTTCAAGTCCATGCTGCCAATTTTAAGACATTGCGCAGTGGCGCAGGTGATGTCCCGCACTTTATATCATCCAACATGACACTACCGATAGACTTCCGCTCCTCCCGATGGCCGCCACAGCGCCGCTACTGGTGGGTGACGCATCGCTACGGATGAGTGCGGATGAGTCGGCGTTGCCGCAAAGAGCTCGGCACGGGCATTTACCTGGATTCTTCGAGAATACAGTAGGCTTTGGGCCAGACAATACGATACGAGAGAGAATCTAGAGCTGCTTAGCCACCAGCTCTGTAATCACTTAGACTATCAATGCCCTGTATTGTAACATGCCCGTGATTGTATGTTTACGAATGGTGCGTTCTCCTCCTTATAATCTTGCCTACCTAATCAATACCGACGCCATTGACGATGACGTCGTCAGTCCACTTTTCTCGGGCGTAAAACGCGAATGGAAATTCGTCGGGCGTTTGCGCTCTGAAACACTTGAGAGGAAGTAGATAGGTGCGATGGAACTCATTGTCGATTTATATTGTGTACAAGATTGAATTGAAAAGACTGCGACCGTCAGTAAATAATTCACGGAAGGTTGAATAGCTTGTGCAGGATGATAGACCCTTGTCGCAGTTCATTCAAACCAGCACAAATCTCTCAATAAAACGAAGCAGTTCCAAAAATTCAGCTCAGATAAACTTGCCAGCCCCCTTGTTTAATACTTATAATCTAATCGCGAATAAACTAATCGCGAATAAATGTTTCTCTTAGTTACACTGGGGGTACCAAAGCCAGCCTCGGCGCGTCATCTTTAGTAGGCTCTGGTACCTTAGATGTGTTCAGCATGTGCCACACAACTTACTCTTCTGGTGGAAATTTATGCAAAGAGTCATATTAATCTTAGAGAATTACCATATATATCTACATATACTTAACTATGCTTGTAATTTGGTAATTTGGCCAACATTGTGTGACATAATTCAATACTGGGTCAAAGTTTGAGAGTTAACAAGTGTGGAGAACATATTCCATATAATACGGTCATCTCCTATCGAACATCAACTGACTGCGAAGAAAACAGTCCGCGTGAAGCTCCATATTATTTTGATCAATATGCCTTCCTCTGTCTGGTTGGGTCTGCTATGTTCCAAGTCCCGAATCCGGATCGACTTTCCTTTAGCCAAGAATCCGTCCATTAATTAATCAGCAAGTTACGCACCCTTTTGCCAACTAGCTTAGTTTGGCGCCCTGTAGATCGTGTTGTGTCAGCTACTCGGTTGAAAACATGGCGGGCTATCATCATTCACGCAGTCATCGAAAGAAAATCTGTGAACTACAATAAAATTCGCGGACATATGTCGCTGTGAGTTAATCGTCGTCACCAGGTATGTTATCATAGGACGCACAAAGGGAGGCCAGGCATAAGTAAAGTACTCTCCTCTTAAGATGACAGCAAATCGACCGTGGAATCGAGCACTACCCAAGGAGGGCAAATGCCGCAAAGGGAAAATAAGGCCTCAGGGGGTGCCACGTTCACCTCTGAAAGCTATTTTCTCTTTGCATTCTCTGTATCATACAAATACGCTTCGCCTTGTTGCGGAGGCGCTTAACTTGATTCAAGCACCGCCGTAGGTTGGCTTAGAGTGAAACCCCGTCCTGACATGTATCAAATTTCGGGAACGGTATAAGCTAGTGAAAATCCCCTTGTTATATACAGCATTAGGATCGGTATTCGATTCTGTCGAGGTGGGGTCGTTTGGTGATCGGGAACTCATTGTGTCGTACTACAGTCAGCTTCGCCAAGAGGGCGTGCTAACTTCGCTACTGTGTCACTCCCAACCATCAGTCTCTAACAAAGAACGAAATCGCAGTCGCAACAGAAAAAAATGGTATCGCCGTCCGATATGCGTTCATACATTCTCAAGAGTTCGTTGCAAAATTAGAGAAACCTCCTGGTATGAGAATAGCAAATCCCCCCGCCGGACGATTGTTTTTCCGGCTTCATACGTCCCAACACGGATTGCCATCTGTCGGTAGAATATTTGGCGATTTTCCAAGATGCCTTATAGATGAACGAGACCGTATCATTTTCCGTATGAAGTGAGGCTGTTGCAGAGCATATGCACGTTGCCTAGGCAATTTCAGAACATAGCGTTCGACTACAGCATCTTGACTCCATCCAGCAATGTAATGGCCTACTGTAACTCAATTGGGCAAATTGCGCCGATGATGCCAAAAACAATTGAATATACCTAGGTTGGTTGGTAGAATACCAGGGTACCTCACCAAATCCGTCCCATGAAGCCCTGAAAATACATATTTCTCTTGCGATTTGTGAGTTGGCCTAGTACAGGTTAGCATTTCAGAAACATGTTGAAACCGTAGAGGCGTTAATACGCCGAAACTTTGATGTAACGATAACATTGTGGTCAGCTGGGCTTGGCCATGTAGGCAACTTGCCAAGACGTTGCTATCGGGATAGCGGCACTCGATCCCGCTCAGCATGCCGATATGCCAAGAGCGACGATCACTGCAGGGTTGCTGTTTTTCAGATCTCGTATCGCCTGACTCCCAACTCCTTGAAATGATTGTATAAAGCCCGAATTTCCCGTCACAGGAGCAGGAGTTGATGCTCTGGATCTCAAATGGGAAGCTGTGAGTTATTGCCCCCTCCGCAATTGGCAAGTGGGATTGCAGATATGATGCCATTCATCAGCTAATGCTTACACAAATAAATGAACGCAATGCGTCATCCTTAGGGGGCAGCGATTTATCTTATCAAATAGAAATATCCTCCAGAATCGGAGCACAGACATTTTACAGTAAACAATGATAAATACCGACAATCGCCATCCCAGCAAGCGGCAGCTCCGTAAAATGTAAATTGCACTATTTAGATATTGACTTGCCATATATGTACTCGTACTACGAAGCTATCTCCACATGGACCCCTCTCCACTGATCCATATCAGACAAATTCGCATGGGTGGACTCATTACCCCACGTGGTTGTCTAGTTGTGTGATTGTTGTGAAGAGGGGTATTCACTATGTAGGTACTTGTAAAACTTGCCGTTAGGGTAGCATTCCTTGGGGAAGTGAAGAGAGAATATGCAACCATAATTGTTGGCTTAGTTTCTTTTACGGTCAATTTTACGGTCAACCACGTGCGACTCCGAAATTAGTTGCTTGGCCAAGCTTGTCTGTGCGCAATACCCTTCGTATCGCAAAACCGAACACAACTTTACTCATCCACCAAATAGTGGTTCCTGGCCTAGGGTATAGTACCTTCCGAAAGAGTAAACTTTGTGAACACTGAAGGAGCCTTACAAGAGAAAACAACACTCATAATGACGAATCCTTTTACTAGAGAAAGCTAGTATTGCTCCCGAATTTGATGTACTCCAGACTTGGGCTTGATTTCTGCCAAATGTGACCAAGAGGTGAGGAGAGAGTAAACCACGGGGTAATACTAACAAGGCAACGGAGTGACAAAGAACCAGAGTACCACATACCGATACTGCGCGGCAGATATTCTGAAATGCCACTTTCAATAATATCCAGTGTGATAAAACAAACAAACACATCAGAAGATGGAGAATTAGGGTAAGATGATGTCGTGAAAAGAAGCAAGTATTCGTGTTGGCCTTACTAGAGATTGAACTGACTATTTAGCATTATAACCACGACTGCACTATCTCTTATTAATAAGTACCATATAAAGAAGCACAATGCTGCTATACATGTGCTATCTTACTAGTAGAATCCCTCTTTTTGCTGTAAATTTAGCTGCTTCAGCAACTTGGGCGAGATGAATTATGCTTAATTGATTGTTTCATTAATCCGATTTTCGAATTAAACTACGATCCTTCGTGTGGGAATTGACAAATCAAAATCCCAGAATAGAACAGATATAGGGCTGATACAAGCCGCCTTTCTCAGGAAATGCAGCTTGCTACTGAATGGCAATGACGGGTACAACGGTAACGACCATTTCACGATTAAACTGAATGGGGGCCAGGCTCGTGATGTTTCCGAGAATAGAACACGGAGTGGTGAGATCGATATCCAACCATCCGGCGTTTTACTTGCATCTTAGTAGCAATGCTGGCAGCCAATTAGAGAACGGGCGCAGCCAACTCGAGATAAGCACTGGAATTTAGCATTCGGGGCTACAGCAGCTCATCACAAGACATTTTTTATTGACACAAAGGTATGCTATTTTCTGACCGTAATTCTTTGGCGACGATCCAGCTCACTTCATGAGCCTCTAGCAAGAATAGTAGTAGAAGGTTGCCATCCCATCGTCCGGCTGTTATTCTGACTGTGGCTTCGTTTAGCCTCGGAACCTAGAGCGGGGGGCGCAGGAGAAACTCCACTGGCTCAACCCCTTATATCAATCTATCTCCTGCTTCATCGGAAAAGGCGCTTCGTTGCCAATGGATATGCGTCTCCTTAGACCTGCCCTCCCTCTAAAAAAAAAAAAGAAAAAGAAAGGAAAAAAAAAAAGAGAAAGAGAGCCGAGTGGTCGTGATTGCTTCATTTCCCGAACTAGATTCATAATACCGTACTCACTTAAACCCCTTTCAAGGTGATAAGCACCACTACTTCTCACCATCACGATTTTCCCACCAAAAATAGTTGATGGCTCCCTGCGGGGCTCCCTCCGGATAAAGCAGCACGAACTCTGGACGCAACTGCTTGCCGGATACCCGAGTCGCGGTGCTCATTTTCCCGTATCCATATTGCTTACAGCGCTCCGTATGTTTCGAAGCTTCATTCACATCGCTGAATGTCTTCCGAATACAGATTGCGGCGCGTCCGTTTGGCTGCTCTAGTTTGACCCCTACGCTGAAATTGGAAGGCGGGATGGCTTGCTCGGCCCGATGCCACTTTCGTGGTAGGCTTTCTTAGGAATCTGCTTTTGCGTTCTTTGCGTCAGCTGCTTCTTCAGCGGGCTCTCCAGCGGGCAAAGAGCTGTCATTACAGCATAGACGTGGATACGTAGGTTTAGTAGCGCTAAACTGGCTCTTGTTTTGCATTGGGGGGGGGGAATATAAGGCTTACCAAATTTGGAAAGATATCCATTGGTGATTGATATGGGCCAAAAAGCGTAAGCGGCTTTGTTATTGTCCTGCAATTTAAGCCATTGTGTTTTGCTCGTAATAGAATATATAAAGGACGATCTGTTGCCTATAATGGTGCCAAGAGCGATCAGACTTTGCGCTCAGGTCAATCTAGACGACTTCTAGAAGGGCGTTGACGTTGATCACCATTGAAAATGAAGTCCTTCTCCCTTCTGGGCTCTTTGGCCCTGTTGACTGCCCGCTCCTGGGCTTTGCCAACCGAAAGCCCAGCCGCCACGCTTCAAGAGAGACAGAGCGGTTCATCATGGTTTTTGCCAAACATTGACCACACTACGGGAGCCGTCAGAGGTTATGTCCCCGACCTGTTCGACAGCAGTGGGAACCAGAACTTCAACTACCCTGTCTACAAGACAGTGAACTCTGGCGATGCTACAGGTTTCGTCAATGCCATATCCTCTGATGGACCTAGCGGTGGCGCAAGAGACAACTGCTACCTGGCAGGAGAACCTCGTGTTATCTACCTGCCCCCAGGTCAGTTTCTGAACCAATCATGTTATTGGACAATGTTCTGATGGCTTCATAACAGGAACTTATACCGTCTCAAGCACCATTTTCTTTGACACTGACACTGTCGTCATTGGTGACGCTGCCAACCCTCCCACGATTAAGGCAGCTTCTGGCTTCAACGGTAACTACCTCATTGTTGGTGGCCAGGGTGATGGCAGCAACCACCCCTGTGGTGGCTCCGGTGGTGAAACCCACTTCTCGGTCATGAGTATGTATACGCAGTATTGGTTATTATAGTACAGAGTATTAACGCCAGGGCTTTCTACAGTCAAGAACGTTATTCTGGATACTACAGCCATCGCTAGCAACAGCAACTTCGTCGCTCTCAGCTGGGCCGTCGCCCAGAACTGTGCTTTGGTGTGTTGGCCCGCTCAACCTGTGCCAAGCGAACGAGAGTCAAGTCGTGCTAATTTAAATGCGTCTTTCTAGGTTAATGTCAAGATTAACATGCCCCAGGGCGTTCACACTGGTACGTTATCGGCCCAATCGATAGGATGCGCCTACATAACACTTGATCGAATACGCCCGATTGGTAACTGACATGTCATCCTTAATTAGGTATGCTCGTCAATGGAGGATCTACCATCTCCATCTCCGATGTGCACTTCAGCTTTGGTAACATTGGACTGCACTGGAATGGTAAGTATCGTATTTGTATCCACGCATTTGGCGACATCCGGGACTGACTTTGTTACTTCAAGGCCACCAACAGGGTCAGATCAAGGGCATGTCCTTCACCGACTGTACTAACGGTATCTACATTGACGGCGGTAACACCATCAGCATCTTTGCCCCGACTTGTAACACCGTCGGCCGCTGCATTGTCCTCAACTCCGGAAATCCTTGGGTCGCTGTTATCGATGGTATCAGCCAGAACTCTGGTGATTTCTTCACCAGTATCCCAAGTTTCCCCAACTTCATGATTGAGAACATCTCCAAGGATACCACCAACTCCAACATGGTCGTCGTTGGCGGCGCCGTCAAGGTTGGTGGCGTTACTAGCATCGGTACCTATGTTTGGGGCAACACCCGTGGAACCAACCCGATTTACCAGACCAACCCGACTGCTCAAGCGGTGAACAGGCCTGCAGCGCTTGCTCCTGGTGGCAGATACCCCGTCATCAACGCCCCTCAGTATGCCGACAAGACTGTTGCAAACGTTGTCAACTTGAAGGATCCCAACCAGAACGGCGGACACACCCTTCAGGGAGACGGATTCACCGATGACACCGCTTCGCTCCAGGCTGCTCTCAACACTGCAGCCAGCCAGGGCAAGATTGCTTACCTGCCCTTCGGTATCTACATTGTCACATCGACCATCACCATCCCCCCCGGAACTGAGCTGTACGGCGAGGCCTGGTCTACCATTTCCGGATCTGGCAGTGCCTTTGCTTCTGAGACCAACCCAACTCCCGTTGTCCAGATCGGCAGCACCCCCGGCCAGAAGGGTGTTGCTCACATCCAGGATATCCGATTCACCGTCAATCAGCCTCTTGCCGGCGCCATTCTACTCAGAGTTAACATGGCCGGCAACAACCCCGGCGATGTTGCTGTTTTCAACTCCCTCAACACCATTGGTGGTACCCGTGACACATCCATCAACTGCAGCAACGAGTCCAACTGCAAGGCTGCTTACCTTGGTCTCCACCTCGCTGCTGGTTCCTCCGCCTACATTGACAACTTCTGGTCTTGGGTTGCTGACCACCCCTCTGACCAGAGCAACAAGGGCATCCGAAGCGCCGTCAAGGGCGGTGTCCTCGTGGAGGCTACTGCCGGAACCTGGCTGACAGGTCTCGGATCCGAGCACAACTGGCTATTCCAGCTTTCTTTCCACAACGCCGCCAACGTCTTCATCTCCCTGTTCCAGAGCGAGACCAACTACAACCAAGGCAACAACGGCGCTCCTCTGGTCGGCTCGCCTTTCAACGCTCTTTCTTCTGACCCTAACTTCTCGTGGTGCAATGGAGGGGATACTGTCTGCCGCATGGGTCTTGCGCAGTACTACACTGGTAGCAACAGCAACATCTTCCACTACGCTGCTGGAAGCTGGAACTTTATTGGATTGACACAGGTTAACCAAGGAATCATGAACTACATCCAGACTGCTGTCACCGGTGCTCATCTTTATGGCTTTACCGCTGGACCCAACGTTGCAGAGACCATGAGACTGCCCAACGGTAATGAGTTTGGCAACGGTGGTTCTGACGGGTACGGTGGATCTTGGCAAACACTGATTGCCAACATTGCCAGCCAGTCTTAGGTCGGCCTAGTCTGGTCATGGCTTATGTAAATGTCTCTATTCTGATGTATCTCACTTGAAACGTTTTATACAGTCATAAGATACTGTATATAACCCTGTATATAGCATTAAAAAAAAATGAAGTTAAATCAGCACATAATTGGCTCTGTGATGTGGTCATATGTGATGCGCATAAAAACCATACGAGGCGTAAACAACCCGCAGACAGACTGGAAGTACCAATACCAACAACAATAGCCCGATATGGGCAAATTTAAGGCTTGGTTATGAATTTGAAGCTCCCGATATCGTACGTTAGATGTATTATAACATATGTACGTTCAGAGTTCAGAGTTCAGAGGTACTCGTATCGACTGACTCTAGTATGTATTTCCAGATGGCACGGATGGATGATGCCAATCTTGCTCAAACCTGCCCCATCCTCCATATTCCAGCTCACTTACCATTGAGAGATTATAAACAACCATATCGTAGTATCCATCCCGGGGTGTTTTCCCGCCACACACGTTCCCCCCGATGGCCACGTTCAACAGAATGGTCATGTCTCGAAGGGGTCGAGTGCCGCCTGGAACTTCGCCCTTCATTACTGGTCTGCCATCGATATACCAGATCATTCTTCCCTGGCCGGGCACGCCATTTGGCTGCTCCCAAGCAAAGTCATATCTTACCGGGCGGCAGTGCATGTCAGGAATGCGAGTGCCCAAAACTCGGTGTTTATGTGGTTCATGGTGATACCCCCAGTGAAGGCAAGTCCGATTTTCATGATCCCCGTTCCACGTTTCCGCAATGTCAATCTCACCGTCAGTAGGCCAAGAGAAAGGCTCTCGCGGCAGAAGCCAGAAGGCGGGCCAAATACCCTCAGCACAAGGGGATAATATGGTGGCTGTGAGAACGCCTTTGTCGCGGGCCAAAGTCTGTTTGCTGACAAGGCGAGCTGATGTATAACGTTGCTCCGGAGAAGGAGCAGAATTATTCGCAAGGGCTCGGAGGACTAGCATGCCTTCAGGAGTGCTATGAACAACGTTAGAACCGCCTTTTACAGTCTTTCATCTTTCTGGAGCGTCGCATTTGGCTTTGACCTACTGAAAGGCGTTTTGCTGTTCAGCAGTATAAAACTGCAGCTCTTGATTCCCCCATCCATCTGGTCCATTGCCTAGCTTTGCCTCCCACTCGTGATTGACGGGAACATTGGGATAAAACTGCGGTTTCCAATAGACCTCACCACGGAACGGCGGCTCAGATGGCGGATGAGGCGGCACAGGTGGTGGCTGTGATGCCGCTTTCGGTTCGGCGACTAAGTGATTCAATTCTTGCTTAAAACGATTAAGCTGATCTTTCCAAGGCATTTTATCAGAAATTCTAGGATATAAAGCTGTTGAATTTGGAAGTAGTGGATGATATCTGGCTGCTTTGAAAGCTCTGAGTTTTTATCACTAAGGTACCGTTCAATTCGAACAGTGACGTATGAGAAATTACAACTTCGCAAGACGCGCAAGATGGCTTGGCAGCGTCACCTGACAGCGGGCTGTGTTTGACATAGAATTGCATTGGTAGAGGATAAATTTCCCGCCACGCTTGGCGTATAGATACATAAGCAGGTTATGAAATGTCTTTTTTTTGGGGGGGGGAGCAATCGCTTTATCGCGTCTGAAGGAATCATATTGCATGTATGTCATCAGCTTCAATGATAGCATACAGGACCAGGCAGGCTATTTGGTAATATGGGTGCGCTAGTTTGGATTCATGCCAACCAACTGAGTAGTAGGAGTGCAGGTGCTTTTCCTTTTCTTTGCATCCATACCAATACTGGGTACCTAAGCTACATAGGTAGATAATGCGTACCTATGTACTGGTTAAAAATAGAAAGATGTTAAGAAGGCCACGACCCGTGTAGAAAAGTATAACTAACAAGGGAGGATTGAGTCCATGGCTCATGGAAGTACTTCACTTCCTCCCACTGATATCCTGTCACAACACGCCAATTGAACCAGAACTCACTCAAGAAGGGCGACATCGGGACAACTTCTGACTGTGTGGCTTTTTCGATCCTAGCTAGAGTTTTGTCACAGCTACCTGCTAGGGTATATTAGTGTAAGATGCTTTCATTCGCTCAACGTGTTCCGTTTCCTATGCCACTTAATCAGAGTTAGAGATCAGAGTACCTATGCATGTTGCGCCTCTAGATTTGAGTAGAGTCGCGATTCAGTTGCTAAGGGATTCCGATTGTGCTTCTTGGTTTGCATGCGAGGTACCCAGAATTAGGTACTTCGTACTCCATACACTGGGTCGTTTCATTTCACTCGGCTGCTTCCATTCGGGGCTTGTGACACCCGCTAAGATTTTGGTGGGGATCCATGCGTAGATGTACCGCCAGTACTCGTACGGTCCCATTAGCAGGTGGTAGAGATTCGTGAATAGTGCTTTTACATGCGCTTTGCGATTGCAGCAGTCTGAAGTTCGCACATCTGCACTCACCCTTCGCCTGTAAAAGACATGCAGTTGCTTTATGCTGAACAGCGAAACCGGCCATCTTCATACCTCATCGTTGATAGCAGCAAGTCTCGATAGGTATAGACATAGACTCTACCTGAGCATCGTGGCGGCTGCAGCACACACACAGAGCGGAGTTTTCCCTGTTGGCTCTAGCTAGCATGCCTCAAGTAGGCACCCTTACAAGAGGCCAGTAAAAGGCAGACGCATAAATGCATTCATGTTATTCTAGAAATAGGATCAATGGCTGCATTTAGCGAGCGACTATGACCAGCCTCGGCATTACTTGGGTGCCCTCGAGATATTCACCGAACGCTCTGCAGTGCATGACATTAGGTTGATGAATTGGTAGATGCGATTGGCTGTTGAACGCGTCCTGGTCTCATTTTAGGGTGCTTGTATTAGCAAGTGTCTCGGGCGGCTTCACACGGCAGGCAGTATTTTCTGCGTCACTTCACCGGGCTGTGTAGGTACGGGTCACTGCCAATGCAAAATGGACACTTTGGATTTCTGTTTCTTTTTTCTATTTCTTATTTTTATTTCCAAAATGTGAGCTGCAGACGAAATTGGCCGTTGTAGCGCACGTACTGTCCTAATATACCTACCTATCAGTAGGCATGAATGTCCCGATTTTTTCGGGCAGTTCGGTGGCTTTCTGGGAGGCGCTCTACTCGGGCCTTGTAGGACAGGCCAACGGCGGATATTTAAAAAGACCGGCCGCGCAGCTTCTGGTCTGACACATCCTTGGCTCTAAACTTTTCCACCTCTGCCTGCCTTGCGCCATCACCACCACGCATCGACTCGATTGTCATCGCAAGGCCCAGCACGGCCATTTCATCAAAGTTCGAGGCTCTGCTGCTGCGAAGCCCATCAGCTTGCCCCAATGGCCCCTCAATCACCGACCGAAGGCCGAGATTCGCCCGGCTCGTCTGCCAGCGAAAAGAAACGCAAAAACAACAATGGCTCCTCTAGCAGCAAGAAGCGCGCGTATGGCGAGGCCTCAGGGCTCCCAAACGGGGCGAAAAGCCATGTGGTGCGACGCTCAAGCATAAGCAAGCCTGGGCGGGATCAGCGCGACGAGCCTGTATTCAAGCACAAGAAGCGGAAGCGGCGCGACGATCGAGACAGAGACTCTGGCAATGCCACGACATCCGTATCACGGCAGGACAGCCCTGCCATCGATTTCGATGGCCTCAGCCGACCCAGCGTAGGCACGCGCCAGCGATTGGAAGAAACCGAGGAAGAAAAGGCTGCCCGACTCGACCGCATGAAGGGCGCTGTCAAGACTCTGCTCGAGTGCGTTGGAGAGGACCCGAATCGAGAAGGTCTCTTGGCTACGCCCGAACGATACGCCAAGGCCATGATGTTCTTCACGCAGGGCTATGAACAAAACGTATTTGACATTGTCAATGGCGCAATCTTCCAGGAAGGCCACTCAGAGATGGTGGTGGTGAAGAACATAGACGTCTTCTCTCTTTGCGAACACCACCTTGTGCCCTTTACCGGCAAGGTACATATTGGCTACATCCCTAACAACGCCGTCATTGGCATCTCTAAGCTGCCTCGCATTGCCGACATGTTTTCCCGCCGGCTGCAGATCCAAGAACGCCTCACCAAAGACATAGCCAATGCCATCTTCGACGTCCTGCGGCCTCAGGGAGTGGCCGTCGTCATAGAGTCCAGCCATCTGTGCATGGTCATGCGTGGCGTGCAGAAGACGAGCAGCACCACCATCACCAGCTGTATGCTTGGCTGCTTTGAGCGCAGGGAGAAGACGCGAAACGAATTTCTTAGCTTAATTAATGTTAACCGCCATTGAGGCTGGTTCTTTTTTCAACCCCAGTCCTATATTCAACATTTTGCCACTGGCTTTCACGGTGAGCTTCCCCCCTCACTCGTCTCTGTGGGCATATCAGATTCCGCATTGGTCTGTATCGACCACCCGTTGCATTCTACTTTTACTACCTATCACTCGAGATGGCGGACAACTACGGCATGATAATGTATGCCAAAATTCATTTAGATTTAGTAACGAACAAATCACTCTTGAGCCCACTCTCCATGTGCCATGTACTGGTAGTTGTAAACATCTCAGACATCGCCCACTTTTTGTTTATGATCGATTTTTTTAAATACATTTCGGCCTACCACACAAAGTATGGAGCATGAAGTATCCACACTGCATGTCTTACTTATCTTTGCCTGCTTGTTTTGGAGCATTTCAGGCAATTGCCGCATTCCTTCTCTCTTTACACGATCCATTCTCTAAGCGGCGCTGTCATATTTCTTTGTCAACAGGCTGTTTCGATGCTTTTCTCGCATCAACGTTGTGCCCTTGCTTCGGCTGTATGAGCGAAATCATGCGAGGCGGTTCTACAAGCGTAGACGATACATGGCTTCCCCCCATAACCTAAGGTAGCTAGCTACCCATCAACCCGTTTTATCCTACATCTAGGCAAAGCGGGCTTTGTATTCGAAGCAGTTGACCTCATGGCGAGCTACAAATCGCCTGCATAATTAGTTTGCGAGGCGTCTAGGCTCGGTGGTTTGGGAGCATGTGATCGCCGTGTAGGATCATATGGTGAAAAAGCTACTTAAAACAGAGATAACAATAACTAGCCTCATATTCTTCCGATAATATGGTGCACATACTGGTGCTCGTCGCCATATTAAGCATCAAGATTCAGTATATAGTTGTAAATTGAAAACCATGAAACGCGAACCCCAAGCTCTGCTTATGGCAGAGTGCTTGCCACTTCACCCATGGTTGCATGCCGCTTTCTTACCATCAGAATGCAAGTAAGCAGGATTGCTGCTGACACCTTGGTATAAATCCACATCAAGATGTATTCTTCTTCTCGTGTCCCGGAATTACACGGGTGTAAACTCTTTTAGTCCGCCCACTGAAGGATCAATTGCTCTGCATGCTACTACTCGGCGCGGCAATATTCCATCTTACCAGCACTTTGTAATACTCAGCACCTCTTTTCAATGCAGCCCTGGGCTATGACTGACTCAGGTGCAGGTGCTGATGACCTTCACCACACTTATGCTGACCGCATACATCCCCTGGTCGCTATAAGCTATCAAATCGAGTCCTTCTGAGACATACCCCTCTAATTTGACTTGCGACGATGGAAGTATAAGGAAAGCAACCGTCATGGACCAGCAAGGCTCGATATGCAGGATAAAGAGGAGACGGGCCAGTATAGGTGGATTTATGGCGAACGAAAAGTCTCATGGCCATGATCAATGAGCTAATACGATGTCCTAACGCAGTCAAGAAATTAATTCGTCGGCATACAAGGTATTGCATGGCAAGAATATACTCGTACCGCAATTCCAGTGCGACTTACAGAGTATATTTATCAAGTTACCCTATGATATTCACTTCTCTGGCGGGTAGGTAAGCAGTGAATCTCAATAGGAACATAGCCGTTGCTGAGCGGATGCAACAGAATAGCCAAACTGTTCCAACAAATCGCTTCAAAATGTCAAATGGCCACTTCCTTTTTCGCTTTGAGCTATTGCGTAAGAGCTAAAATCTTCATCGCCGGCTGCCGCCAATTCTTGGAAATGTGACATATTATCTTCCATCCGTTAGTCTTCCTCTCCCGTCTGTGGGGCAAATCTGTCAGCCACATACAAAAAGAGGGTCACAAATGATCTATGCAAAGGATGCGCTCACCTTTGGCCGCCCAATGCCTACTTTAAGGGCTGTTGCCAAGGCACCCATTACCCAAAAAGTTCGCAGCCCTTGTTCACCTCCCTGTCCCACAATTCTCTTCCAGTGGTTTACAATTTGCTTGCAATGATTCGAGTACACCTCATTCGTGCGGTTGCTGCCAGCTCGTGTACGGATGATTACGCGATTATATCTTCATCGAACGCCTCCGCGGAACACTGCCTGGTCACTCATGTCCGTATAACGGACATTAATGAAGTAGCTTGGAGTATTAAATCACCGTAAGTGTTCATCAGTGAATGCATTGGGGGGTTTCTCCTGTTGCTCCAGGGTTAGTGGAATCACGTATTAAACTTCGTAGAGGCATCTTGGAGAGAAGAGTAAATGCTTGATATGCGATGCTAGCTTGGGTGACAATTGCGAAAGTACGGAGTGGTATAAATTATTTGGGTTGTAAATAAACATGTCTTATTACGGTCAAGGTTGGACAAAAGCTGTCGTTGCTTGCCTCGGATTACCTATTTTCTATCTTCATCAATGATCCGCAACTCTTCGATACCAGCTGAATGTGTTGGTTATTCAGTGCCAACTTCTAGTTTCTCAATACACAGTGTGGAGGTTTAGGTTGCCATGGTAGGAAGATATCAATATTCTAAAATCGAGAGCTTTTCTCGCTTCTATGATTAGTTGCAGTTTTGTACTCGGTCCAGAGTGTTCATGAGAAAACCAATGGTTCCCCCAGGCATTGCGAGGGTGTAGGGTAGCAACAAAGCTGATATTCAGAACTAACTCGATGACTCCTGTCATCTGCACGCTAACATGAATGGGGTCGAATGTTGGTGGGGTAATGCAGACCAAAGGTCAATGGCATCCAATAAGAGACGTCGTCACCACGCCCTACAAATGACCAAGATTAGTAACACTGCGCTTCCAAGGCTGAGTGTGCAATCCGATTCTAACGGATCATTCACATCACGATATAACGACGCCCTACGATAGATCACTCGCAAGCACGAGAGTTGCCAAGGCTAAGATTCCATAGCCCGACTTGAACTTGCCGTTAAAGCCGCATGAGAAATGGCTATGATGGACCCTGATGACTTTATAGATTTCTCAGGTTGCATTGAAAGCACAGCCGTCTCAAACGAGTCATGTGAATACTGCACCCAACAGCATATTAGTTGTCAGGTGACTGCAGAGACCGCCGCTTTGGCTACCTGCAAGTCTTGTATGGAGGTCAAAAGAGATTGCACTTTGGCGGCTGGCATGGGAGCACTTAAGATTCCACTAAAGCCCTTCATTGACTCTGGAGCTGTGGGCAACGAATACCGGAATCAATCGCAGAAGCCTACGGAACGCTCTTGCAGCAGATCGGAATCAAGTTTCACGGCCAGCGATTCACTGGGAGAGGACACTATCGAGCCGTTGGATAGAATCCCTAAAGCCGGTGCCAGATTCTCTCGAGAAGCACTTCGGATTCTCAGGAATTGGGTATCATCCAACCATCGTCACCCCTATCCCAATAATGAGGAAAAAGAAAACCTGGCTCGCCAGACGGGCTTGAACAAAACTCAAATCAGTAACTGGGTTGCAAATGCCCGCCGCAGGGGAAAAGTGCGAGCTCCTCGGTCTACCTCACCAAGTCCGGGTCACCGCACCAATGGTGTCGACATTCCACGGAGGACAACTCCCATTATGAGGGGCATGAGCCCCATGGAGAGATGGCGACATTCTCCGCCGGATCAAGAACCCGCTTCCATAACCGCCATCGCTTCGGCAGTCTCATCTACAGAGTTCTCAGATGCAGGAAGCGCCGTGCAGGATAACTACAAGAATATCGATAACGATGGGCTGCCAGACTCTATCGATCATCTCTCATCTGCCGGCAGCTCGAGAACATCACATTCCAGCAACGGCTCGTTTGGATCAGTTAAATCTGACAAATCTCGAAAGTCGTTGGAGTCTGTCTCCTCGTTGAAAAGCCGAGGAAGACGACGTCGGCGTCGGCAGATCCCCAAGGCCGTTGATATTTCGGCCATGCTCCCGTCCATCCATAAATTTCAATGCACATTTTGCACAGAGACTTTTAAAACAAAACACGACTGGCAAAGACACGAAAAATCGCTACACTTGTCTCTTGAACGGTGGGTATGTACACCAGACGGACCGATCCAGTTTTGCGCCGAATGGAATTGCCTGGCATGTGTGTACTGCGGATTGAAGAACCCACCACCAGAGCATGCCGAAAAGCACAACGACTTTGTGTGCAATGAAAGACCAGAAGAAGAGAAGACTTTTTATAGGAAAGACCACCTGCGCCAGCATTTAAGCATTGTTCACGATGCCAAGTTCCAAAAATGGCCAATGAATGACTGGAAAGTAACCACACCACCTGTGCGATCAAGATGTGGCTTCTGCGGCATCTTACTGGATTCTTGGGATGCACGAGTCGGCCATCTTGCTCAGCATTTCAAAAATGGCAAATCTATGGCGGATTGGAAAGGTGATTGGGGTTTTCAGGGAGAAATACTGAGGATTGTCGAAAATGGAATGCCACCTTGTAAGTTAAGTTAAGTCATTTGTCCACGAAATCGTCAGCAAAACTCTAATACATGGCTTAGATCTCATCCACCATGAACGAAATACTCTTGATCCGTTCGAAGCTTCTAAAGATGAAGTCAGATACGGTAAAACATTGGAAGATTATGTCAAGCTGTGGCTGGTTGAGTATATCAACGATCGGGCCGTGGCCGGCATGACAGCCACAGATGACCAGCTACTTGTCGAAGCACAGAGAGTTGTACAGAAAGTTGACACAGAAGACATTTCCCTTACAGGACCAGACGTCTCGTGGTTTCGCGATCTTATAATGCTCCACAAACCCTCCAGTCATACAACAAACGAGGAACTCTATCATGTATCGGGCAATGCAACCTGGACATCACAAATAGAGAAAATGAAGGCATCCAACTCTACACACACAGACATGAGCATTATTGGATGCGACAAAGAGAAGCTTTTATTGAGATATGTCAAGTCTAGACAGGCCTCAGGCCAGATGCCCACAGATTCCGAGTTGCAGTTTCAAGCATGCAAGATCCTAGATGACGTTGAGCCAAAGTCCAATTTCAAATGCAAAGAGGCCGTCCAATGGTTCAAATTCCTGGTCAACTCTTCGGTCGATTGGCTCTCACACTTTAAACGCCGCGCCGGCCTCTTCTCGAGCGTCGAAAATATACATGGACATATACAATCAGTTAATGGCAGTATCATACACAACGGCGTGCATCACTTTTCAGGACTACAAGAAGACTTAATGACTGCTATCAATACCTCGAAGATTCCCGACAAAGCAACAATGGGAGAAGAAATACAATTCGAGTCGCGCGTTATGATGCATGGTGATGACAACCATACCATCTTGGATAAACTGAGTGGCCTGGGTGCTTTGGAAGACCGTAATAGTCTCCTGGCTTCTCATGAGGATATTCCAATAGCAGTCCCTACTGCAGGAGATTTGACATCAGAGAATCAATTCAACGATGCCAAGGCTGGCGCCACCCTACCCGCCCAAGGAATACACTGGGGTCTCTCGGATGGAGCTATTGGCTGCTCATCGCCCATGGATACGAATGACTATCCACCAACCCTTGCGCAAACGCCACAATCTGCCAACTCCCAGAACCAACCGTTACGATACTTCTTGAGTGACGCCAACTGTTATGGAAGATTGGAGAAAGAACTCACACGATTTGTAACCAGCTGCCTAAGTCCGAATAACCCACTTCAACACGTATGTTTCCAACTCCTCTATTTATGATCCTTTCTCGTCAAATATCATACTTATTCTGACTCACTTAGATCCCGACCGATGAGGAAATTCAGTATCAAGCTCGGTGGATAATCTATGACGATGATGACCCATGGAATCAAACTGCTGCTGACAATGCCGAATGGTTGGCTCGCTTTAAGCGTGATGCCGGTCTTGTCTCTGCTGACGACGCGAACGGTTTGCCATTGAACGGACCTCCTCGACCCTGGAAAGTATCGGACGGCGGAACAGGCCTGACACCACCATATCTGAAGCCAAAGGCCGGCAAAATAATAGAAGTTGCAGATGAAACATCTGTATACATTGACTATCGATCCTATAACGTAAACAGAGACACAGCCGAGCGCTATGTTCGCGCCCTCTGCGATGGAGAATACCAATTCCCTCCCTCTGTGTTTTGCTCTCGGGAACTTGAGGATGGACTGAATGCCTACATTGAGGAATGCATCAAGACTCTCTATGTGCCTTCCGACGATGATTTACGCGCCAAAGCACGCGAAATACTAGGCGTGGAGCGCACTGCGGCCGACGACCCAAAACTACTAGAAACTTTCAAAGCAACACATGTGCTCTGGGCCGCGACAAATAATGAAATTATCCCGGGAGGCCAGCTGAACAATAGCACCCTCGATTTTATGGACAGTGTGAATGAAATGGCTTCTCTTGATCTCACCGCTGAATTCTCAGCGAGATTGGGGGTCTAGCGAGAAAATGAAACGACGACATTTATTTGTGAAGCATCAATACATTTAACGAAAGTTGGCCGTAGGTATTTCGAAGTCGCACATTAAGGAATAGAAAATAAAGGCTATTACAGTATAATAATATGTCAATTATAAAAAAATTATTCCAGTGCTTTGAAAATAGAGAAAAAAATCATCCAGCGCCTCTTTAGATTACTTCTGGCAAGTTATTTCATGTGACTATGGTGTGGATTCAATAACATCTCCACGTTTTGGGCGAGCCAAGTAATCCTTGGGTATTTGGTCAGGAGGTGGAGCCTAAGTGAACCAGATTAATCGCTAGACAATGACTGTTAAATTTTACGCTCACCTGGAGGCTCTTTGCCCATTCACGTATATCGTCATAATTCTTGCAAACATGTTTTGTGCGAAAATCTGGAAACGCCGTTGGCTGCTTCGGATCAACCCATACCTGCCCCAGCACACCTGTATCTACGTTACACATTAAAACTTGACGAATCGTATCCAGACAGTGTGCTTCAAAGAAGTTAGCTAACTGATTGCAATCGTAAGTTTTGGTCCATTTGCCTGGATGCACTTACTGACATGCAGGCGTAGGATAAACTCATCGTTTACGAACGCATGCTCCCCTAGCTCTTTGTACCGCTCGTAGTTGAAGTAGAGTGCTTTGCGCACCAGATTCTATGCAACCTGTTAATCAATTGACCGGCGATGATAAATAGATGGGGGAAGGTTACCAAACAATGTAGATGATGCATTCCTTCAACGTTGACTATGAAGCCCCCGCCATATTTTTCCGCTCGCTGAACAAACGATGCATCTAGTCCGCTAGCTAGACCATCCTCATATGAAATGATACCAGCTCGGTCTGTAAATAGTGTTAGAATTATTTTTCCAAAGGTTAAATGCTCTTGGGAATGGTTACAGTCGGACCCAAGATCCTCCCAAGCTCTGTCAACTTCGGGTGATCCAACTTTTCGATAAATATCTTCATTCATAAAAGATCCATTAAATTCTTTGAAGCTGTAATGAATTGGTACATCTTTAATGAGAGGAGCTTGGATTATGCCAAATTAGATCCTGCGCAGAGGAAAAAGGGCCCTATTACTTACACCACTGGGTCGTATGTTTTGCACACAGACTATCCACACTTGATTCTTGGTGAATCATGCGTGTTCCAGCCCAAAAAGACAGAGTGCAGGCTACTAACAGTAATAAGAACAAACAACAGGGCTTAAACAACGATTTCGGAACAAGATATTTCTTTCTTGGATCTTCTTTATTTGTATGTTGAGGTAGAGTGCCTTCATCATCAGACTCGTCTGAGATGTTGGAAAGCAGCCGGCGTTGATGATCCTTGGCCATTGTGACGATGTTGTCAAATCAAATGATAAAGAGGAAGGCGATGTTTAGTACCAATAGCGACAGCCCGTATTTCTCAATTCAGTACGTTAGCTGATTGTTTCGGGAAAAAAAATATTCTGCCATCTGACGCCAAATGACGTCGACCCAAGACTAAAGCACTTTTATCCAACCAAGCCGCTTTATCTGATCCTAGCGTTCCACTTGCAAAGTCAATCAAGTCGTTTTGTGAAGCTGTGATCTCTTTCGGAAAGCTTACTTGGGGCCTTCAAGCTAGTGAATCTGACTCGAGAAACGATCGCCGTGAATGGGAAGCATCAAAAATCATAATGCCTGTTTGCCGGGCGATTTCGAGGCGCAATGGGGTGATACGATCTTGATCTCGCTTACTTAAAGTTCATCCACATTCCAATAATCAATCGTAGTAGCAATACGGAGTACACCATGACGAAACTTATCGTCACTGGAAATCGGATTAGGATCTAGCCGACACTAGATCAAAGCCTCAAGAATCGAGCTGACAACGATAGTCTGTAAATTTTATGCCCATCGCAATTCTTTATTGCGCCTCTTCAGGCAGCTGAAGTCTTTGAGGCGGGATCCTCCATGTGCATTTCCCCACCTTGAGCAAGGCTCGTTCAATCATGGAATGGTGGCGCTCCGCCAATTATTGCATGGCATATTGACTAGTAGCAAACCATAGCAACTATCGTGAAGCTACTCTTCAAGGTTTCGTATTCATTCTCAAAACAAGCAAGTACAGCGTCACACGTATCGTGATATTTGCCTCTCCAGCGCAATAGAAACTTTACTGGGGATCTGCAATGGGTCATTCCAGCACCACTCTATGACTTAAAATGGTGTTATCAACAAGACTATGGGTTAAGCTTAGAGAGGTGTCTAGCATTTAAAAGACAACCATTTCCACCTCAAAAAATAAGTCAGCTCAAAACTGTCAACACTTGGCGTATCAAGATCAAAAATTACTTCAGTCCACTTGAAACTCGCAACAACTTCAAGCCAAGTAACCGTCAATACATCACCAACATGAAAGCCGTCTGGGCCACTCTACTTGTCACGGCCTCGTTAGCCCTCGCCAGTCCTGTCGCTGAGGCAGCTCCAAAAGCTGATCCGGGCGGTTACGGCGATTACGGAGACTACGGCGAATATGGAAAGTATGGCGATTATGGAAAATATAAACCACCGACGCCGCCGAAGGGAGGATACGGGGATTATAAGAACTACCCACCACCAGCGGGAGGCTATGGCGATTATGGAAAGTATCCGCGGGAAGAGTAATACGGCAAGAGTGGGGTCGGACTACAAGACAGCCTAGTTGACAACTGAAGGAGCTTGAAACCCCATATCAAAATTTACTGGTTGAAAATTCCCGTATAAATGAGCTGCTGTGGCTGTTTTGACGATACCAAGTGCACGCAATGCACAGAGCATATACCTGCCACCAGGTGTCGGATGCAGCGTTTGTACTATCAATATCATATCACTGATAATGCATCACTTGACAATTTCTGACTTCCCCACACTAAGATGTCACATAATGGTCGCCTTTGTTCGTCTGCTGAGCCATGAGAGAATTGCATGAAAACCACAATCGAAAGGACTTGACCATCCCCATATCCAGAGAGAGCACATGACTAATTTGCACCCGTTTGCCATAACAAAAGGGCAATCTAATTCCGAATATATAAGAAGTAAATCGATGACCATGTATTTCGTAGAAACAAACCCCTAAGACAAGACGCCCTTAAGTGACATGTTCTATATATCATGGGAAAGGATGCCAGTAGTCACATGCACCTTGGCAATTTCTTTCTATTAGCTGAACTGGTGATGAGTGCCTAATAGCAAAAGTCCCAGCGGTAGTGTACCTGGGAGATGGTTACCGTACGGAAGTATGGGTACCTGAACATCTGACTTCAAACAGGGGGAGGGCATATCGTTGCCATCGGCTCACCACTCGGTGGTACCACGAACCATTTATCTGAGCATTTACCTGAAATTAACGCGTTTGCAATTTATAATTTCAACTTGTCAGTATTCGTATTTTGCTCAGCTGGATAAGGGATATCAAACATCGTCTTCAAGCCATCTGTCGTTGACGCCCTCGCGCGATTGATACCCAAGACGATGATATTACCCTGATAAGCTCCACAGTGGAAGAGGCAGCCAAGCTAGTACAAGTACGAGCAACTGGGTCAACATCGCATACGGTACGAAGTTCCCCATACAAATTATCTGAAGCTAGTCTTGGCACATCTGGGCATCGATGCAAAGCGATAACTAAGTGTGGCTGCCAAGAACAAGATATCAAGGTTGGGCTATTTGATGGTGGCAACGCAAAGTTCTCTATCACAGCAACTCTCCCGCTAATCCACTCTATCGAACTTCTGTAGTATACCATCTTGGGAGGAGCTTATTTACGTAACGAGTAACGATCTCAGTTCGGCTCTTTGTCACGCTTACCTTTTCTCCTGGCATGAAACACGGAATATAACGACTTCCTTCAACAAAGTGCAAGCTCCGTAATTCAGCCGTGGGGAAGATGCCGCTGCCGCCTGCTTATGTACTACATCTTTGTCGATTTTGGCGTCAGCATCCACAGTATACGCCCTTATCACCCGCTCGTATTATTTCGCATTTACAAAGGTTCCCAGCCTAGGGCCACCCAACCAATGCCCCAGAAATGCCAGTAGTCAGCCAAGATATCCAAAGGTTCCTTAGCGGTGTGGCGCTGAATGAGGGCACGAGAGCCGGGTGCTTTTCTAATTTAAGCTTAGTTGATTTATCCTTATTTGCTTTAAGGAACTGTAGCCTAACAAAGGTAAATTGGGACCTTGTTTTTCATACTGTGTGACAGCCGTCCCGCGTGGCCGTATCTCGGCGGCTGTTGAACAATGTTGGAGCATGCAAACCATGTGGCAAGAAGACCTCCAAGTTGTGAGTCCATGTGTTGATCGGCTGTACGAGGTACCAGTCAAGGCTGGAGCTATCAATATTCTCAGCCTACTACTACCGGCTGTCGGGGTCCGAAAACGTGCACCATTTTATGACACAGTTACGGAATTTTTCACGCGATGTGTCTGAAAGGTCCGAGAGAAACGCGATGAAACCTCACAAATCTGAGCTTACCACACAACCAGCAGAAAGTGCATGGGGCGTTAGTCCCACCCAGGTCGAAATATCTATTCCAAGATTATTCTGCACCAGACAGTCCTCAATCTTGAGGATCTCAGTGATATCCGACATTCTACTTGCTGCTAATAAAATGGCACCGAGTGCCGCTTAGAGTGAGAATGAATCCAATGTATGCAGCGAGCTGGCCGCCATTGTTCGTACGATCCGCCGTGTGGGTAAAACGGGAAGGCGAACAAACGACATCGGCATCTTCTGAAGACATGACTCCCAATCCCTGCTCCTTTACGGCGTAATCCCTGTTACGGACAGTGCTTACCTTTCCTTTGCGCACTATTGACTAGGGTTCACTAAACTTGCCTACCCCCGGCCATTTCCCAGATGGGCGAAATACAGAGAGACGGCTCTTTTGCCGCCCAGGGCAATGGCCCGCGTAGGGCAATGACATTAGATTGCACTCGCGCCACGTTAGATCTCATGAAGGGCGTTTTTGTTTGGTTGCTTCAAAAGGAACTTATGTGTTTGGAAGATCATGCGAAGACCACCGACATCCCCTAACACCTTAGCCGCCTCAGCTGCGGGAGAGAGCAAGGTTTCTGCCCGGATTGCTTCTCAATTAAAATCGCTTGGCAGTTCTGATACGCCCGCTAGCAAGAAAGAGGGAGGAAGCTCGGTATTGGCTAGTCTTATGGTTGGCAACGGGGATCGTCCCGCTTTCGTCCAATATTGTGGCGACGAGGCCAAAAAAAGTTCCTATCCACGATGGCCAACAACTGCAACATTAAACAAAGGTGCCTCCCAAAAGAGGTGATAATTGGATCGTTTTCGGTCCCCGTGCATCTTAGATCTGTCATACGCCGGTTGGGGGGCTCTGGGGACATGATTTCAGCGCCTTGGCATGAATTGGCCGGAGCATGGCCCTCGTTTGTGTCCGCGTTAAATACTAAGGTGCTCCTGCGATCCCTTCTTCTTGAAGTTCTATCAGCTAATGCCATAGAAGTGTTTCACTGCCGCCGGCAAGACGCTCTGTTAGTGTTGCTTTGTGTAACAGCGCGGCAGCAAGGAAACCCGAAAAGGTCGTCACCATGGGTGCCGCTCCCACAGCAGAGCCCGAATATGTGGGCGACGGTGGTGTCCAGGAGAAGCGAGTGTCCGTCGAGGTCAACCTCAAGCCCGATGAGGAGGATGAAGAAGATGAGGCCATCACCGATCTCTTCACTAGCTTCCCTACCATCAAGGGCATCGAACCCGAGCCCAATCCCTTGACTGTTCGAGCAGTGCTCACTGGAATCGTCCTGGGTTCTCTGGTCAACGCTTCCAATGTGTACTTGGGTAAGCAAGCAATGCTGATGTTGAAGACTTTCTCTGCACTTTGTGCAAGACGAGAGCATTGTCATAGTATGGCATGGTTAACGGTTCTTTCCAACAGGTCTCAAGACCGGATTCACCTTCCCAGCAACGATGTTTGGTGCCATTTTTGGATACGGTACGTACCTTTGACAACACGAATTGCACAAGTTGACTGACCAATCACAGGTTTCATCCTCTTCCTCACCAAGATCGCCCCCGGCATTCCCGGCATTGGAACCCGGTTCGGCCCCCAAGAAAATTCGATTGTTCAAGCTGCTGCGACAGGTGCTGGTGGCATGGCTGGTCTCTTTGTGGCTGGTCTGCCTGCCATGTACCGTCTGAGTTTGCTGTCAGAAAATCCCAAGGACGACTTTGGCCGTATCCTCACCATCACCCTGGTGTGTGCCTTTTTCGGCCTCTTCGCCGCCGTGCCGCTTCGAAAGTTCTTTATTATCAATGTAGCTCGTGAATTAAACTTGGTGTTCCCATCGCCGACAGCCACAGGTGAGATTTTCTCTTGAAAAGAAATTTAACAGAACATGAGCTGACCCTTCTATTTTATAGCCCTTGCGAGTGAGTTTTCACCTTGAAACGACATGTAGTAGAGTATATCTTAAAACAGGAACTGACGGTTATATAGTCCGATCAATGCATGCTGTCGGCAGTGGTGCAGGTGATGCTATGCGCAAAGTCAAGGCTCTGGGATACGCTTTCTTGGGTGCCTTTACCCACATCGTTGTGTCCCAGTATGCTGATGGCATCTTGCACAACTGGCACATCTTCACCTGGTTCTATATCTGGAGTGGATACAAGAACTGGGCTCTCAACATCGAGAACTGGGGCTGGTACATTCAGCTGACCCCCGCCTTCTTCGGCTCCGGTATTCTTGTTGGTCTCAACGCTGCCGTCTCTTGGTGGCTGGGTACTGTTGCTGCCTATGGTCTGATTGGACCTCTTCTCGTTCACTATGGTGAATGTGTCGGCAAGCCCATTGGCGAAGGCAAGTGGGAAGGTCTTGTCAACTTCAACAGCATGAGCGGCATTGGTACTCCCGGATGGATTCCCTCGCCCCGATACTGGATGCTGTGGCCCGGTGTCATGGTTCTTATCGTCTACAGTCTGGTTGAGTTCCTCATCCACATTCGTGTCATTTATGACGGTTTTAAATATGCTCTTCGTAACTTGGCTGGCTCTATCAACGGCGCCCTGCAAGCTCGTGGCAAGAACAACGCATTCCTGGAGAAGCAAGCCGCAAAGGCCAATGAAGAGTCATCCCTGATAGAAGATTTTGCCCCTCCCGAGGACCAGGTTCCCATCTGGATCTGGGTGACTGGATCGATTACCTTTGTCGTTGTTGCTTGTATTGTCTGCGAGCTGCAGTTCCACATGAATGCTGGCTTGGCTATTCTTGCCTGCATCTTGGGTCTTGTTTTCGCTTTCCTCAGTATCTATGGAGGTGCTGTTACTGATACTGCGCCCCTTACTGCTTCCTCCAAGGCTTCTCAACTTGTTTTCGGTGGTATCACCAAGAACCACTACTCCATTCAGAATGCTCAGCGTATCAATCTTATTGCTGGTAACATCGCGTCTGGTACTGCTGACGTCGCTACCAACCTGGTTAGCGATTTCCGTGTCGGCTTCCTTCTTCGAACCCCTCCTAAGCTGCAGTTCTACGCCCAGGCCACCGGTGCCTTGGTCTCTATCTTCCTCGCCCCCGGCATCTTTGTCCTTTTCATGGCCGCTTATCCCTGTATCCGCGACCAGACCATTGAGGAGTGCCCATTTTCTGCACCATCGGTTGTCGCTTGGCAAGCAGTTGCCCAGGCCGTGACCCTCCCTAAGCTCCCTATTCCGCTGTCCTCGGGAATTTTCGCCATCGTTTGCGGTGTTGTTTGCGCTATTCAGGCTCTCGTCAAGAACTTCTACTTGGTCGGATCCCGTGAGAAATATCGCGATTACCTGCCTAATTGGATGTCAATTGGTGTTGCCTGGGTTTTGGGTGTCGACAGTGGATATGCTAAGTATGTCGTCCAACATGAATACTCGGAAAAGTTTTTTGCTAACTTATTTGTAGTGCTATCCTGTTTGGCAGTATCACAGCTTGGTGGTGGAAGAAGTATTTCGCAAAGGGCTTTGACACTTACGCATTTTCCGTTGCCGCTGGCCTTGTTGCCGGAGAGGGTCTTGCAGGTGTCGTTAATGCTGCTTTGACATTGGGAGGTGTTGACGGAACAAAGAAGGGCACAATGATTGCTCTGCCTGGAGAGGACTGGTAATTGATAAAGCCAAGGTGTAATGATCTCCGCCACACGGAGTAGATATTAATATAACGTGAACGCAAAAATACCTGCACTCGAAGTTGTTCGTCAGCTCCCTATGCCTTCTGATCCCTCTCTCATACTATGGCATGGTTTCTGGCAGCCCAATTCTCGCAATCGTTTGATATCAAGAAATATATATACATATTGTTGAGGGCGAGTCATCTGGGCGTTGCTACATAGCCAATTGCTATCGGTGGCTATGTTCTTAAACTGTACTCTGATTTTCAACAGTTTCTTATACAATACTCATCTGAGACTCAAGAGAGAATGAAGCTTACTATGGCCCAAGAAATATCTTGCAGTATATTATACCATGTTGTAGAAGTTTGCGTGTGGTACACGTAGCTGTATTTTACTTGTGCGAACCCTTTTAAGCAATTTGATCATGTTTTGCCTCTATTAATACTCCTGTTAATACCCTTGGAGAGACGTTGCATAATTAGAAACAGGTACACTTGACCGGTAGACTTTGGTATAGCTACCTAAATAGGCAATATTTCTCAATATCATCATCCCCAGTGAGCCACGCTATTAATATATGAGGAAGAAAGAAGATAAATAAGGGTTGCTATTGGCTCACGGGAATCTCCAAACATATGTGGGGTCCCATATTAGAAATCCACCGCATCAGTATTATCCAGTTTAAGAAAGGATATATTGCCTGATCAGGTCAGCTGTTCCTGAATTGAACGCTCGTCTGCCGACGCCAGGGATATTTTCTGCCTTCCGATAATAGTGAACTGTTACTGAGAGGCTATGCGTGTGGTGACACTGGCTATCTGGACCCTCCTCCATTTCAAATCAACAGGATGCTGTATGATAATTAATAATTCAGCACCCACTTGAAAATATGTTTAATTTATATATTATATCTACTTTTTCAAGATCTTTAATTTATAAGAGCCATCCAGTATTTCACAGCTCGCCTGAAATGGAGCTGGCTTTCCACTCGCATCCGTTGCAGTTGTCCTACCGCTCACGGCTACCTTTGTCAACTTCAACCTAAAATGGACTTACGTGGCTACAGTCATTATCTTCGAAGTTCAATCTGTTCTCTGCGGCGCTGCTCCAAACATGATCGCAATCATTATTGGTCGAGTCATTGCTGGCATGGGCGGCACTGGCATCTATCTCGGCTGCCTCAACTATTTTTCATCTTTAACAACTCCCAAAAGCGTGGAATCTACATTATTTTAATTGGATTTTGCTGGGGTATTGGAGCTGTACTTGGTCCCGCCGTCGGCGGCGCATTTTCAGTGTCGCCTGCAACCTGGAGATGGGCCTTCTACATCAATCTAGTTATAGGCGGCGCTTTAACGCCAATCTATCTTTTCTTATTGCCACCGTTACGCCCTATCAAAGGAGTTTCGATTCAAACTAGACTTTTAAATCTGGATTTCGTCGGTTTCATCCTCGGGGCAGCTGTGTGGGTGACATTTGCGCTGGCACTGAGGATGGCTGGCGGGCAATGGCCGTGGAATAATGGAAGAACTATCGCCATGTTCGTCGTGCTTGGCATTCTACTGATAGCTTACGCTTTACAGCACTTGAGCATAAGCTTCAAAGCTTTTCACGTATCTGGCTCTCCCCTTATCTTTGCAAATATTTATGATGCAGTATCTGCGCGGGCTGTAGCGTCGTTGCCTAGCGCAAAAGCCCTTGCTACTGCTAGCTATGCTGTTGCCGAAGCCGCAGGTCTAAAGGATGACACCTTAACACGAGCTGCCAATGTGGCAGCAGCCAGAAACATTTCTTCAGCAATTAAAGAGTTTGGAAAGCCTCTCTCAGTCGACTTTCAAGATGGATATGGAGATGAGCTAGAGGAGGGCATAACGGAGCTTCTTAAGACCGGTGTTGTCGGCATTAACCTCGAGGACTACAACGGAAGCGCAAAGATATTGTACAGCATCTCCGAGGCAACGGATCGAGTCAAAAGAGTGTTGAACACAGCTAATGCCTTTGGAGTACCTCAATTTGTTGTTAATGCGCGATGCGATACTCTTGTCCAAAGCGGAAGCCTCGAAGAAGTCATTGAACGAGGTCGGGCTTACCTTGCTGCTGGTGCTACCACTGTGTTTGTGTGGGGTGGGTCAAGCCGTGGTGTTTCGCGCGACGAAGTTGTTCGACTTGTCAAGGAATTTGATGGGCGACTGAATGTCTTGTTGAATCTCTCTGGCGGTTTGACTACAAAGGAATTGGCAGCTATCGGAGTTGCAAGAATTAGTATTGGGCCAACTCTGCAGATCGGTGCAATGGCAAAATTGCAAAAAGACGCTGAAGCAATCTTGGCAATTTGAGTATAGTTACTAGTATATGGTTCGCTTTTCTATCTCACTATACATGTTATTTACTAATTTTACAATGAGAGACAAAAATATTTCATCGGCCAAGGGAAAGAAAATTGTAAGCGGGAACATGTGCTACTTTGCTGGAAATTCTTAACCGGCCTTTGCACTTGGATTTAACAAAGGCAATTCATAAATAGTTATGTGATTAATGCGGAATAGCCGACGTCTAATTCCCAAGCCTAGTAAGCAGAAATGGTTCAATTCCTCCTCACTTACCACGCCGGCGTTACTCGATCTAGCAGCTTGGGAGATTCGCTTAGTGGAATAAAATCACTATCAGCAATTTATAGACTCTTAGAGGTACGAATCTCATCTCCTTTATATATCCAATAATCTCTTTTGTATCCCCCCATAGAGCGTGACATTTTCGCCAAAGCCGTCCACTTAGGCCTGAAATACAATTTCATGAGTTATTTTCACGTAGACCGCGTCTTTACCATGCGCTTTAGCCTACAGCTTCAGAAGGTCTTCAAAGCCAATGTTTTCGATAAATCAAGGACGATTGCCCCATCTTTCGTCTTACCTGGCTGCCCATCAATGGCCGTTACTAATGGTACGAGATTTCGCTTAACCTCTCCGACAGTTGGCAATGTCGCATCAGATAGGTAGTCTCCGATACCGACATATTGATTAACCAGCTCCATCCAGACAAGTGTAGAAAAGGGACACCTGAAGTTGAGTATTATGCCAACCAATCATTAGAAAGATTGTTTTAGCAAGCAGGGCCGGATCGGCGCGGATATACTTGCTTGCTTCGTCTTTTCCATCCAAGTTTGGACATGAAAGCTTTCCCTAGTTGCATCTGATATTCCAGGGAGGGTGATCCAGATTTAGAATTACAGTATAGTGGTCGACTATGCGGCTCGCGCAATGTTAAGAGCGTACTGAACGACAATCTACTTCCCCCTTTGGCCACCATGCGCGACATATCCTGGAACAAAATCAGCTATGTCAATAATGATATACGAGCCCTCGAATGCGGCCCTCAATGATGCCTCATTGTCAAGATTCCCCTTCACAATCCCAATTCTCGTGGCTTCAAAAGCCTTGGAAGCGATGCTATCTGGGTTACTGGTTACACGGCGAATGTGGTATTCAGGATTTTGCAGGAGCGCGGCAGTAACAGCACCTCCTTGATCGCCCGTAACACCAATAACTGTAGCAATCTTCCTCAGCATTGTCAGTGATGAGAATGAGGTGAATATTCTGTTATATGAAGAGATAGACATAAATCACTGTTGGCTAATGTTAGTTATTTGTGCGTATGTTGAAGACTATACATTAAACAGCAAAATCTTTTACTTCCTAAAAACATTGTGTTTAGAAATCGAGATATTGGATTTATACGTTTTGAATTACGAGGCGGCTCTGATATCATGTCGCATGGATTTGTAAAGTCTGTGCGGTGACATTGATTCTAAGTATGTTACAGCAATGTTAAAAGATCTGAATGTTTAGAAACAGTTGGTTGATTACGTACGCAATTTCTGGACGCTGTCAAAGCACGTGAAATTATTAGTTCTCCTATATTATTGGTTCGCTTGGGCGGTGGATTACATGGGATTATGGACAGCTTCCTACGATGCCGTGATTGTGATGGAACAAGCTGTACCCCTCCAATCAAGCTGCTCCTCATCTATTCAAAAAAATACTCCCCAGAAACAAAATGGAATCTATTCTATCTGCACATGAAATCGGTGAAGGACTTGCCATTTTGATCATTCATGGATGGCAGATGGAAGGAAGAGTCGAGGAGCTGGACTTTGAGCCGATTTTCAGCAAAACCACAGGGCTTCGCCGGATTTACGTGGACCTTCCAGGCATGGGTACAACACCTGCGAATAACGTCAAGGATCTGGACGATATATACCTTCGCCTAGTTCAATTCATTGATTCTCGAATTGGAAACTCAAGATTCTTGCTTGTCGGCTCATCATGTGGCGGCTACCTTGCACGTGCGATAGCTCAGAAATATATTAAACAAGTCGATGGGTTACTGCTACGCGTACCGCTTATTGAGCCAAATGATAGCATGCGCGATCTGGATGCTTTCAAACCTTTAGTCGTTAACGAACAGCTCATGTCAAACACGTCTGCTGAAGACAAGAAACTCCTTGGAAACGTTCTCATACAGACACCTGCTTACATTAAAGCTTTAAAGGCGAAATTTGAAGCAATTTACCGTCCAGCAGAAAAAGCAGCAGATATGAAGGCGTTAGGTCCAATTCGAGCAGACCCAAATCGATATCATCTATCTCCTTCGCTGGATGATGAAGGTGCGAAATTCTTTGCACCCACACTTGTTGTATGCGGTCGGCAAGATGAGAGTGTGGGCTATCGTGACAGCCTTCGGTTGCTGAAGCTCTATCCACGATCGACATATGTTGTTTTAGATCGTGGTATTCATGGCCTTCCTGTCGATGAGACTGGTGTTTTTGAAGCTCTCGTTCGCGATTGGATAACCCGGGTTGACGAATGGCGAGGTCGCACAGACAGATAAGGAGATACCTGCTGTACCAACTGTCAGCCATTGCACTGTCAGTCGACTTTAATTGAGTTGGTTACGCCTAAGCTTGTATTTTAAATTAATCTACATTTGTACTTGGCATGGCCAAACAACCCACTTGCATCGTCATCATCACTCCCCCAGTTACTAATAGGATTGCTTTGGTCAATAGCTATGAATGCATTACTAAGTAAGACGCTGCCAGGAACAACCGCTCCTTTTTGCAGATTTAGAGCGAATTTAGCCAAAACTTTGAAACATGGTAAATCGTTGTGTCCTCGAAGATATAGCAATTTCATCCAATCCTCTAATTGAGTCTGCTGATGAATGGGTCCATTCTGGTAAGCAAAAGGTGCGTTTATACCAACCTAACACTGTTTGTCGGCCACGACAGGTCAATTGCTGGAACTTCCTTCTTGTTCAAGCCATAAAATCTGCTGATGCGTTACGCAACCCAGTCTGGATTCTCATCAGCTGGAAAGTTTCCGGCCTTAGGAACGATGTCTACTTCCACGTTGGTTTCAACTGGTGGCTACAGCTCGTGCAGTATCGCAGCGGTGCCTGCCTCACCGTCCAATCCAGGAACCGCACTTTCAAAGGATAAAGGCGTATCATAGAGTAAAAAAATGCAGTATCAATTCCCATGGTAGAGGTAGCGAAAGGGCCTAGTATGTTCCTGAGAAAAACTAGTTCGTTGTGAGGCGGATGGAATGAAAGTAATCCTCCAGAATCTCAGCGCGGAAGAGAAGGATTTTGAATATCGCGGCAGCACGGCTGAATATGAACAAGAATAGGATATGAAAGGTTGATCTAGGGAGGCTACAACCTAGGCAGTGCAAAAGCAACGATTCTCCTAGCGAAAATGATGCCTGTGGTAGAGAAGCAGCAGGTTCGTTTTAGTAAATGTATATTATGACAATAATTGTCAAGCCTCGAACGATCAAATCATAAGGGAGCGCACATATTGCGAAGTATCACTAAGGCACGAATTGATACATTTTGGAACAGCTTACGGAATCGCTTACGGAGTAGACAACGATATATGACAGCGCATTTCAGCTACAGCGAGAGTCTTCTCCTCATTCCAGTTTTAATCAACGACGTGACCCGCGGTACACAGTCATCTACCGCTTGGTGGATCAACTGGCAACACAATCAGCAATAGCAATTGTAGCTTTAATAACCCTGAAGCTGCCATGCCGCAATTTATAGAGCAAGCTTAGACGAGCTTAGCCGGGGATAGAAAACCTACTCATACGCATGTTTAGCCAAGATGAAACAAGCAATCTCATATTATTGTTCAGATCAATAACATAATAGAGATATCTGAAATGAACTACAGTAATTGCGCCTTCTGGGATAGTATTAGCAGCAGATTGTGAGAGTACTTATCCGCTTATACATATCTATAAATAATTCTTTTCTCTACCATTTGGACAAAAATGGCGGGCCAGTTTCTTACGTAACTATAATTAATTACTTCTTAGAAATCTTTGATGAATCATTTCACAATACCCAAGCATAACCCGGAAGAGCTAGCCGAAAAGCTCTTTTCCCTTTTATCAGGTCTCTGCCAGTATCTCGGCCCAACCATAATACATTTCCCATTGATTTGCAGTTATGATAGTAGACGCTCAGAATAACAAAAGAGTTATTCCACCAGAATCGTCGAGCGAAAGCGGAGAGCTGCTCATCAGCATCAGATAAAAAAAGCGGAATTACAGGGATGAATAAATCGTTTTTACGACAGCATAATAGTGCAGTAGTTTAGATTTTTAATATCCAGTGTCTCCAAAGTTACTCAAAAGAGGTTCTTTTGTACAATATTGCGCCTGGGTAGCTTTCAGTGTTCAGGAGAGAGACAACATGACCATATTGCCTTAACTTTCACATGATGGCGTAATGGTGGCATTATGCACTTATACGAAGATGCAAACGTAAGGTTCTTGTGATAGCCGAGGCAACTTGAGCAGAAACTTGATTATAACCAGCACTAAACGTCTGATTTGATAGGTTCATAGTCAGGCTAATGTATCCATCCCTGGCCATGTTCCCAAACTTGCCACACAGACCCCTTCTGTTGAGAGCATCGATTGGCTGCTACAAACTGGTCATTACGCGTGGCGCAAAGGGTCTGATTCACTATTTTTGATTTATAATCTTTCCACAGATTATTTTGGTCGACCCTTGTTCTACTACCATTTCGATGCAACGTACTAACAGATGATCACTAATCCTTGAACTGGCCTTTTGATATAAATTTATCGGCCTCTGATGGGAGATGTGAACAAAGCGTCTACAAAGCGCCTACAAAAGCAGGCTCGATAAAGGAAACAATATATAATGTCTACGATGGTCGGTCATTTGTCTTTTGAGAACGCAAGAGTTTTGGTGTTTGGTGGGACTGGAGCCCAAGGGCGATCGATCATTCAAGGTATAATTCCTCCACCCAACAAGTAAAACACATACTGATTCGTTAGCATTGGCACGAACCAAGCGATATCGTTTATCTGTTCTCACTAGGGACAAGAACTCAACCAAAGCTGCGGCCCTAGCATCTTCTTTTCCGGACATCGAATTCGTTGAAGGCTCGTACACAACAGAGGAGGGCCTACGCAACGCTTTTGCCAATCAAGATGTCGTATATTTTTGCATTGATAGTTTCAACGTTGGTGAACCATTTGAGTACTTTTGGACGTTTCGTGCCTACGAGATTGCTGTCCAAAGTAAGCTGAAATGGTTCATTTTCGCTGGTTCTGGAGATAGATACGGCAGTTTGGGCATGAATGAAAAATACAGGAACAGTCACAACATCGTGTCTAGCAGGCTAACTGGCTGGTTAATGAATCAACCTCTTGCTCGGCTTCCTTGGACTATCCTAACAGGCGGCGTGTATGCCGAAATGCTTGGAACTCTTTTAAGACCGACCGAAGAGGGAGATGAACTGTTCTTTCACAATCCTATGGATCAGGATAGCGTTATGCCGCTTATACCGCTCGAGATGTATGGTTACCGTTTTGAGTGGGCTTTATCGCACCCAGAAGAGAGTATTGGAAAATTGTTGTCTGCAGGACCCTTTTTTGTTACTTTTCCAGAGGTTGCTGCAGCACTTCAGCAAGTCACAGGCAAAAAGGTTCAATTTAGGAGCATCACCACATCCCAATGGATGGAGGCTATATCTGCGCATATAGATCCAGATAGGAGATTGCCTGGAGGAGCGGATCCCACCGACCCCACCTCGTTTACATTTCGTAAATCGTTCGGTGCATGGTGGAATATTTGGAAAGATCAGAAAGAAAAGAAGTCAGAGGATATGGCTTGGGCAGATGAAGTTTATCCTACACGACCAAGGGGCCTGAAAGAGTGGATGGAAGCAGTGGAGTATAATGGGAAGCAAATTGTTCCCCTATATGAGGAGTTTTGAGTATATTCTTGAGTAAGGCAAAAGGTTATTAGCATTATCATGGTCAATGTTATATACCGATGACTCTTCTCCACTTACTCACATGCTTTGGGTATTTTAAACGTATGGAGAGATTGCTGCAGTAATATAGCGAAGTAGAGGCACAGCAGTACAAGTGAAGTAGTTTATCAGGACCAGCGCGCCATCAGGTAATTGCTTAGATATGATGACACCGTGTAGTTGGTGCCCAAAAAGTGAAAATCTGGTTCTGAACAACTTGATTTAAAGGCAAAGAGTTGTAAATACTATATTTTATTCTCCGGCGCACCGAAAAGAAAATCATTCCAGCTAAATTAAAAGTGATCATGCTGCACGTTATAGAAATATAGGCTCATATATAGTACTGTTGTCTATCGTTAATTTTTTTCTGCTCCTCTTATTTCTTGTTGATTGCTCCAAATTTCAGATGTACAGTACTAGTTTAAAGGCTTACGACGGATCATCATGGGATAATTTGACCTTTAGCTTCAGTCGGATTATGCAGCAGTTAGGTCTGCGTACTCATAACGGTGCCCATGAAACAATTATTTTGCAAACACATTCCAGCTATTGCGGCATTGTTGAACCTCTCATCTTGAGATTAAATTTAATCTCTAGTCTGCAAGCACTTTTCTGTATACCCGCGTCAAAAAGCTGGTACTAATCGTTTCGTAGTCACCTACTGCTAAAATATTTGTCTTCTTCTTATATATTATTTCTTTCTACAGGCCGTAGAATCGTAGCTGTGTCCGACCGAATATCCGGAACCCCTCACCCCCGCCCTTTCCTTGCGGTCATGTTCTAGAATCCCAACCAATGAATATGCGGACGCAAATGACAAATCAGATCGGAATCGTACATAATCTCGTTTAATATTAAACATTATATAGGGATTGATATTTTCATGTTTGTATTATTAATAATACTGATACCTATTGGCGTTGCCTTTGGGCCTTTTGAAGCAACAAAGATTGAATTGGACGAAAAGCCCAGCTACAGCTAATTCCAAAGCAGGCAATCCACTTTGTCCGTTTGCTGTTGATGATTAGTATACAGAGTAATGAATTGTCAAACTGAATGTAAAGTTTAGTCAATTAAGCTACCAACTCTTTGGAATACAAATGAAGGATTTTGCTTGCTTTGCACGAATGTGGCTTATGCAGTTTATGGATAAGTACATGTTTCCGTTTTTGGTCTTCACAAAACGCAAAAACAGGCCGAAAAATATATATATATAAGCATCTAAATATGTCTGCGATTTAAATAAATAGATCAGATCATAAATGACAATTCATTCATCCAAGTCAATATACTCATTTTTCTCTACAACTATCGTTTCCATTCGTTACGGTTATAGCAAGACGGCGTCTAACAGTGGAACCGCAGTCCTTCTTATTGATCTTTACAACGACTTCATCTATCCTGATGGTAAATGGTACGGTAATGTAAAAGCTAGTTTTGAGGCCACAGAAACGTAAGGCATATTCAACGACTGGTTCAAGTTGCAAGAGCGGCGCATATTCCCATCTACTATTGTTTGCACCAACAATACAAGCCACGCAACTATGACGGCTGGAACCGGATGACCTCGTATCACATAGGGATGAAAGAAGGCCGCGTGATTGAAGAAGGTAGCTGGGGGGCGCAGATATACGAGGGGCTGGAGCCTGACCTTGCGAATGGTGATGTAGTCGTATCAAAGCACTGGAACGTTAGGTGGGCACAACCACCTTTGTAATTCAGAGCGTAAGGGCGATCAGTTAACACAGATTGATAGTTCGTTTCAAAACACTGATCTAGACTATCTTCTTCATCAACGCGACATCACTAAACTGGCCTGCGCGGGTATGACCAGCAATCAATGCCTGGAGTGCACAGCACGATATGGCAAAGAGCTGGGATATGACGTGACACTACTGTGAGTAACATGCTAGAGGAGAAACAATTTGCGCTTACTTTGACCCTAGTTCAAATGCGACGGCCGGTTTCACAATCGAGCAAAAGGACGCAGCTGTCAATTTGATATGGCCTTTGCTTGTGGAGCGCTTCATGTCTGTCGAAGAATGGGCTGCTAGTATTGGCGCGCCAAAGCAATGACAAATAAATTGGTGAAATGGGGAACATGAAACTGTACAATTTGAAGAATGGCGTGAGCTTTTTAGTAAGGGTGTAATTAATGATCAATATTGCTTCAATGGAACGTTTCTTATAAGTGCTTAAGCTAAACTCATTAGATGGCGCAATAACGCAGTCCGAGTTGACGATCCACATTGGATAGCACTTTAGATACATGGATATCTCCGAAACTAAATCAGCTTCGAGTCGATTATTATTCAATTCCTATTCCGGGATTGTATCCAGGCGAATATAATAGCAGAAGCTCTTCTTCACACACGATTATTCCTAGAGCCCACGCGTACAGGAATGGTTCCGACGCTGTCAAATTATCATAGCAACATCAGGCAAATAATAATGGTAATGTATCTTTCGTCAATTCATCTATTGGAGGCTATCTATATATGTCCATACTAAGGTGTCAGAGTAAGCTGATAAGCATCTACTTACGGTAACTACTCCGTAATACGAAAAAGGATTAAATGATGGCTGATAAGACTAGGCAGTCAGTTGGGATCGTGAATCAGGCGGCAAATACTAAAATGGAGGTTGGCATAATTCGGCTTAAAGCCTCGACTTTGTTGGCAAAATAAGCTACGCCTGAACACGCATATTGAGACCGTAGTCAAATTGCCTATACAGGTTTAGCCCACTTGGCATAGCGTAGAATCACAGAGAAGCGACTTTCGCTATAGCTTAACAAATCGCTAAAGCTATCGGGGCCTTTATATTATTTTATTTGTTGTCGTTGTCTTCATATTGCAGTCAAACTCGAATAATGGTTTCTATCGTTTACATGGTTGATGATTAGCCATCTCAACACAGGAGATTAAACCGATAACGGCATCAGATCCCAAAACTGTTCTTGACTCAAAACTCATGCCTACTCCCCTCTCACCTAGATTGCTTATTGTATAAGTCGATCCAGGCGCAGAAAATCAAGTTCAATTTTGATCAATTGGAAGATGGTTGATGAATGTTGGCCTAACACTGAGTCCAATACGCAGGATTTCCCTCAAAAGGAAAATACCGCGGCGGACACCGGGGACGGGTTCCGTTTTATCACTTTTCAAGATCCAAATACAATCAAGTTAAAGTCGATCCAGAGAGTCATTCGGAGTCATGGTGCCAAGAAATCATTAGAAGGACGCAAAAAGAAAATTACTGAAGTTACTGGAAATTTTCGTCACTTTAAACCCGACAGACTTCAGAACGCCTCCGCCGTGAAGAGACATAATAACGACTACAAGACACCAAGCGATATTCAGCAGCTCGATCCTTTTCGGTCGCTTTCCATAAGCAATTCTACACGATTGCAATCTCTTATAACAAATAGTACAGTTCATGCTTTAGCTGGTAAGGCCCAATACTAATATATTTCAGAAACCGCATCCCAAGCTTTGGAACCGGTATGCAATTTTGCAGAAACAACGGCACACCAAATATTCCATCGGCTATTTCACGATGGCTTTAACGATGCAGCTCTCTCAAACGCTATTATGCTCTCACTTTCATTCGCTGCAAATGAATACCATTTCACACAGGAATGTGTCACTTTTAAGAACACGACTATTCAACACATTAACAAAAAAATTGGCTCTACACTTGACCCAAAAGCCGTTTCTCAAATGATAGGGGCAATATTGTTACTGATAGGAGTGGAGGTTAGTATTGCAAACCGTTAATATTTCACTGCTGAGAAAGCTACATAGTGGCGACTCGGGAACAAACCACGAGTAGAAATGCACCTGACGGGCGTTATGCAATTGTTAAACTTTTGCGACTCAAAGCTTATACACCTTCATGACGGCATCAAGCGGTAAATATCTATCTGAGCTAGGATTCCTTCATGCATTATCGGATACGTGTTCTAATCTCAACAGTGCAATCTTCTGGCAAGACTTGAATGCAGCCTGGATCATAGGCTCTGAGCGCAGATTCAACCATGATGTTTTCCCAGAACTTCACTGGGGTCGCAATCCATTTCTTTCTTCTATATTTACCCTACCACCGGGCTTCGAGCCATTGAGGCAGGTTTTTGGAGATGACTTAGTCAAGGTCATCGAAGATATTTATGCTTTACAACATCTGAGAGAGTCATCTGATATGAATCTTGATGATTCAACATCCATAATTCACATGGACAATTACCAAGCATGGATGGAGTCTCGTCTTTACTCGCACTTTCTGGCGGCAGATGAGGACGATGAAATAGTGATATGCTGCATATTCACATTATATTTATGCGCCTATATGCTGTTTACAGAAATCTGGGCGGGCCACTTTATACCATCACATATATCAGCAAAGCTATTGCGTGTCTTGCGACATGCGAAAAGAGATGTTTTGTGGGAAAGTCACAAGGACGCACTGTTGTGGTGCACTATAGTTGGTGGTACTTTCGCCCAACTCGGCGTGACTAGGTCTGAGTATATTTTGTTACTTCACCAGTCTGGAGATGCGACTCTCTCGTCCGATTGGAAAGAAACAGAAAGTTTCCTAGGTAACTTTATCTGGTCGAACAAAGTGTTCTACACACCCGGCAAAGCATTCTGGGAGGCATATTCCTTGCATTGACACTGAAGTTAATGGGTTTAAAGCTAGCCGTGTTAGTTTTAAAAAAAAATATCAGCATAATATACATTAAGCCATATACAGCATTTTCCCGAGAAAATGTAGTGCTACTACTAATACTCTATATACGGGCGGGCGGTTCGAGGACATTGTGGGTTAACGATTACGACTCATTATCTCAATGCCGAAAATATATCACAGCCAGGCCCACGTGCAAGCGGCATGACTATGTGTCTGCGAATAACATTGTCGAATAATGTGGAGTTTCTATACGACTGTGTCTACCACCAGGTAACTATAGGACGAGCAAGCGAAGAACAAAGAGACAGTATAACTCCGTAGAGTTGACGCCCTCTGCGGACGGGATGTACTGCTTGTTTTGGACTGGCGCCTCAATCCGAGACTCTTATAGACGATGGGACAGAGTTAAGCGGCATAAGCAAACGAGCTAAGCTGCTGAAGGCAAAACTGCTTGGCAGGCTAACTAGAAGCGGAAGATTGATGCCATCGAAAAAGACCGCTGTTGGACTGCTCGACGTACCCTGTCCATGAAAAGGAAATAAAATTGGAAAACAGTATGCTCCTTGATGCAGCCTGAGCCGAATATGATTTAAACCATCTTTGCCAGCCCTGAAGGATTACTTAAGTGTTTATCCCTTAATAATGACATTAATTCCACACGGATGATGCAAAAAACAGCAAATTAACTACGAGAATCCCAAAATTCAAGTTTCTCGGTTAGATGGAGAACACGCAGTGGGCCTGTTCCAAGCCATTGAGTGAAGCGCATGTAATCAATTGGAATAGTAATCGCACCTCTGAGCTATTGAAAATTATTAATGCTCAATTACGAAGCAAGACCAGGAACATGACTATCTTTGGGAGAACAAATCAGTGAACTGCACAAGGGTTAAGAAACGAACTAATTGTCAGAGAGCTAGAGCACAAAGAGAAAAGTAATAAAGTTAAAAAAGGGAATAGGCAGCGAACTAGCCACTATACTATAGTTAGGTGTTTAATAATAACTGTATTTATTTTTAAACCTCTATTTAATAAAAAAGGAAACCTTTCTTTTTATAATTTCCTTTTAAGCTATAAAACTTTAATTAAAAATTAAATGCTTTTTTTTAATATTTTAATTTTTAAGTATTTAATATACTACCTTTCTTTTATAATACTATTTTAATATTTAATTTAATATTAATCTTTATTTTTATAATTATATTTAAATATTATAATAAAAGCTTTATTTAATAAATAGGCTTTATTTAATATATAAACTTTATTTAATTTATAATAAAATAAAATAATTTTAACTTTTATATAAAAAATAATTTTTAAATATATATATTTTAATAATTTTTTAAATAAAAATTTATAATATTTTTAAATTAAATTATTTAATAATAAAAAAAATATTTTTTTTTATTTTTATATTTATATAATTAATTATAAGTTTTTTTATAAAAATATTTATTTTTAAAATTAAAATTTAATAATTATAATATTTTATTAATATATTATATATATTTTTTTAAAAACTTTTAAATAATTTCTTTTTTTTAATATTTTTACTTTAATATAATTAATTATTATATAAAATTTATTTTTATAAATATTATATATATTATTATAATTATTAAAAAATAAAAGTTATAATTTTTAATTTATATTATAATATTTAAAGTATATTTTTTTTTTAAAAGTATATTTCTTTTATTAATATATTTTTGAATAATAATAAAAAATATTATTATTATAAAAATAATAATAAAAATTATATTATAATATTTATATAATTTTAAAATAACTATTTAAAATTAATATAAAAAATTAATAATTTTAATTTTAATATAATATTTTTTTTTAATTTAATATATTTAAGTTTTTAATATATTTATAAATTAAAATTTGAAAATTATAAATTATTTATAGAAAAATTTATTAAATAACTTTTTTAAATATTATTTTAATATAATAAACTTTAAAGTTTAATATTCCTTTAATACTTTTAAAACTTTAAATTATTTAAATTGATAAAATTTTAACTTTATAAATATAACTTAATATTTTTAATTTTTTATATAATATTTTTATAATTTTAGTTTTTATTATTTTTATAAATTTTTTTATAAATATTTACTTTTTTATTATTTTTTTATTATTAATTTAAAAATTAATTTTATTTTAATATTAATAATATTATTTAAAATATAATTATAGTAATTATAAAATAAATTTATTTTATAATTTAAAATAATATAATTTAAATTAAAAAAACTTTAATTATTAATAATAAAATAATTAAAAATATATAAAAAAAATAACTATTTTATTATTATTTATTATATATAACCTTTTACTTTTATAATATTTTAATATAATATATTTATTATTATTTTATTAATTATTATTTTTTTTTTTTAATATTTTTATAGTTTTTAATAAAATAAATAAAAAATAAATTTAAAATAATAAAATTATTAATTAATAAATTAATAATTTACTTTTTTTTTTTCTTTTATTAACTATTAAAATAATAAAATATATATAATTTTATTTATTTTTAATTATAAAAAGATTTT